ATAGAAAATTACTTATTTTACTAGTATTACAACCTGTTTGCATGTGTCTACAGTCGTGGAATTAATGTTAAGCACAAGTATCATATTTGGTTTTTATTATTAGATTGTACGAAAGCAAATTGGTAAAACTGAGATTAGAGATCTTTTAGAATTTATTAATTTCCTGGAGATCCAAGTTACCTAGGTTCAGATCATTAATCATCTATATTCTACAGCTTGATTGGAAAGTCACTTTAACTTTCGACTTTTCAAATTGACTACGACTAAAAACTCACAACGCTTAACTCATTTCTGATGCAAGCGCTCTTACAGTGTGACGTAAGCTTATCAAGAAATAGTTCAGTCTAGGCGAACCATCCTCTTTTCAAGACAGGCCTTCTAGTGTAAACCAAAAGCAATGTGTAAAGCAAAGTACTAGAAAATCGGTCGCTCATAATTTTTTACTCAAAATAAAGGTCAATATGAAAAAACTCCAAACACCGAAAATAAAATTATTTGATTAAGGATAAGAATCGGGGTCAAAAATAAAAAGTGAGTGTAGAAAAAGTCAACATCATAAAAATAAAACCAAATTAGACTTGTATTAAAAAATATATATAAATGTATATGAACTAACTTCGAAAGCCTTTAGCTTAAGATACATATTATATATACGTACGTGTTCGAATTATATATTTTTAAAATCTTTTTAAAAGTAATCACGCGCTTTTTATACTCCTTAAAAAAGGCGATTTTTGCAATTAAAAAAAAAACTACTGTATCAGTTGTTTTAAAATTGTAAGAGTATTTTTATACGTACATATACGTTATAACCCATTAAAATATGAAAAAGTCGTTTTTAAAATATTCACACTACGGGTTGTGCAGCTTAAGTTTGAGTTATTTGTGACGAAATTGGGGATTTCCAACACTCCCAGCAATTTGCCCCATCGTGTACAGTATGCAGACGCGAGCTTTGCATTTGCATTTATGCTCGCTTTTCGCTTTATGCTTGTTGTTGCTGGTGGCTTTGTTTGACAATTGTGCCTTTGCTTCACAACCGCACCAGCTACAACTACTTATAATGTTGATGACAACAAATTGTGCGTTGTCGAAGCGACGAACAATTGTTGCAATTACTACAGTCATTTGGTTTATTGTTTTGTTGTATGTATGTATGTATGTATGTATCTTTTCTTTTTTTTTGAAACGTTCTCGCTGCTTTTTCGGTATTGGCTCCACTTTGTCGCATTTTCACACACATTTTCTATCGCCCCTATTAGCTAGTACACGCACACATACATACATATCTATGTAGTTGACGCTCCCAAATTTAAATTATTCTGCCTGGCCCGACGACATATGTACATACACACATATTTGTACACAAGTACGTATGTGTATGTTCTACTTCACAACCACAACAGAACTTGTTGTTTCTAAGCAACATGCACTCGAATTGTTGAACGTTTTCAATTAAGCGCGACTTTCATATACTTTTCATGTACTCAAAATGTCACAGCTCTAGCTTTGCAGCTCTTCACTGCGCTATGCCGCCCACTCTGACGGCGCGTCAATGCGCCAGCTACAATCATCATGATCATCATCAGCCATATTGTTGTGCTATCGCTGTAGTTACTGCAATTGCACACACACACACACAAGTAGACGAACACATACGGATACTGATATTTTAGCACATAAATATTGTATGACCTCAATTGTATTCACTTTCCTTCGGCGCGCACTTGACGCTCAACTCATTGCGCGCGCTCGCAAAAGCCGTCGCAGTCGTTCAGCCATGCCAAACAAACAGTTGTACTAAACTAAATGTATGTGTGTATGTATGTATTTATATACATAAATGCTTGACTGCGATCGCTCCCAATGCTGCATTAAGCTTGTGCATTAGTCAGTCAGCCAAATTGTCGGTCGTACGGTTGTGCTGTAGCGGAGAGCGAGTTGAGTGCGTGCCAGTGAACAGCGGCTTAAGTGCATTAAAGTCGTGGATTTCAGCGAGTTTGGCTTGTTTTAAATGGTTTTTCAACCACTTCGTCTTCAAACATTCAAAATTTAAATATTGAAGATGCGGTTTAACGCTTAAAAATTATTTGTTTACCAATTAATTGACTTGAGAACCCTCCTTTGATGAGTCGGTCGGACGTCACTCGGTAACTTAAACGTCAATTCCCAAATATGTATGTACTTACATATGCGTACAAATATTCAATTGCTGAATAGTGTTGCTCGGAATCGTTAGTTTGAGAAGTAAATGTGATTGCTGGGTCTACAGATTACACAATACTTGCTCTTAGTATTACTCGTAAACCCATAACGTATTAAAAAAATTTTATTTTATTTTTAAACATGTCAATTGCAAAAATAATCAACAGCAAAACTCCAATCTCAAAAGTTTGAAAATTTGGTTTATTTTCATTTAACAAATAAAAGCATGTCAAGGTTAAGTATCTTTGTTATGTAGAAAGTTAAGTATCTCAGTCACGTAGATGTACATATTTAGTTCAACTCGCTCATTCTAGCGCGTTGAATGATTGCTACAGCAAGAATAATAGCAAAGTTATCAACTCAGTTTTCCATTCTTTTTAAAATACCACTCTGAAATATGTAATTTAATAGCTTCACGACTACCTCGTTTGACTGATAGCTGCAAGAAATGAAAGTTTAAAAATATACCACCCTAATGTTTGCTCTACAATTTTGGTAGAATTCTATAATATTATCACCAACACGTTCGTAACATTTTTACGTGCAGAAATTACATTTTTAAGCAAAAATTTGGAAGTTAACCTACTTCCTTTAAATCACTCGTTAAATAGTATCAATTTATATATATATGATACAAATAGAACTATGTTATTCGTGAGTAGACCGTCGAAATTGTTGGTTCATTTGAAAAGTTCGTCAAAAATTTGCTGTTTTTAGTTCCGGTTACTAAAAATAAGCGTTAATAACAATAACATTTTAAAAAAAGGGTGCATTTCTTATGACAACTATATATATATAAATTAATCTGAAAACATAATCAACCAACGGCTTGGATCCAACGGAAAACGGTTTGCTAGATTGTTTAGATTTGGACAATTATCTACGTCAAATTTGTGAAGATATCATGTCAAATAAAAAAGTTTTCCATATAAGAACTTGATTTTGATCGGTAAATTTTTATGTCAGCTTATTGCTATAGTGGTCAGATCTGAATCGGAGATTTTAGTGTTGCCTTGGACAAGAATCTATGCCAAAATTTTAGAATATATCTTGTAAAATAAAAAAGTTTTCCCTATAAGCACTTGGTTTTGATCGATTATTTTATATGACTGGCGTAGTAGAGCGATATTGGCGAATCCGACAAATGAAATCCGACAGCTACATAGAAAGAAAAGGACTTGTGCAAAATTCAAAACGACTGAGGGACTTCGATTTAAAATTTGTATCGAAGAACGTTAATACGTACATATTGAGACTCCCTCAACGTGATAATGTTTTTTTTATACAATTTCCACTATTTTTTTGAAACGGAAAAATTTTGTAAACAATGCAGAAATTTCGATATGCCTCTTGTTTTTATTATTTTTAAGTATTTTTTAATTAATTTCAACTATGTCTTCACGCAATGAATTGAAAATTATAAACTTTTATTATATACATACTACCCGCCTAAGTATGTATCTATAGACATGCAAACGTTCATGAGTTTATGGCAAAATTTTCCATTTATCTTCATGGTCAAAAGCCGGTGAATTTCCAACAGTGCGATACACTTATTGGTAATCATAGTGCGCAGGAGGCAGAGGTCTGATGTAGTGGGCTCATCTCATTATTTTGAAAAAAAACAACACATATGTACATACATGCAATCATAAGATATTTCGACCGTGAAAACAACAATAAAAAAGTTGTTGCACGTTGCGCTCCGCCGACTGTTGCATGCTACACTCGCGTCGGCATCCCAGACGCTCCAAATACATATGAAATTATATCTTTATATGTATGTATGTACTTTGCTGTGAAGTTTTTAATCTGTTTCCAATATTTATGTGCTTTGGCACTAGTTTCACTATTTTGCAACTATCCGGTGGTGTTGATTTTATTATTGACAATTGGTTATTATTGTTGCTTTACTTCATGTACTCTGATTTGGAAAGCCATTTGTGCTTTTGTTGTTCAGTGCTTGACAAATAAGTCGCAACTTAAAAAACTTAAAAAATTTTGTACGAAATACAGTGCTGCGCAAAAAATAATGCAAGTTAAAAAAAATTATTAATATGAAGTAAAATTAATATTTATGAAGAAGTTTCATCAAAGAACCAACAGATTTTATTTAGATTTTTTGTTAATGATGATGTTAAATCAGGAATCAATCAAGGAAATCAATCAATCAAGGAAAATAGAAAGTATGTCGGATTTTGAAACTTTATATACATATATTTCAAGTGTCTGCTGAAATATGTCATTCGTATATTCTCTTTACTTGCAGATATTCTGCACAAAACTATATAGCTTACATACATACTTGTGTATATACATATGTATATATGAAATTATTATAACCATATTTGCGCAAACACTTAACAGCGCAGACTAATTTATTGTTTTTTTTTAATTTATATTTTTATTTATTTTTTGTCACTGCACCTTTGTTTGTGAGCGTTATCACGTAATTTGCTCTGCACTCAACTATTTCTCTGTAGTTTTCTGCGATTACCACATAGTTTCTTTCACACTCTTCTTTGTTGTTGTGTTGTTATTTTACCATCTTTATATTGAAAAACACGTCCAACAAAGTTCAAGAGTTTATCTGGGTTTCTAGCCGACAGCAGTGCATGAGAAAAAAATACCCCGATTTATTCTGATTATAGTTGAAATAAATGTATTGTATGAATGTATTACCCTAAATCTGAACTTTACCAGTCTTCCTGCGCTTTTATATATTTTTTACAAGTCTATAGTCAAATATTATAATTCTAATAATAATATCTGATTTTCCCTTTCTACCCTTGCAGAATCCAAATCTCCCCGCTAATGCCTCACCATTCCGTCGGGCCTGGGGTCAATCGTCCTTTCGCACGCCACGTACCGACAAACGCGCCCTCCAACAGTTGCAATTGCAACAACAATCCGGCCAGCATCAGCATCTCAGTCCACTAGTACGACGTTCCTCATCGATGACCGCATCCGACAATGATGTCTATATCAAGTCCATTCATCACACCGACTACCATGATGAGCTCAAGCAGGCACGAAGCCAGCATCAGATAGCTACGTCGGCGGCAGCTATAGTTGCCGCAAGAAATGCGAATGTAGCCACGCTTGCAACAACAAATGCCACCAGCAAGGTTGGCATTTGCACAAATCAGCTAAAAAAACCACAGCTGAAGGCCTTATTGACACCAGCCACAGATAACGGTGTTGGTGGTGTGGCTGCTTGGGGTACAGCCTTTGAACGGTTGCTAGAAGATCCTGCTGGCATGCACACCTTCGCCGAGTTTTTGAAAAAGGAATTCTCCGCCGAGAATATATACTTTTGGACCGCTTGCGAGCGTTATCGTGCTCTGGAAAGCAACGATGAGCGCACTACACAAGCGATGGCCATCTTCTCAAAACATCTGGACAATGGCGCCTTAGAGCCGGTAAATGTGGACTCACAGGCACGCAACCTAACACAAGAGAAGTTGATGAGCGCTGAACCGGATATTTTTGCACCTGCACAGAAGCAAATCTTTAATCTAATGAAATTCGACAGCTATCAGCGTTTCATACGTTCCGATATGTTTAAGAGTTGCCTAGAGGCGGAGGAGAAGCGCCAACCATTGCCATATAAAGCGGAAGATTTGGATGAATTGTTTAGAACGCCGGCGCATCAGCCAATCATAGTGAGCAGCATCGTATCGAAGGTAAGCACATTAAAAGCTTCACTGCCGTATAAAATATATTTAATTATTTTTATTTATTTATTATTAAATTATAAATTTATTATAAAGCTCAAGAAATCGGCCAGCAACGCAGAGGATCGTTGCCGCAAGGGCTTGCTACCATGGCACCGTAAAACGAGCAGCAGCAAAGCCCCACGTGATACTGCCGACGCGCCAGCTGAGTTCAAAGCCACAACCAATAAGCTAGCGCCACTAACCAATCATTCAATGAAAGTGGCGCCCGCACAGAACTCGCAAAGCGACATACACAGTTCGCGCTCTTCGCTCTCCTCCTTCGATGGCTTGCCAGGTGCATCGATCTTGCCCGGCACCTGCCGCGTCATCTTGAGTGATGCCTCCACGACAATGGTGCAGGCGCGCGCCAACGAAACGGTTGGCCAACTGGTCGAGCGTTTGCTGGAGAAACGTGGCCTGAGCTATCAATATTACGATGTAGTGGCGAAAGGTACTACCAAATCGATTGATTTGCAAACTTCATCACAAACGCTCGTTGGTAAAGATGTGCTTATTGAGCAGCGCGTTGCCTTCAAAATGGATTTGCCCGATCGCAAGGTAATCTCTGTGAAGAGCAAGCCCAAAAAACAATTAAACGAGGTAGTGTGTCCCATACTGCATAAATACAACTATGACATAGAAGCAGTACAAGTAGTGATGCGCGAAACTCAGGAGCCGGTTGATCTGTCGCTAACTGTAACACATGCGGATGGTCAGCGTTTGCAAGCTGTGTGGTTGAAGCCGCCACCACTACTGCATGGCAGTGACTATCAAAATGGCAATGGTTGCGCGGCAAAAGTAGCAAAAGCTTCAACATCGACGAAAAGTGTGTCCTTTCCGAGCGCGTTGAAGCAAACAAACGGCGCCACCTTACGCTCTACCAGTGGCAGTGGCAGTGGCATTCCAGTGTCGCATTCGACACAAAGTGCCTTGGATGAGATCACCAACAAAGTTTTTACCGAATTAATGCAGGTCAAGGTGGAAGCAGCAAGTGCGGAAAAAACACAGACACTGATGACGCACAATGACAAAGTCAACGAGCACGCCTCGCTTAAGGTGAGTTAGAAAGCATAACTCGAATGGAAGAGTTCATAATAATATTTTTTTTTATAGTCTGACGACTGCGCTTCGGAGACTTCATCAATTTTCGAACGCACACGTCGTCGTGACAACAATATTCAAAGTCTCAAACTAAAGCTGAAGAAGCGTTCAACGAGTAGCCAACATTCGGAGGATACAAACCAAAGCAGCCACACAACAGCTAGCAATGGTCAATTGGTTGCGCCAACGGCAGTGAGCGCTGCATTGTTGGACATAAAGAAACCAATCATAGCTAAGTTAAAAGCGGGTGTGAAACTACAAGTTCCCGAGCGAGTAGCTGAAAATCAAGGTGAGTAAAAATCTAAAGTTAAACTTAATTAATGCAGTAACTACTAAATATATAGCATATAATAATACTTTGTTTCTATATTTTTTTTTAGATGAACTACTCGAAGGTCTAAAACGCGCTCAACTCGCACGCTTAGAAGATCAACGTGGAACTGAAATTAATTTCGAGCTGCCGGATTTCTTAAAGAATAAGGAAAATCTGAACGCTTCAAAGTTACGCAAGGCGAGGGCAAATCTCAGTCCCATAAACAAGCCACCCGCACATCTTTCCGTTATAACTACAGAGGAACAACCCTCACAAACAGGGCCACAACCAACACAACAAGAACGTCCTCAACCCGCACCACGTCTATCCATAACAAATAAACTGAAAGCCAATGCAACAGTGTCGTCTGTGAAGCAGGAACAGGACGCGTCTGCACAACTCAACACAGTTGAGGCTCGCCAAACACAGCCTACAATATCATTAGCAGCGAATATAACTACCACATCATTAGAATCTGAATACGCTGCTACATTAGTGGAAACTAATAGTTCCAAAGGTCCACCACCATTGCCGCCTAAACCGAAAGTTTTGCCCATTAAGCCATCGAATTGGGGTGCTGCGGCAAGTATGTCCAACTCATCCACAGCATCAACGCCTACAACACCTTCATCGAGTATTCCAACATTACCCGCACCATTATCTAAGAACTATACAACAATGTGCTTGACTAATAGCGTTACAAACGTTGCGGAAGATGCTCCATTGCTGTTACATGTCTCGAACAAACATTTCGCGGCAAATGAAATAGCCCCACGTAAGTCCCATTTAAGCATCGCCGCTGAGCAGTCTACGTCGGCGCGATATGCTTACCTAGAAGAGCCGAGTAGCAGCTTCGTTTGAGCAAGAGCGAAAGATGTTGGGGAGAAAAAGATAGAAAGAGATGTATTATATTATGGCTTCCACACCCAATTCCATTCTCCCCTTTGGCCAATCCCTTTTCCACGTGTTTTTTAAGTGATATAAAATAAAATAATTACGTAACGGTATAATTTTATATAGGGTATATATTTACATATTGTGTGCATGTTATAACACTTAATGATTATTTATTTTGCATATCTCATTTTAATCCACTGATATTATTTTAACCATTAATTGTAAATAATTAAATTATCATATTTTAATTTATAAAATATATATGTATGTACATAGTATATATATATTTGATTATCTAATTTTGAATGTAGACGCTGTTTAAAATTCAATATTTCAACAATTCTTGAAAAACGATATTTGACGGATATTTCCACAATTCTAATTACACATTAAATATAAGGTTAAATTCATAAAACAATAATATTTTTGTAATTGTAATTGAACAATGTAGACTGCAAAATTACGAATAAAACCACATTTTGTAAAAAAAATATATACATTAGTTTTGTTTTACTATGTTTATCATTATTTGTAACAATTTAAGCCGAACGTAGATGCAATTGCCTGAGACAATCGTGTTTTAAATTTCCTATCCGAAAGATATAGAACAGGAAAAGTATTTGTTTTGTTCTCTTCGCAAGCCGTGTAATTAATTACAGCGCCTAAAAATATGCAAAATATTTGAGCGAATGTGTAGTTCACTTATTTACTGAACTTATACGCCTAAAAGTACGCAATTCACTATTAACAATGTTAACGATTTTATTTGTATTGTTGACAAGTTCAATTCAAATCAATGGATTCTTATTTTGTAAAAAAATAAGTTAAGACATTAGTACAGCAATCTCTTTTATTGTATTTTTCGATAATCCAACATTTTGATTCTTAAACCTGCCAACAAATAGTACAATCAAATGGACGGACTTGCCGTCGTCGACTTAGCCGACACTGGCGTGGCCGATTCCACATTATCCAAATGCTCTTGACTTTGTTTTTCTGCACCAGCTTCTAATTTCTTATCACCGTCTGCGAGAAGTTCCAATGCCTCTTCGGGTTCTTCAATTACGCGATACGTAATCGGTGCCGGTTCCTTTGCTGGCAACCAATCTGGTATGATCTTATCATGTAAACGCCACTTGCCATATTCATTGGAAATATGCTTTTCAAAGACTACATATTCCAGTACATCCTTAGCTAATATTTCGCTACCATGCATCAAACGGCCAAAGCGATCGTAAATAGCCAACAGTTGCTGTGTATGAAAACGCACCGTAACTTGTGCGTATAAATTTTCTTTGCTAATAATATCAGTGACACGAGCATGCACCAGACGTGGTGGTTCCAATGATTGTAAGAAACGCCAATGAATGGTCTTATCTCGTACATTATGCATCATTTCTGGATAACAACGTTCGGTTACGAATTCACGTAACTGATGTTTATTTTTCGCTGCCATTTGATTGTGCGCTGCAATATAAATATCCTGCGCTTGACTAGCGAATTCATCCGTGCTGAATTCCTCTTCATATGAGCGTATTTTACGTACTGCCATAACGCTTTTCGATTTCTTCTCGAGAAATTCAAGCTTTTGTTTAGCACCTACTGATGAAATGAAGGACTTTTTGCCATCACCCTCTGGCGGTACGTAGGCTTCAAAAATACCGCCGGTGCAACTAATATGAAATGGGCGCTCGAGCCAAGGACGTGGTGGTAGCACACCACGTTCCTTTAACCGGCTACGTATTTCTTCTTGCGTCAAATCACCAGGCTTCTCATGAAAATTAGGCAAGTCCAACTTTACAAATTTTTGTGCGCGTAGCTTTTTGAATTTCGGATTCCAGTGTTTCGTTTGCCTGTGACGCAATTGCTGGGACTGCAGTTGCAATAATGCTTGCATGGCCGGAGGTTGAACAAGCTTTTATGAAAGAAACCAAAAATTTGTATATCTTTAAATTGGGGTTATGACACAATGTTTTTGTAAAAGATAGCAAATTAGTTCCTCTTTGTTACCTGCAACATTTTAATACCACAACGTGCTGAGGCTGCGAGCTCCATTATATACTTATATACTTCTTTCAACTTCTATTCAAGAAAATTCACTGCACAATACCAATTATATGCTTCACGTTCAATTCCAATTCACATTCGATTTTCGGGCAAGACATCAGACGTCAAAATCAGCTGTGGGTTAGTGTTGTATATTTTGAAATTGTTGTATTTGCCTATGTATATGAGTAGTTCGTTCTAACTACTGAATAGATTTTAATATATTAAGAAATTTTAACAAAATAGAACTAAACCTACATTTCTTTGCATAGAATATACCTACATAAAATTGAAATTTAATAAGAGCTATCTTAGAAAACATATCTCAGCTAAATATATCTACGGTGAATAAGTGAAATTGACAAGATGAAGCATCGCTGATTATTGATTTGTGCATTCACAATCCTCAGTTCAAGTACGCAGCAATAGAATTTGTGCTGCTCCGAAAAAAATGTAAAATATTGTTAATTGTTATAAATAAAATAATAACAACATTTGTGAAAAGAAAGAGAAATATCAACTATTATTTGTCGAAATAAAATTTATCACGGAAACATGGATTTCCCACAGCAATTGGAAGGTAAAGGACAAAGGGTGCAACTTTTTACAAAGCGAATATCGACTTGAATGAAATGAAAAAGTGGGTGGGCTAGAGGCAGCGGGTGGGTCCAAGCAAACAATAGCAACAGTAGGGCTTGTTGGCTACTGCAATGGAGTACGTAGAACTAATATCGAAAAGAATGGGTACACAATCCTAAATAATAATGACTTTGTTATTGTTAATGTCTTACTCGGTGCCGGTGTGGTGCAAGTTGGTATTGATTTTTGCGAAAGTGCCACTGTAACCAAAATAAATTCACTTTTTTAAATTTGTAATAATGTTTTTAATGTTTTTATTTTATTAAAGACCATGGTAAACTACAATAATTGGCACGAATTGGATATATTTTCAAAACCTTCAATAAAAAATTCATCCTATTTAACCCGCAAATAAAGTGGATATACATACAAAAGTGTATACATTTTTCCTGTACATTACTATTTTAAACTGCATATAGAAATTTTAGTGGAGCGACCACCATCTTCTTTTGATGTTATAATGGAATCACCGTTGTGTGCTGTCGCTGATCTGGATCGAAAGGCGCAACCAAGTAAATCTGGCAGCAAGTTCGACAATTCTTCTACGATTGAAAAAATGAATTCGAGCATGAATAGCACATTGGATGACACAACGCCAAGTGATTCTGGAGTGCAGCTGCTTGATTCTGAATCAAGCGAATTCATGGTAGAATCTATTACCTCACAAACTGGTTTCGAATTTGAAGAAATCAAATCAGGCAATGTACAAGAACGTAGCGATAGTTATGAGCAAGTTGCTGTAGTTGCACCGTCAATCCCAAATGTTAAAGAACGTCATTTTGTTAGCTCAGTATTTGAGGAAATTGTAGCCGGCTTTGACACAAACTTCAATGTTACAACAACTGACAAAACGCACAATTCAGAAGCGAATGTTCCCATTGAAGACGCCATGACTACAAGCACCTGTTCCACCTTTGATACTACAGAAAATATTGTATATCGGCGTAAAGCGCGCAAGGCATCCACTACACCTAAAGCGCCCAAAAAACGAGTATCCTTTCATGAAGACATACTCAAAAATACTCGCACCGACAATATACATATTGAACATGGCTTCATTACCTATAAGTCTGGCCGCAAAGCGCTACAACATATAGGAGTATCGGGACGCTATTCTTGGTGCTCAGAAGGAGATGCAGGTGCTACAGGTGGTGCAGCTGCACAATCAGAACTGTGTGCACATACTCATGAAGATGAAGTGGATCAAAATAGATGCGAACAAAGACGCCGATGTGTTGTCTACCGTAACGCATGTTCAGATGTACTAGACTATGGCAACTCGGATGTATACGATATGGAGGAGCAAAAAGCATTACAATATGATAATTCTGGTGTTTTTGAATATATGCCAAAAGAACGTGACGGTGCTGCTGATGGTGCTGGTGTAGGACATGGTGCTGAGGGGCAACAAGTGTTGTATCGGTGCTCTTGTTCTAGCTCGAATTCCAGTTTGGACTCGGACGAAAATGATAAAAACTCAAATAGGCAGCAATATGGACAAGCGAAAAGCAGTTCATGCGACTGTATTGGCATGAGCAACGCGAACAATAATATTATCGGTGAGTCATTAATTTGATTAAGATTATTTGCTTTGCCCATAGTTGAGCGGTTATTGAATACATATATTATATTAAGGAAGATTTATGCTTTAGGTTTAAATTAGAATAAATAAGTAAAAATTAATATTTCCGGAAAAAAATTTTTTCTATAAAATGAATCTAAATTTTATGAATCCCGTATAATTTATTATCGTTATATGTTGTATTTTAATGTACTCGTATGTGTAGCATATCATTTTGTAAAAAATCATTACTGAAGTGCACAACCAATTTATTCAAGCTTACATCTATCTTCAGGCGATAACTGTTACTTCTCTGAACCGAACATTGATAACCTAAATGAAAATAATCCGAAAAAATCGGTGTGGAACAAGGAGAAAAAACCGAAATCAAGCTGCTTAAAGAAACCCAAACGAAACACCAATATCATTTACGAACAGGATCTAAGTACACGCGTCAAAAAATTTAATGTGCACGATATGAATCAATTAATCGACAACAGTAGCAAAATGATTATTGGTTCATTAAAAAGTATATTCACTATGCCGCTTCCAGAGCGCGGTGTACCCGAAGGTTCTGAAGATCTCCAGTCAGTTGTCGAATGCGTACCAGAATTGGAACAAGCAACACCGGAGCACAAAGCGAAACCATTAACTGAATCATCATTTGCACCGCCTTCGCCACCACTTAAGCAAAAGCCTTTTCTAAGTAAAAGCCTTGATGGCTCTAAAAAGTCGCAGGGCGTTAAGAAATTCGTACACAATGTCGACGAGCAATTGCGTCGTAAGAATGACGAAGAGATATACGCACCGACACGTCAAAGTAGCGCAGAAAAATCCGCTATTACCGAGACACCCAGTCGAGTGTTGCAGAGGCAGGAAGAAATCGATGCAGACCAACGCCCCGATCTAGTGGGTACCTTCACACAAAACCAACTCGTCGATAAACCTACAGATGTTGACGCGACAAAGCAGCTGCCGGCGGCTGCTGACAAACCGTCACAATTTCGCAACAAATTCATTGTTAATTGTGAGAGCACAGTTTTCGAGCACACAGGTGTATCATATTGTTACGACACAAATGAAATGCTCGAACTTGATTTGGACACAGCTAGTAATACGCCTGGAAGTATTGCGTCGAGCTTGTTACTGGAAAGTGAAACCCCCATTGCACAACCGGAGCCAGATCATTTACGTAGTGCTTTCAGCGCTGCGCCCATAGCAAAAACATTTTCGAACTTCTTTCGCAGTTTTAATAAAGATTCAGTCGCAACACCCAGCACTAAGAAATCTTCAGCGACTAAAAATGTAATTAACGTTGTGGAAGATACACAGAGAGCAGGCGCTGATAATAATTCTTGTAAGTACAAATTGTTTGCTATTATTATAATATAAGAACATTTTCGTATTTTTTACATAACATACTTAGAACAGAATAATTCACTTGCATCCGTTTAATTGTTATGCTTTTTTTCCAGTACCCAAAATTCAACAAAATTCATTCAACGAAGCCACCGATCTAAAACAACCTCTTAAACATCCATTGCCAAACACGTTCTCATCGTCTACAATATCCGATCTGACCAATTCTAGTGCATGCTCATTACCGCAGGCACAATCGAAAGCAACAACCAGTTCGTCACTCAACGTTGGCAGCGTAGGTAATAACAGCAACAATAGTTTGGCTATAGGACAAGATTTGCGTGGCAATGTAGAAAAACAACAACGCCACTTGCCCTCGCCACTGAAAAAGCGAGTAAGTGGCGGTAATTTAGCTACACAACCGCAACGCTATGGAACAAGTCTTGTTGGCGGTGGAAATATGGCGCTTTGTCATCCCGAACCAACATTCCTCAGTCCGGATATTTTCAATTTGGGCAGCACTCCGGTCCTAGCAAACAGCACGCCTGTTGGCAGCGGTGGAGGCAGTGCTGGTGGCTACATTGGCGTACGCGGTAATGGTGGGCGCGATTCGAAGAGTACTATACTCAGCGAGGAATTTGATGATATTATAACCATAACAACGGATACGGATAAAAATGAAAGTGACATTGTCATCGTAGATTATCCGAGTGAAACGAGTGAAAGGCAATTAATGAATGACTATGCGAATCTCTTGAAGCCACCGCAACCAAACAATGCGAAAACATCGTTAATTAATCGCTTCTTACGTAATGTAACACAGAAAAAGATACTCGAATCTTCGATACGCAAAAATAATTTCTTTGCTGACAAATTACGTAGTGAGCAGAAACTCTTCTCTGGCAATTTATATGTACCAGGTGTAAGGCCTAAAAATTATGAACTGATTGACGATTTGAATGCCGAAATAGCGATGGAGATCGAAATGTCGGGTGCGAATTCGCCGCGGCACGAATTAGCACAAATTGAGAACCTACCGGGCGATGTGGCACGCTTTGAACTTGGTATTGGTGAAATATCGATTGATATATTTAATGGAAACTATTTGCATATACTAAGAGATCCTGCAGAGCAGCTTATGAAGGTGAGTTGGCGCTAAAGCGGGCAAGTCAAATATCTAATATAACTAATATATTTTCTTAAATAATTCGCAGGTCTTCAAATTATACACCGGCTATAGTCGTGAAGGCTATATGACACCGGTTTTAGTTTTCCTTACCGATCGCACATTGTACGTAACGGATTTGGTGCGCAATCGTTTATGTTCGAAATTCGTGCTCGCCTATGTCGAGCTGGATGTGATATTAGTGAGTTCGAAATTTGCAATTGCCAATGTGCCATCACTAACACTTTGCTACATTTCCAGATGGGTCCCTTTGGCAATACGGTGTTACTCAGCAATAGCGCACGCGACATGCAACAGGTATTGTTAGCTGGTGGCCCGTATCCCGCTGATGGTTTGGTAGCAAATTTGGAGATGTGCGCGCGTCGCAGTGGCTCTTCACTACCTGCTGTCGGACAATTGTCGTTTGCTCATCTTGCACCACTACAAGCATTTGTACGGGAAAATTCATCGGTTGGTGCAACAGACACTTGGATGTACTATGCGGTGGTGAATGTTCCAGCTGGCGTCCTAGGTAGTGAGCAAGAACCCTTGGGACCGCACATTAAAGGTTTTCTCATGCATCGACGCATAAAAGATCACCAGGCGAGTAATAGCGCCAGGCATATCTGGAATCCCGGTTATTTCTTGTTGAAGTAAGTTATGGCATTATCTTTAGTCTACCTATTTTACCAAATATTATTTGTTAATTAGGGCTGGTGTTTTATACATGTTTAATGACTCAACTCAGAAAATACCAAGCTGGGCTGTGGCACTCGCTGAATGTCAAGGTGCACGTCGCTCTCTCAAAGCTGGGAGACCACATTGTTTCGAGATCATTTTGAAGGGTCAACTATTGCAATTAGCCGCACCGGATGAGTATGTAGCCTCGGAGTGGTTGCAAGCGCTGTTGCAAACTGCGAGTGGTGTTAGTATAATTTTTGCTAAATTCTTTTAACTCAAAGTATTTGTAATAAATATTTTGTAATTTTGTAGCTGTTTGAAATGCAGGAAAAGCATAAAACTCTTGGTTGCACGCTAGTAGTGACACAGCATCATTTGATAACTTTGCGTGAAGATTTTTCGGCGCCATTAAAGCAAATTAAGTTACATACAGCTGATACAGAAAATACGCAAAATGTAGCAAGTTGTGGCAAGGATTTTCCAGCTCGCGTCAATGATGAATACAGTCTAACAGCAGGCGAAACAGGAAGCATGGTAAGGAACTTTTACTCTAAATCGCATGTTCACTTATTTGTTGTAACCATATCATTAGAGAGCTTACGGAGATACACTCAAGATTAAAATTTACCCAGACTGGTAAATTTTCGCGTCGTCTACAAAAAGCTGCCAAACACACACTAATTTATATATGGAAATCAAACCTTACACGAACATTATAAAAAGGTTTTACCAATTTTGTAAAAAGATTTTATTTTAATTTTTTTTTTATATTTTTTTAAAAAAATTTTTATTCTTATATTTTTTATTTAATTTATTTTTTATATTTTTTATTTTTAATTTTTATTTTTTTTTTAATTTCATTTGTTTTTTAATATATTTTTTATTTTTTATTATATTTTTTATTATATATTTTTTATTTTTATTTATTTTTTATTATATATTTTTTTATATATTTTTTTTTTATCAATTCGTTTTGCGCGCCCACTTTATATGGGCCTGTCCAGGTAAAATTTGATCTTGAGTGTATCCTTTCCTCTGCATATATATTTAAGATATAAATAATATGTTTAATTTTAATAAACCTTAAAATATTTTATATTTCTCACAGCTAAGTTCAGCAATGAGCACACCAACCCGTTTCGCACCAAGATCTTGCTCATCAGTGAATTCAACACCCACTAAACTTTCCCAATTATCACAGTCTACAACCACATGCGCCGACAATACCACACATTCAATTTCTACAAATGCCACCACCACCAATGCCACATCATTAGCCACAACCACCAACTATTCACGACAAGTTCCGACGGAATGTGCTATGCAAACGGAAACTCGTTACTCCAATATGTATAGTGTGTATGGGAAAGATTCTGGTCTAGAGATACTCACTTGTGCGGATATAAAAGAAATGACGGGCATTAAAATACCATCGCACAATGACACATGGTGGTGTGTGCTGGAGTTCTCTTGCCAAGAGGTGCGGGACAGCACCGATGATTTGGTGGTCTTCTTTGCGAGCAGCTCGGAAATGCAACGTTTCTTACGACTGCTCGAGCAGTTGTGGCAGGCAAAGAATGTAAGTGTAATAAGAAAGTCTTTCAAAAATATTTCAATTATATAACATATTTTCAGAATGATTTATTCCCAATAACGGTGTTGGATGAGGACGACTTAATAGCTGAGCAATGCACCACGCTTTATATGGATATAAATCGTGCGTGGGAACCGCTACTCTCTGCAGCCATGGGCTATCCATTGTGAGAAGTTTTCAGCAAAAAGGCCGTTATGAATTAAGAGCTAACAATTTGCAGTGTTGAGAAGGACAAATAGAGCAGTATTTTTTCAAATTAACCGCTGGATGATGGAAAAAGGTGTCAGTAAATAAAAATTAAGCATTATAAAAGCTTTCGTACTCTCAAAACGTAACTCAAACTAAATTGCAATATCAAGTACATATTTGCATGAATACAAAAACAAACACATAATCACACAAGCGAAATGGACAGTTATTACAACTAATATGTCAAGATAGTTAAGCGATGAAGTGAGTTTCGATGTGAATTAATATAAAATTATGGTGAATTGATAAGAAGTCATTGTACAACATTAAATGGTAATACATTTTGGCTATTCTGTGCTTTTTTTTTCAAAGTACTAAATAATTATATCTTCGTTACTTATTGGAATATTTAACTGTACTAATTTTGTTATTACGAAAATAGTGAAGAAGTTTGTTTAAAATGTAATGGATATCAAGAAGTATGCCACTTTTCATTATTTTTTTTTTCTTGCACAATCTGCGATAACTACAAATATCAAGAAAATGCGCTTGCATAATAATTTTCTCATGCATATAATTTAAATGTTTTCAAAATGTATTTATTTTCAGCGCTAAATTTTCTTAAGTCTGCGCAAATTTTTATTCAGATTTCCAACTATATCATAAATTTTATTAGTCATATAGTTTCCCCCTTTCAAAAGTAATGATTGCATCTAAGCAAATGTGTTATAAAAGGCATACATACATACATCTAGTGTCGTATTGTCAAAGCGAAACTTTATCATTTCATACAACATCGCCATTAAAATTAAGTTTATGCTATAGTAAATCGTGATATATTCATTTAAGCTTACCTAAATATTTATTTTTGTTATAATGTTTATATTGAATATCAAAAAAATGTAATTTTTATGTAAGATGAAATATGAAACTGTTGAATATAATATTTTTGATTTTTAAATTTTGTGTATAAAATATATATTTTATATTTAGTTAGCTAGGCTAACAGTTGCAGTTGATGTGTTTTCACATCATTTAACGCTTTCATATTGTGATTTTTTTCCAATATATATTGTAAGCACTTTTTGGAATATTTTTTCACCTTTGTGTGTGGGCGTGCTGGAGCGTATAAAATTCACTTGTAGAAAACAGCACAAAAGACATTAGCGAAATAATTAATTCTCAAATGGCAATTGTTATTGCGAACAAATATTGTAATATAATGTATTCTTTTTTATTTTGTTCTTTAAATTTTACTTGCATACTTGCAAAATACATAAGATATGCATACAAAAATGATATATGAATACTCGAAATCTCAATAAATTAATATATATTTATGTATAATACAGAAAAAAGGTGAATGAACGTAATTTCAGGCAACATAATTATAAATACATATATACACATACATATTTCAATATGTATACTGCATAAATTATATAAGCTCTGATTTAAACAAAAGTCTATGCAATACATGAATGGTATTAATATAAATATATATATACAAAATACATACATATACATACTTAAATATGTCTTGTCAAATATTATATGTTTTCATACTTCGTATCCAATCATAAATGAAATATTTATACTAACCTATGCGCTTAATTTTTTATTAGTAATTTTAATTTTATTTTTTTATTATTATTTACCATTTGCTGTATTTTATTAACTTTTTCAATTTGTAATATATACGTTTTACGAATTCCTAGCTGAAATTTGCTTAAGAAACTGCTGCTAGCAAACTGTGTTGCCTTGCGTTCAAAAATGAAATTTAAACAAAAAAAATATTTATTGTATTTTTTGGCTTTTGAAATTAAAAAAAATATTGTTGTGGCTTTTTGCATAAAATTTTGTCAAACCAATTAAGATTTATTTTATAACAATTTAAGCTTAATTCTGCAATCAACCTCATATTAAAAAAAAATTGCTCTGCATGTTAATTATTTTTGCGCAATTTTTTTACCTAATGCAGAGCTGTTGGCAACTCTGTCTAAAAAATAATTGCTTCTTAATTGCCTTTAAATTATATAAATAAAATCGATAAAGAAAATTAAATTTTTTTTCAACTCATACAATAAAATAGTTGCGAAAACCAAATGTATCAAATAAAATATAGTTACATACTACCAAAGAGTATCAATTGATTCTGTCTTTCATTTAACTACATGCCATACATCCAACGAAACAATCAATTTATTAAAAGAAACTTTTGGCGAACGCATCTCACGTCGTGGGCCTGTGGCGATTTACCACCGCTGTCATATTTTTTTGTGAAGTCGCTTGTCTGCGCGGAACAGCCCGAGACAATTGACCACTTAGAAGAAAAAAAGCGTCGATTTATTGCTGACATACGGACACAATTGCTACAAAAAGTGGTAAAAAATTGTGTCAACCGCAGCGGTCACTTTACCGAAATAATTTTTAAAACATAATGGTAAACCCTTATATTTATAATAATGTTGAATTCTTGGCCATAACATTAAATGATATGCGCAAATTGGTACCATCGACTGCCTATCTTTCTCTCTCCACTTGTGACGACCGTAACTCACATTTGATTTTAGTGCGCTATAGTGAGCTAAGCTTTACGCTAAGCGTTCTTTGTACTTGGGAAAAAAAGGAAGAAACTGGGCTTTAGTTTTACAAATAAGAAGAGTGAACAAATTAAATTTATGAATATTTACAATTTTTTGTCAAAAAACAACTACATGTAAATGATAATTTATATATCAGAAAATTTCTATAAATTATTAAATATAGTCTGTTCCTTAATGAGATTTCAGACGGAATGTGAGAGACACAAGCTATTTAATTTTCGAAACGCATCTGATGCTACAATTTCACGATTGCAGTTTTGATTTGGTAAAAAGCATTTATTACCATACAAATTTTCAAAACTGAATAATTAAACCAAATATTCTAGTGCAATACTTTGAAACGCTAAACACTCTCGAGCAATCTTAAAAATTTAATTTTAGAAAAAAATTGCTTTGGTGAAAAACTTTGCTAGCTTAAAGCTTAATTTCCAATATCTGAACCATTTCCTGTATGCACATGCGCGCAATCTACTACCCTTACCGTTTGGCAAAGAAAACGTTTGGCGAAAAATAAACAACCTGCTCGGCAAATAAAACGAGTAAGCTACCACCACCCAAAACGAAATCGAATAAAGGCGCAAGTCGAACGAAGTGAAAGCGTGAGAAGCGTTTCAAAGAATTTGCCTTTGCCACTACGAAGCGCCGTGAACGTGGCGTCAGCTGCCATTCAACGCTCGACGACAACAATTTCAGGACGTAACGGTAAAATTGGCGGAAGTGACTGCTACCGGATGAGTGGTTATTGCTATTGTTGTGAATTATAATGTGTTTTTGATAAGTCTGAATGTCTGCAGACACCACAAAATGCTTTCAAATTAAAACAGTTAAAAATTTAATTTTTTTAAGTAAGTCTAACACTATAGAGAATTGCAAAACAACAAATAAAGTGAAAAAGAAACACTAAATGCATGTAAATGTGTTTTAAACAAAAACTCTGTATATGTACATATGCATACATACAAATGTATATAGAATGTACGTGGTGACTTGTGTGTACAAAAATATATGTACATAAATTCATATATCATACATTTGTGTGAAGATGTTGGTATGACTATGTTTGCGTTGAAAAGTGAAAAGCTACCCTGCAGGCAAGAAATCCATCAACACAAGGATACAATGGTGCCTCCACACATATACACTGGGGTCACGCATACATTTACTACTACACGTAGTGAGTAAAAACAACGTATCACAAACAATTACAAAAACAGCAATTAGTGCGAAGTTTAACTTTCAAAGTGAAAAGTGTATAAAATGGAAAATACAAAAACAATAACTACCAATACTATTATATACCGTTAAAATTTACTACCTCTATAACGAGAACTGCTGCATTTTCAATGGCAATTATATACACTCACGCACTCACACACTCGCTCTCTCTATCTCTGTATGCTGCAGCCTATTTTGTTACTGCTCTCTACCGAGTTCATTGCCGAATGCAAATACTCATCTAAATGGTTTTACTTTCATAACAACTTTCCGTTTTAAGGAATAGTCTACACTTTGTTAGATAAATTATTTATTTTAATTCTTGTTGTTAAGGCTTAAATAAATGTTGAGATTAAAATTATTAGATATTAAATACGGATATGTGTTTGCGTGAGTAATTTTTATAGCTTCACTCAGTGAAATATATCAGTATAAACATCCGTTGTCAGTGCTTCTTAAAGAAATAAAACTCTTCGGGAGTCGGTTCGACGATCTACCAAAAAATTCGTAAATAAGTTTGAATGCTATACGACCAAAGCACTTATTCTTCTCTTTAAAATGCAGCAGTGGAATGATTTCATAAATTCTAGTTATTTTTTATCGCAAGTTCGTCTGTAGACAGAATTTGTTTACATAACACTATTTCAAGCGATACCTAAAGACCTGTCCGATCAAGCCGGGAGTTAAACGGTTTTCTCAACCTTCTTCATTCGACCGTTTGTACATAAATGACTTCGGCCCTCAAATGTTTCAACGTTAGTTAACATTGAGTCAAGCTAAAATAGAACTTAATAATTTAATAAATTCGCGAAAAGAAAATATTAAAAATCTCTTAAAGCTGTGCGAAACAACTTTAAGTATGCTAGTGAAAGTTTGTTAGGGTTAGTATAAGGTTTATTATCAAGCCGACTAATTTGTAGTATGGAACGGTTGGGTGCTCTTAAATGAAATATCGTAGAGCCTTTGATTTTCTAGTATAATTTTGAGATAATCTTCATTGCGATCTCTACAACAATCTCGTAGCTCTCTTTTCTTCTAACGTCTCAATTTTTGGAAAAGTTCTAGGATAGATCGAACTATTGCTGCCAACACACTTTATTTACTCCGCTCAATTAGCAAGAGATTTACATACAAATACAATTTGCTCACCCCTCGCCAAATGTATTCGAAAAATATAATACGCTCTAAGTTTATATATATAACATGTATATATATGTAAATAATATAATAAATTATCAAAAGACAAAATATATTAGTAATGACTTCTGATGAAATATTAAACGATAACAAGAGCTCTATCAACTTCCTAGCAACACTTTGGCTTTGAGAGTAAGAGCGGATGTACCAAGTTTGTTTTGCTCGTTTCTCCATCACACTAAATAGCTCAAACTTTCACCACTCTAACAGCAAGCAGAGGAATTTCAATAGAATGAATGTTGCCCCTTGCTCTCTACATTTAACGGATATTTGACACAGTCTCTCAATGTATTATACTCATTCTATCACCAAGTAACACTCAATCATACTCACTCTTTAACTCACTAACAATTTATGCGAGTGAGTGAGTAAGTGTGCGAGTGAAGCTCACTGGGTTACTCGGCGCAAACACTAAGAGCATTCATTACACATACCTGCAGCCAAACATCACAATCTTATAAATATAAATATGGAGACTTATTGCACACACATACACCTGCATATTTACTAAATCATATGACTTAGAAAAGACTCCACACTATACCCGTACTAATATGGGTACATAGGATAGGCGCAAGCCACCCCCAACCACATTAACATACACACGCGCAGGCACAAGCAATTACACATACCCATTTGATTGTATGTTTGTATGGACCTTTCACCCCAGTCTAACTACCATTTGGCGAATATTTGTAGTATGAGTATGCGCACCCTTTCCCATTCCACAAAATGCTTGCATGTCGCTGCCGCATAGCAGCAGCAGGAGCAGACAGCATAGCAAGTGAAAAGTGAAACATTTCCCGTTAGTATTGCATATACATATGTACATACAAAACGACATTATCATGTAGATTGCGCCTCACATACGATTTCCACCCCCGAAATGGAAAACAGAAAAATAACAACAGTAAAAGACATCAATATGTAAAAGCAACAACAACATCAGCAACAACAGTGCATAGAAACAACGACATTTAGTAAGGGAAATAAAAGCAAGCATCAGAATAGCGACGCCACCTGAAGTTGTAGACCAAAAATGTATACCATTTACGACAATTTGTCTATTGTTATTGTTATTAACGACTCGAGACTAGTCTTCCAATAAAACCAACTATATGTATAAAGTTCACTAGATTTTCTTTAATTTTTTGTATTTTAAGCAAAATATTCGCGTTGGCAATTTATCGGAGAAGTTCGTACAAGTTATAAGTAAATTGTAATTTCTGTAAACTATAAAACATAGCGCCGAATTTATGGAGGGCAATTTGGGTGAATGTCATTTTAAGCTAGTTTGAAACTTAGCTATAATTTATGTGATCACGCCACAGATCTGTAGGACTGCATATATATTCAAATTCGTAAATTAAGCGCTTTTTAAGCGTTATTTCTAAGTATTCCGTGAAACATTTAGAAAACATATGTCAAGCTATCATAAACAATATCAATATCGGACTTTAATATATTGTATTTAAAATAAAATTTTTATATCTTTTGATAACAATATATCTTGGTATATTTACCAAATAAGGTTGGCTTTATCGCTCGCATATAACCAGTTTGGTCTCATGCTGGTATAAAACTTATTTATTTAATTACTTTCACTCTACAAACGCCGAATGGAGGGCATAATAAATTAGTAAAAGCAGAGCAAATCAAGCACACTTCATGTCCTACTATTTACTCTGTCTACCCTGCTTCACACGATGTTTCTACCCCTGTGCCGATATCGCAGAAAAAGCATTAGAAACAGGAAAACAACAAACCATTGTCGTCTACTGGGTGGTAGTAGAAAAGACCTAATAGGAACAACAATACTAACATAAGCGTCTGTACTATTTTATATATATATAGAATGGTGTTAACTCAGTGTGCAATCAAATCTTTTGTAGAGTTATTTTGATTGAAAACCAAACAAGTGCGGTGGACTGAAATAATATCAAATGCATGTTAAAATCGCTTTATTCTCTCATTACCATAAGGGTAATTATGTTTATTCTTGAGATACCTACATAAACAGATATAACTATGTTTAACTTCGTTTAGTGCATCGCTAGTAAATGCTGGCTATCGGGTTAGAAAAAATTCAATACTGAAATGCAAAAACACAGGCTCTTGTAAGAAACTTCAAATTTCTGTGACCATTCATTTTTCGAATCATACGCATATGAAAAGTTATAAATCGCTATCGGAGCGTCGATTATACGTGGATAACTACTATTTCGTTTTGACAGCTACGTCTCAAAACTGTTAAGCAGTTACAAATAACCGTTAGATGTATAAAATTTTACAATTAGGTGAGGCTGCTAATGGTGTGAGTGGTTTGAGTGTTCTGAGACCCATTCACAATAAGAAATAAAATTATAAAAATATGTTCTTAATAGGCCGACACCCAGATTTCCGGATCATATTTACAAAAAACAAGTGGTGTACTCTTTTTCCTGCAGGCATACCAAGCACACACACATACATACTTACCTACATTTGATAACATATACACACATATAAATGCAGGGCTATCGATATTCCCACCCCCAATGTGGCAACTATACTCGCCAGTTTTTATTGCCTTTGCACATATTGTTTTTGTTGACTTCACGGTGCGTGCTATTGTATACCGACAGCAGTTTACTGCTGACGATAGCTTTTACTTAGTTTCCTCGAGTCGTGCTACATCTATGTTTGGTCTATAGTCTCCGTTAGTTCTTCAGCTTTTACTTCTTTTGCGTCGTGTAGTAAAGCAATAAATGGCGCTAAATGTATTAGTTTACAGCCGTAGTAGTTAGTACATACATTTTGAATAGAGAGAAAGAATCTCATAGTCAAACCCAGAGGCACTGGCAATTTAGTGTCAACTTCTCAGTTGCCAATTTCACAACTGCACCGCTCGTCGTTCACAGAAATTGAAAGTTAAAAATATAATTTCTTTCCGCACAACCTTATCTGCAGTGGCACACAATATTTTGTTGCTGTTATTGTTGTTCTGTTTCTTTTTATTTTCTTCACGACTACAAGAACAGCGCCACCCAGCAACCCCCAGGTTCACAAAAGATTGTATAAGCAAGTGTATGTACTTGCATAATTGCATAGAGAGGAGATGGAGTATAGATATGATGCGACAGTACACCAAACAACTCACCCTTAAACGGCAGCGGAGACACCTCAGCAGGTTTACTAACTCACACTGTACTCTTAGTAGACGGGTGTGCGTTGCGGTCACAGACGGACGCACAGTGGACGCGCATTAACTATTCTTAGTTGTCGGCAGGATACACACACACAATCATAAGTTTACAAAATATATACACATATTATATTGTGTTTGTTTGTGCACACATACACATACATAAAAGTGTCTTTCGTTACATATGGGTGTATATATGACAGAGTTACATACGTACATACTAGAGATGTGCATGTGAGTTTAAGACTGTATGGTGTCTTCAGTCACGGCCCATTTTAGTCGCTTAAACAGTAGTGTTAGTGTTGCCGTGATTAAATCATCGCCGCCAAACTGTGCGCTCGCGAAAAACGAAAGTTAAGAAACACTTCAATATTCCAACAGCAGCGGTAGGAACAGTAGAGGTGCGACAGCAATAGCAAAAAATAACCAAATTGCCACCTAGTCGCTGTCATCCGCAACGCTGTCAGGCAGACATTCTTGGTTTAGTGTGTGATTTGGTTGCAGAATGTTGACGTGTAGTAATAGAGATTTGTAATTTTTCCTGCTATTTTCTTTATTTTCGAATGCAGTGAGAAGTGAGCAATAAAAGAACATTTTCTAAGCTATAAAACGAGTTTTTCTAATTGATAATAAAAGCAAAAGTTTAAATTTGCTTCATAAAAATAAAAGGAATATATATTTTATTAAACTCAAATTTAACAAAATGTGCAAAGTTGTGTAATTAAAGTACAGAAGAAATGAAAAAAAGTGAAAAGTGAAAGCCAAAACGGATAAGCAATATTTAACGCAACCCACCCAAACAAGCTTGGCAGCGCAAACCTTTTCCATTTATTTAAAATAATTTTTAAGTAGTTATAGCTCTATATAAATAAAATAGTGCCCGTTATTAACATTTTCCGTCGTTGACACAAATTCGCCGTTAACGTGTCATGATGAATTTCTCCGCGTTCGGTGGTCCCTTTTCCGGCATACATCAGTTTGCGGCCAAATTCGGCCACGACACACAAGGTCCACCCGGCGCCTTTGCCACGCCCACCGGCATCAATGGCAATACAACGGCGGGAGTCGCCGATAATCATGTGCAACGCTATCAGACGAACGGCAATCATTTCAATCAAAATATACCAAATGGTGAGTAGTGTCACTAGTAAGCAATTTTATATACCAAACAAACATATATGTATATTTACATACATAGATATAATATAAAATAAAAATAATTAAAAAACACACTACATACATGCATAACAATAATTGCGCAGTCAGCGCTTAAGCGAGCAAAACTAATGTGAGCTGGCTATTTTGATATTGATTATTTTCTTTTTATTCCCACTAACACCTATAAAAAAACAACAACCACCCCACGTAGGGCTACAAAGTACTTTTGGCCGCGCGCTTATAAATTATGCTTTGGCTGTGCGAGTATACACGCTTTACGTGTTTTTGACTCATTACCTAGCCACCCCGAGCCACTTTGCTGCACGAAGTTGGAAAAAGCACACGCGCGCACACATACATATATAGAAATAAAAAAACGCACAACGCGACGCCAATGTACTGATACATTTATACATATTATATAATAAATACACACATGTATGTCAGTATGTAAAAGCGTTTTTAACAGCAATAGAAAACCAACTCACTTGCAATGTAAGCATAACCCCAGCTCAAACGTTGCAAGTGAAGTTATAACGCGGCAAAGGCACAGAAGTCAATCGGATAGGTGCACAAGCGTTGTAGGGTTCCACTGTAGCTGCAGCACTACAACGCTGCCGCTACCCGCTCCATAAACTTCCATTTAAAAGCAGCAGTGTGGCAGCACAGTTTGGCGGCAGCTGTAAAGCGAGCTCCAGCTCCAGCTACACACGCGGCCCGGCCATTGCACTACACTCACCAGCGCTACCAGCGCCGCCTCTACTAGCATCCCCCATGCTGAAGTGAACTGTTGTTGCGAAATGGGGTTGGTTGATGGCAAAGCGCTTTGACGGCGGCGTTTTTGAAATTGCATCGCACACAAATTGGCGCGGTTTCGCTCGCTTGTTCGAGCACAGAGTTTCACACTGTTGTGCGCGTATTGCTGGCGCCCCTTGGTGCGGCTGTCACTTTTTCAAAATCCCTCGCTTTTGCCTGACTTCAGTTTGCCACCCCTTCATGCAGGTTATTGCCATCTGTTTGCCCATGCCGCGACATTGATTTTCCTTTCAGCTTTATGTATTCGCATATGTATGTATGTAGGTATATCTCGTATTTGTAGAAATGTAAATGAGTAAAGTCAGTGTTTGTTGGCTGTTAAAGTTGCAATATTTGCATTATCTCCTGTATTTATTTTATTTTTTTCGTTACATGCTATGTCTATTAGTTTTCGGCTACTTTTGACAGACACTGAAAAAAATCGAACCCTTTAAGTCAACATACTCGTGTGCTTTTGTGTGCTTGGCTTCTGCGAGTAGCAAAACAATATTTTTCCAACTCCATTGAAACCACATTTCAACTTATATAATTCATCAAAGAATTGATCATAGCTAAAAACAGCCACAACTTTCCAAAACTGTCAACCAACCGCTTCGCCATCGTCAATCAGTCAATCACCTGCCACCACACCAAATGCTAGTACACCTCCCACACCACATAGTGCCTATAATCGGTATTGCTCGCTCTTAGCGCTTGCAACGAAGTCAATTTCTTATTCGCGTGCGCCCACACCGCGCTCGGCTACACCACCCCAAACGAAAGTGACTTTCTGAAGGATGCTGCTATTTCATAATTCAATTCATTGTCATAGCAATACGATCTGTTTGTACATATATGTGTGTAGGCTAAATTTATACACACGGACCATATGAAAAAAATATTTCTTCCGTTCGTCTTTTCTTCTTTCGATTGGTTGGTTCACGCTTCGCAATTCCTCAGCTCTCAGCTCGGCGCAGCTCAGAGTTCATTGATCTCGCGTTGTATGCGGCTTATTGTCATGAAATTAATTGCATATATTAAGCAATAAATATTTTGTTCTTATTCAGGTAGAGGTGTGTAAGTGTTTCTTATATATTTAATTCCCAAAGGCTGTCAATTACAATATCATGTGTTTCTTAGTAAAAAAGTGAAATTTGAGTGCAATTAATTTGCACACAACACTTGCATAAATACTCGTATTTGATGCAAATATATTCTTTTATATACTACGCGACAGCGTATAAAGTAATATATGTAAAAACTCCAGAAACCGTCCAAACCTTCTTTCATCTGACAAAATATGTCTTATAACATATCGAAAATCTTGCAGGAAATTCGTTGCATATTTCAAGGAGCCATTAACCAGGGTATATCAAGTTCGCCACGAAGTTTGTTGCACCCAGAAGGAAACGTAGGTGAACCTATAAAATATATGGTAGATATAAATGTCAGCGTGACAAGTTGAGTGGATTTAGCCATGCCGGTTTGTCCGTCTGTCTGTATAAACGCTAATTAGTCCCTTAGTTGAATGATGATACCTATTGTAAATATCTGAAGCAAATTGCAAATATCTATAAATTGTGTTAATCTAACTCAAATTTTAATAAATATATAGTTTGTTACCTTCATTCAAATCTGTATGTTAAACATATTTTAATCCCATACACAAGAACTTCTAATTTGAGAACCATAATTTGTTTTTAAACTCAGCTTTCACTGTCACTCTAAAGGTGACACTCAACTAAATGATAAAGTCTCTACAAAAACATGAAAAACAGCAAGAAACTAAGTAAAATATTATAAATGGTAACAACAGCGTCGACAAAATCATTTTTAAGCAAACTAATGGAGTTTTTTATCGATTTTTCGTTATTGCTGACGATGACGACGACGACGACGATGATGATGGCGATGTCGGCAATGACTGCGACACTGGGGATGGAGAAAGTGTTTGAGGCGAGGGTTATGGTGGAAATACATTAACGGCAGGCGGTGATTGTGTTGTTGTTTTTGTTGCACTTGGGTATACACAATGATCATTAGAACTACACTGATAATAAAGTTGTATATAACAAAAACAAAAACTTCGTCCGCCAGTATGAGAAATTCAGACGAGTTCAGTTTTGCTTACTGCTCGCTTCTGCTTTTATGTAAATAGCTTAAAGAAGTTGAAGAGTCAGCTGTGCAAAAGTAAGAGGGAGGAAAGCGAAGGGCGCGACTGCTGGCGCTAGCTTTAGGAGGTGGTAAGTAAAAGCACATCGCTTGCATACGAGGCGATCGACCTCTCCCAAAACGCTAACAAACCGTTGCAATGCACACATAAACAACAAAAACGAAAAGCAGTAGTTGAGCAAAAAAAAGTTTTTACAAAAGCAACTATGTATGTACTATATATGTGGGGTGGTAAGAAAACAAAAGAGAAAAAGCGAAAACACACCACCATTTTGGACGCTTTACCAAGCAGAAGCTGCTGGTCTGTACTGTAAACATATGTATTTGTGTATGTGTATGCATACACAACCAACCCACAATGCGGCCATTGGCTGCAGTGGTGGAGACCCATTTCCGTTGGAGCTCTCACTACGCAAACGGGGTGCTAGTGAATGACTGCGAAAATGATTATCAGTTAGGTCATGATGATGGTGCTTCTTTTTGTAGGCTTGTATGTTTTCTATACATATGAGTAGAAATACATAACTACACATATATTTTTAAATAGTATATACTTTGGTAGGTTTGAGTCATCATACACTTGCCCACAAATGCTTCCTCCCCAAACAACTTTTTGTTTTTGCAAAAACCATTAAAGTTGATAGTCTAGGCTGAAATGTCTGAGTATATGAAAATAAAAGTACGAATTCGAGACGTAGGCCATAAAAGTGAATAATCTTTAACTTGATTTTTTACCGTAAAATAAGTTCTGAGGCATTTGTATTCAATAAATTGATGTACATATTTTAGGGTTCCACTTAAAAAGTGGGAACATATGTATATATTAATAAAATATTATTTCGTTAAATATACATAGTTTTATAGAAATTTTGGTTTTGGTTATTATACCTTCTAATTTAATATGACATATTTATCTGTGTAGATCTGAAACGTTCTTTTAGTAATAATTTATTTAAGAACATTGGCCATAGCAACAAAAATTAATGCTGCAATTAATTTAATCGAACGTTATCATACAAAATTGATTTCATTTTTAACATACACTCGTTGCACTCCACAATGTTCAGCTTTAACTCAAGTCTTTCAACTTTATTAGGCGCGTGCCTACCGGTCGGTTTTACATATCTACCCCAACTATGTACATAGAGGGTTGTAAATACATTGAAATGCTCACACATACGCACAGGCACATAAACATGTAGAATATTGATGTAAAACATGCTCCCTCTTTGTATTTGTTCCTGCAGAATGTGTAATAGTACGAGTACTTGTTAGCATGCGATAATCAAACATACACGATGTATGTATACGTATGTACATACATATGTGTTTGTAGTATATAATTATCAGCGCCAACCCCATGAAATTACTCAAACTCCAAACTACTCTTTCACTCTAACTCTCTTTACCTCAACCACTCGTTATTTTGTCCACCTTCACTAATCGCACTTGCTATTTCCAAACTCACTCTTTTCCAACTTACTAATACACTCTTTCCACATTTTCGCTATAAGACACTTACTCTCAATATTAGGGGGGAATATCTCTTATCTGTATATCCACTATCTTTGTACTGCAATCATTACTAATTTCTACTTTCACTCAAACTCGAAATCTATCGAGAAGAGTTTAATTTATGCGTCATAAAGTTGTGGTGGTGGCTTATTCAACTAGCTCCTCAGACGCATACGACATACATACATATGTGTACTATACTCAAACTCTCTTAACACAGGACTCACACTCTAAAATACTCTTACTTTCCGCATATACTCATTTCCGTTGAATACCAACTTTTATTCAGCACTTTTCACCGAGTTATTTCCTCCACTATATATTCGTAATTTGATATATAGGCTAAGCGCATGCACCTTCACTCACTTTCTTTGCGCGCTCTTTCTCTCTCTCTCTACACATCACTCACTTTCCCACTCATTCTGATTATGTGACTATCGTTTGCACTTGTTGGAGAGTGAGAGTATGCGCGCTTTTTGTGCTCACCATAGCGCATAGTTATTGAGAAAGCAAAGGGAGAGTGGCGATTTGTTACTCGAACGAGTATATTTGGTGAAAGTGAAGTGAAAAGTGAAAAGCTACTAGTTTTCATGTCATCCAAATGGGAGTTGGTTTTGTTGCTTTTGCTTTTGCTGTTCCACTATGCCAAAGCCGATGACTCCGTTCCGTAACTGGAGTAGCATTTCAATGTTCGTACGCAGAATCGTATACCCGTATTTGTATTCATATTCGTACTTATACCCGTACCCGTAGTTGGTTAATTCACATTCATGTTGTTGTCTGCCAGGGATGGCACAATATATCTTCAATGTTTGTTTGTCTGTTTGTTTGACACTACTTTAATTTATACATATTTAGCAATATGTAAAATGATTTTATTGTTGCGCAAACATTTAATTTCTCACTTTACATATTTTAAATAAATTTGGCCAAAATATGTATTTAGATGTACTTGAGAAATTGTTTTCGTTTCTGAATTTTGTGTCTTGACAATGATTGCCTTTTGGTTTTTATTCTAACTTTTGCACGCGTGTCCTTTTTGTGATTTGTAAATGTTTTTGGCACACACTTCTTAGTTTTCGTAATAGTTAGGTTAGGGTTAGGTTAGGTTAGTAGTTAATAGTTGCTTTATTATGTTTTCTTACTTGAATTGCTTTATAAGATTTAGACTACACATACCTATAATACTTGTGTATATTATCCAAAAATGTATGTCCGTGCTCAAAAATGTTACAACTTCTGTATAATGACTTAAACTTATATTCATGAATTCAAGAAAGTTTATTTTAAGAAAATAAGGCCTGTTTAGAGCCCTCAAAACAAAAAGTTCAAGTGGACCCGTGCGATAGTCTCCTAGTACCATCGTCGCTCAGTTTGAAAAGTTGAGTTTCGAAAACACACTCGGATTGAAAGTAGGAATAGAGGGAATTTTTTTGTTTTTTCATGCGACCAATTGTAAAATGCTTTTAGGACCCTAAAGTCTTTTTAAGCTAAAATCTAATTTTCCATACAACAGGAACTGTTTCTAACTTCTGCAGTGAATTATTTTTATGATAAACAAAATTTTAAATTTTAGTATCTGCTAGGTATGGGTACCAAAAGTTTTGAAAAGTCTTGTAATTTGATTAACACATAATAAATCTCTAGTTAACCTCAATATACTGGCATGACACTTCATTCTCATGACAATAGGGTCTAGTTAACCGATGCTGAATGGAAACTTTTTATTTGTGAAGAGTAATATAGCTCCGCTGCAGACGGTCTTAACGTTATTACCTGTTTTCTATATTTTTATGGCAAGTTTAGATCTTCAAAAAGTGCTATGTATAGCTGATATAGTTATTTTTGGACAAAATTAACGTAAATAAATTAATATATTCGTGTCGGACATATGAAAATAAAATTTTAGTAAAAGAAATCAACTCTTCGAAACAACTCCCACTACTTTAAAATTATACATATATATAATAGAGACAAATATAAGTTATTCATAAATAATATTCACATAAGCACATACGCCTATAAATCTACCTAATATTTAATTGTTTTAAACGCTGAATTTAATGTTTATTCTATTCTATATGCATTATTCTATATTTACGAAATTTGTTGTTGTATCTATGTAATAATGTATTACATAATCTTGCGACATTCCTGACAGATATTGAACTAATGTAATACGTGGGTATGCTGTTCTATTTAAGGATAAATAGCAACCCTGCACCAAAATTACAGCTGCTAATGAAATATTAAAAACTTCCGTGAAACATATGAGCTGACGCGACATCATATATATACGTATATATACCTGTGTGTGTATAAATCTATGTACGTGTGAATATCTAACCTAGGAGTACAAAAGTTTGTGTATATAAGTATGTGTGCGGCGACACGTTTTCTGTACATACGTATTCTGCCCTAAATATTTCTGAAAATTCTAATGCCAAGCAAAATCCGCTATTGGCAACAACAGCTTGAGCAATACCGGAAAAATATCAAATCGGCCAAAAATATAATGAAAAGCAAAGCCTACGCATATCTGTACATATCTGTTAAATGAATGGCATCAGCATATAGACGCATAACCGTTCAAAAGCCGACCGCGAGGAGCACCATGAACATCGTCGGTTGTACCACAGTGCGTATACGTAACATTCGTTCAAACAGTACACAGTGCAGTGTCTAGATATCGGCTCCACGCCGACGTCTGCGCCAAATAGCCGGCTTTTTCATTTCCTTTTTCCTCTAATATACTATATACTGAAGGGAATTCTGCGACATTAATGCAAACATATTTACACACCTACATACATAGATTGACTTATACACACAAAGCAAAACGCTGCCACTTTCCCCTACAAGCACTAAAAAGCACTGGGGCGTTCTGGCAGACTCTGAACAAACATAGTATATATTATGTGTCTGCGTTCGTGGGACATTTGCTACCGAACTGCCATCGAGCTGCCATTTCGGGTCAGCGCTGTTGATAGGTACCACGCTTATACTCACACACACAAACTTACTGCCTGTTATCTGTAAGCACACACGCGCCAACCGCTCGAATGGCCTTGGCAGTCACGGCCAGTCACATAAATATTGTGAATACCTACAAGTATTCGTATACCTAGATTATACACATTTACCATATGTATTTGTGTACGAGAAAAAGCATGCCGCCAAGCAACCGATACAGAAAAATATGTATCTGCAGATATAAAGCAGTCGAAATCGGCTGTACAATACATATGTTCAGCTTGTACTATGCATTATATCTATGCGGCGTCAACATGCCCGATCGGTCTCTGTCATCGCTTCGTTCCGGTGTAGGGCGGCAGCTGATAACTTGCCTTAAAGTACAATAACAAAGTTGTAGGCGGCTGCTTGTGCTCTACGAATTGTCGCCGGTAAAGAGGGAGTAGCAGAAAAGCATGGGATTTCGGTTAAATTTTCCGTGACTGCGATACGACGCATCATACTTGACTTCGTCCTCGTCATCGTTGTTGTTATCGACTGAATTTAGGCTACCGAAAAATGAGTCGCACGCACTCACGTATCTCTTAACACAATAAATATGTACATAAAATGGCATGCAACTATATGTATTTGCACCTATAGATGTATGTGTATGCAAAAGAAAATGTATTCAGTTTTTGAGTTTGGGGGCCCGTACCGCAACAGCTGAACTTTCACTGCAAAGACATTCGTCACAGCGCGGCTCATTTAAGCTGTCTCAGACTGTTGGCAACTCGTAGCGTCAGAGATCCATGTTACTATCCCATTGAATTGTTTTCTTACTTTTCTCGGCCTCTTCTTCAACGACTGTGTCTGCTTCGTCTCCAATGGCGTTCAGTTGTTCGTCAAGCGACAGCAGATAACCGGCGAAGTAAGAAGTTTGAGGCTTTGCAGAAACTATAGGTACAGGGGCGTAATCGTGCTGTGCAGCTACAACAGGTTGTGTGTAACTTTTGGCGAATCTCAGACAATCAGCCTGGCAGCCAGCCAAACAACGAACCAACCAACCGCTCACACAGCCAGTCAGTCATTCGCCGAACGGTGGTGCTGGTGCATAAAATCACACGCATAGACTCAACTGTGAATGCTTCGCATAGTAAAACTTGCTTTGTGATTAAATATAGTATAAAAATATAGTTAAATTTACTAGTTAAATTCTAATACGTTAAATTAAACTAATAATAATAAAGTAATCCATTCGATATAAGCGCACTACAATTTCAATATTAAAATATATAAAAATGTGTAAGAAAATAAAAATATTACTTTGCTGTATATGTAATGGTGGAGATATATAAAAACTCTTTTAGTTCTTTATTGCACCGTTTGAAATTTTCTTTTTTACTGTTATAATAGTAACCGAATTTTTATTTGGTTTATTTATGTTTGCAACCTAATTTATCGTTGTCCTTAACTAATGCGATATTTTGCTTTTAATTTTGTCTACTTGCAGTCTCGGCCGCCAATAACACAATGCAATACGGACAAAATATATCCATACCATATTCACAGCCGCAAACTGATTTGAATTTTCTCAACTCCACAGACCATAAAGGGAAGATACATCCGAAGATCGAACGCGACCGCGAAGAAGGTAATCCATTTACTCCTATACCTGTTTGAGTCAAAGCATATCTCTATTCTACTTTGGATTAGTTATTAAATTCAATTATTAAATACTTTAAAAGGAAATGAAAAAGATGACGTGCACAAATTTGACAATTACTGAAGCCATAACTTAATTGCTGCTGAATTGAATAAGATTTAGGGTAACCTCGCAATTTCTTTTCTAAAAAAATTTTTTTTTATTGCTGACTGTGGTGAAATAATTGTAGTGTTGATTTTTAACATTTTCACTTGAATAATTTGAAAGGATGTTCATGTCTTTAAAAATTTATATCGACAAACGAGACCTGCATTCCCGGATATTTTTTGTTGGAACTTTATTTCAATAACTTGCGTTCTGCTGCAAACTTAAAGTTTGCCTCTCGAAGGCATTCATGGTCCATACTCTTTAAAACTTAAGATGGCTATAACGTTACCGTTCATTCAGACGTGAAACGATCACTTTACAAAGTTGAGCTTATTGTGGCCGTTTATCAAGAAATGTGCCCATTAATTGGTCCCTGGTTTGGCATTTTTATACTACTTTTTGTGGAGTACGTCATCTTGAGTGCGAACTCTGGTTACGCTGGTGTGCAAAATTGGACCGATCGCATAACCTTATGCCCGATATTCTGTTCAAACACTCAATATGTTTTATTTTAAATAAATAATATAGTAATCAAAAAATACTTTTTTGATATATCCACAAAGTCACGAACTCGGCAACAATAGTTGTCGCGCTCGATTGGTAATAGCAGTTCAAAGCATTTCATTACGTTAGACATGGTTTTTCTAAAATGTATTCTTCTTGAGAACGCAAAATGAAATATTTTCAATTTTATTTTCTGCTTTACCTTTATCACAAACATATATGAATATTAATAGCATTCCATATTATTTGTAAGCTATATTTAAAATGATGAGGTTTCAGACTTCAAATAATTTTGAAAACGAACCTGTGCACAGTGATTTCACTTGTAGAGAAAGCCGGGGCCATAAATACTTTTAGATGAAATATCGTGTTGAAATTTTACCCAAAAATCTATAAAAATATGATCAATATATTATTTAAAAAAAATTGGGCACATCGGACGACTATATTCTATAGCTCCCATAGTAACATTCAGTAACGGATCGATCACTTTTTTTTTTTAATGAAAACTGGGCTTAGTTTTACTAATAATAATACAATACATACAAAAGTAAAATACACACTTTCAAGAATATTCGCATTGCTTGGTGGTAATCAAAAATGTTGTGATAACAGAAAAATAAACCAAGAAAAATATTTATATATTATAATAAGACAACGAACAACAATTTTATAAATAATTTTCATATTGTCTCATCAAGTAAATCTATAGTTAAGTTGTTATTTATAAGCAAGTTAGTTATAAGCAAGTGTAAAGATCAGAGCTTAATAGCAATACGACGCATGAAAATGTAATCAGAATGTATCGTGTATGTTTCAATCGGAACCAGCCTCTGCAGCTTCTTCAGAAAGCACGATAATATCTGCAGATATGTATATCATGATTATTGAAAAATCTTCGGGATTTATGCCATCATTCGATGTTCCACTACCTCCAATTTTAGCAAAAAAAAATGTAGAAAACGGTTGGCCTCAAGGGCCATCCCTGCAACTTCCCGCTAATTTCATACGTTAACGTTCAAATTTCGTTTAATGTGAGTTTAATATAACACTATTTCCCAAATTTCTCAAAGAGCAATCAATTTTGGTGATTTCTCTCGTTAACGATTTATCGTTTTTAAATTTTTTGTTTTCGATATCTCGCAAGTAAATCAACCGGTTTGCGGCAAACAATATGTTTTTTCAAGGTTTAGAACTGATTAGATTTTTGGTGTCGATCGGTCAAGTCGTTTGATAGAAATTCGAAAAAAAAACGATTATTCAAAAACTACTGTTCCGATTGGGTCCAACACGATGGTACACGAAATTCAGGTGCAATGAAACCCTTTGGAATGCCGTTTAGTTTATTCAAATCGGTTGAGCCGTTTAAAAGTTATAAGAGGTTTACATACATCCATACACACACACCTACATCCACACATACATACAGACATCATCGTAGAAATGTTCGGGGAAGCTTCCTCGACCCTCAGAACGTCGAGATCTGTTGAGAACTCGATTTTTGCAAAATGGGGTGAAACCAATATCTTCCCGATTTTTAGAAAATTTTCAATTTTCTTAGCGGGAAGTTAAAAAAATTATAATAAAAAAGAAGATGACGTTGGTATACTGCAGCTTATACGCGGCAAATTTTAGCCGTTACACTTAACTTTTTTATTACCTTAAGGCATACACAAATACACTGAAAGAAAGGAAATCGCGGTGAACACAACTAAAACTTTATGTAAACATATTAAAGACGCACATAAAATGCATAAAATATAAAGTAAACTAAAATATCGATTTAAGAATAACTACAACACAAGTTAGTTTTTATTAATTAACATAAAATAAATACCCTTAACTTCTAAATCCATTAAAATAATTTAAATTCGTAAACGTAATAAAACGCTTATACCACTTTGAACTTCGCTTTTGTTGTGAAATATTCACGCTACGTGCACCTGCTCTGAACAAATTAATAAGTGGTCACAAATTCCATGCTTTTTTTCGAAAGTTCCGTTAGATTTCCATAAAAAGCCGGTTTGCCATTAAGAAGTTTTGGTCAACATGTTTCTAATAAAAAAGGTAGGAATTAAAATATTTTCACGTGATTGGTTTTTAATAAGGTTGTTTGAAAATTTCTAATCATTTTTATTACGAAATACCTATAACGAACCTGTGTGTGTGTAATAAGAGAATAACTTCAAGGCCGCACGTTATCCTTATTCATTTATTTTTAAATATTACATTAAGCCCGCCTGTCAGTTACCAAAAAAGCCTAATGCCATATTTGCTACATGGCTGCCCAACAACAGTGCAGTTGCTATGCTCCGATTTCGATTACCAGCATCTACAGAGTGTATAAATACATGCATGTATGTATGTACTTATAAGTAGTAGCACCACAGCCGCAGCGATGTCCGTAATTCATGAAACATAAAGCATTCGCCAGCCTGCAAAAAAGGTTCAAGTCCAATGCGGTATTGTCGGTCGGTAGGAATTTCGGTTCTCGGTTCTTGTCGACTTCTGCCTAGGAGGCTATTAAATGGAGACGGAATCCATTAAAGCGGGTTTTTGGCCATTTATATGCCAATGCAGTTGTAGCTGTGTCAGTCAGTTGTTTTCACATATGATTTCATACCATCTTTTATATGATAGCATAAAGATTGAATGTTTGTTTGCGGACACCTTTTACATATCAATTTATTTATGTTTGTATTTATGTATATAAGCGTTTGTCTGCTTGCGTATATTACATTTCTGACACTGTTTACATGTAGATAAGTGTACATTTACATTTCCACTACAAAAAAAAATTGTGTCTGACCACTTGATCCACAATCGTATATAACGGTATGCATTAGACACATTGGAGTGAGTAAAATATATTTCATGTTCTCGCATTCTTTTGTTGCTTTACTTTAATCCTTATTATGGTATTTAATCTATGCTGAATTTCCATTTGATCAAAGCGGTGCGCCTTAACTGAATATTGTTTGACATCTTTTTACTGTTTAACATTGTGTCAACCATATCTATCCAAAGGTTTATATATATAGATTTTTCTCGCTTACATACATCGTACTTATTGAAACTAAGGCTGCATCGAATCCCCTGGATATAAAACGTAATCCTCGCTGTGCCAAACGAGCAGCGTCGGCAGTCTGAGTAACCATTTGTACGCATACACGTGTATCGACTTATGCTTGTAAGCGAATACAAACCCACATCCTTCCACTGTTGGGGTAGGTTGCCCAAAAAATTGTATGGCGTTTTAATTTTTTTCTTTTTCCTAATTCTTCTTTTCGCTTTTCCTTTAACTTATTTCAAAGTTGGTCAACATCCATTTGTTTGGTGTGAAGTTAAGTGGGAATTCAAAATCGATATGTTTCATGTAAGTTTCATAGAAATTATTCACATTTGCTGCAACCTGTTTATCCCTTCGTATAATGTTGTTAATTACTTCGTAAGGCTTTTTGGAATGAAACCCGAAATACGAGTAGATGTACTGTTGTTTAATGGAACGATGTTAAATGTACGGTTTAAGGATTGTTCCTTACATTAAAAAGTACAGTAAAAAGGAGTCGAGATAAATATAAATCTGGCGTTATGACTTAACAGATTCTAACATAGGTATAGCCGATGAATAGATATAACCGACATGACTGAGAGATTTTAGTGCATTTAAGCCGACTCTGATGACTTTTGAAATTTCATCAAAGCTTGTCGAATTTAAAACAAACGAGTTTAAAAAAGAAGAAAATTACAGAAACTATATCAAAAGACATCTTAGGGATACCATCTTATCTATATATTTAAAAAAAAAACTTTGGCAATATGTGTACGAACTTCGTCCAGCAAATACCATAAATGGTGAGCTTAGCTCCAGTAATTTAATAATATATTGTTCCCCCCATAACTGTCAGACTAAAAGAGAAAGAAATACCATAAGACTAAACTTGATTCTGAAAAAAATTACATTTTCACGTGATTTTTACACAAATCTTTATTATAGTCTTCAAAATAGACACCTTTTGAGCCAATACAAGTCTGCCAACGCATTATTAAATTTTCTGTACACTTGTTAAAAACCCCGCCTAATGACCTTCAATGCTTTCAGTGGATTTTGGGATTTTCGGTTTCGGATCATTTTCGAAGCACCATTCGCTAGGTTGTTTGACAGTTTCAACGTCAAATTCATAAACACCCGTCTCGTCTCGCGTTTTTTGTCCTTTGTTACGATTCTAGCATTGACCAATCCGAGTTAAAATCGATTAGATCGTACGCTGTTTTTTGCATATGAAAATCATATGGAAATTTTTTTTTTACAAAATTTGATAATGTTTATATTTTTGAAAAGTTGCTGCCGAAAACCTAGACCAAATAGTTTTTAAAGGGTTTGAGAAGAACTCAAATAATTAAACTTTGATCGTCGATTACGAAGAGAACTGATTAAGATTCAGAGAAATTCTTTTAAATACGCTTTACCAAATATCATTATTTATTATATATTTCTCCTTCATGCGCCATTTTCCAGTTTTGAATCAACAAATTTTGCAAAATGTCAATCAGTCGTGGCAAACATTGGCCAATACTGCCAACACCGTTGATTACTCGTCTCATTTGCTATCTGCAACACTGCCAATCTCAATACAACACTTCCTCAAATATTCCGAAACAATAAAGAAGGAATCCTCAGGTATTGTCGGCTCTCAAATCAACTCAGGGAATTTAAATTTGAGCAATTTGGATACATCACCATCGGGTTTTAAGGGTGATGTTCTCAAGAATGGCACGAATTTGAGTCTGGCACTCGGCGGTGTCGCACTCGCTCCACCGTCCAATCAGCAAGCAAATGGTGCTACACATCACAATGGTGGCATTGTTGGCATGGATCATACTGGCCATATGACCAATATGACAGATAACACAAATAATGGTGCATCTCTACATCAGGGTGTTAACGGCAATGTACCAAATCCAATTGTCAATGGGCAGGCAAATAATGGTCAACCCACCACAAATGGTACGGTAACGAATGGTAACACAGTTACGAGCACTGCACCGGCTGGCACCACGACTACCTCAACCGGTGGTACTACAACGACCACTGGCAAGAAGACCAGAAAGAAGAAACCACCAAAGGAGAAGAAGCCGCGCCCGAAACCGGGTGAGATTCGTGAGATTAAAGCTTTGGATGGTTCCACACTCTATTGCTGTCCTGAATGTCAGATGGCTTATCCAGATCGTAGTTTAATCGAACAGCATGTTATCTCACATGCCGTAGAGCGGCGGTTCGTTTGCGACATCTGCAATGCAGCATTGAAGCGTAAAGATCATTTGACCCGTCACAAGCTGTCGCACATACCAGATAGACCACATGTTTGTAATGTAAGTGTATTTAAGAAAACTCTTTATTAAAATTGTGTTTAATTTTGGGTATTTTTTGCATTCAATAGATTTGCATGAAGTCATTCAAGCGAAAGGAGCAATTAACACTACACATTGTCATACATTCCGGAGAAAAGAAACATGTTTGCGTTGAGTGTGGCAAAGGTAAGGAAAATTGCATATTCTGAAGGAAATCGATATTATATCTTTAATTTGGAAATTATAATATTAAATATATACTAGAGTTTTTGTAAAAACTCGCCAATAAGAAATCAGTCATAACGAATATTTATTGGAATAGACTGTCGATTCCTCACAAACATAATTAATGAAGAACAAATCTCACCAAATTCCGTACCGTTCACTTTTTAAAGTTAACCTTAATGAAAGCAATTCGTGCGTCGAAAAATCAACTATACCGAATTCCTGAACACTTTTAAGATTTTAACTTAATCTGTGAAATTATGTTACCTAAATAAGGGGTTCTTTGAGGACAATAACAAAAAAATTTTATTTGCCAAAAAAATTTTCAGAAAAGCTAATAAAAAACGCACTCAACGTTTACTCGTTATAAATTCTAAAATTGTTAAAGATTTCGCATTTATAGCAAAGATAGAATAAGCTATGTTAAACTAAAAGCTCTCATACACGTGTGTATGCTCTTTTCACACTTCATTGCAGGCTTCTACCGTAAAGATCATCTGCGCAAGCACACACGATCGCACATTGCACGTCGCGTTAAGTCGGAAGTATCGGCGCAGAATGTAAATGGCGGCAGTGGCACCGGAAACACTGCTCAGAACAACACGATACAAGGCTCCTGAGGTTCGTACAAGGACTTTTGGTAAATCTTCAAAAAAACTTCACTCGTGCTACAGCATGTTGAAGGCATCAACTGCCATGGCCGCGCTTATCCAAAAACGCGTCGTTGTTAGTGGGTGCAGTCAATGTGTGTGTAGTGTGAAGTTTCTCTGAATGTTTATCAATTGTCCTGCTGAGCCTTAATCGATGTTAAATGGAGCTGAAATACAAGAAAAAGTTGAAAGAATGTGAAAGAAAGTGAATTTTTTCTAATTAATCATGAGAAAATAGTAATTTTTGATTTTATTTTACAATTATTTTGGTAAAAAAATTTAACGTGAGAAAAAGAGTTCGTGCAAAAGAATGATAATATTCACAATCGCACAAAGCTACATACATATATGTATAAAGTAGAGCACGGCGTCACATTTGCAATTGAGCGCCAATAATAACAACAATTAGTAATAACTGAAACCGTTAAATAGCAATTTCGATGTACAAAATATTTATTTAAAAAATATTATATAATATAATATTATTTAAAAATATGTTTGATGTTAGGAAGATAAAAAAAAAACTAAAAACAAAAACTAAAATATTATTTATGCTGAAGAAAAAGTAGAAAATACTAAACAATATTTTAACGACACGAATAGCTCATGGTGAAGAACGCGCAAATAATTACAGGCATACATACGAGTATGTATAGGTATATCTATGCTTAATTGTACGCGCCTTTACATATGTATACATACATGCATAAGAAAGCATCAAAGAAAAAAACAATTAAATTAATTTTATGATAGTGAATAATTTTGTTTGTTTTATTTTTGAGGATCTGTGATCTTTTTTGGCTATCAAAAATGCATAAAACAAGACAACAAACGATCGCTAATAATAAATACATAAATAAGTGCGAGTGAATATACGATTGTAATAATATTAATAGATAGCAGACACACATGTATCTGCTGTATTGGTGTGCATAAGTAAAAACAATATAAAAACTGAAGCAAAACATTATACGTTTTTATATGTTGCAAATAAAAATAAAAAAAACAATCACGTGCAATTTAATTTATTGTATATTTTTTGTGTTTTTTTCAATTCTGTTATACCTAATTTTTGTTCTGTTCAAGTTTTCCCATATTTAATCAAATATTAATTAAGTATTAAGTAAAAAATAAACAACGCAAAGTTAATACTTTGAGTTAAATATAAGTATACATACGTACATATTAAGAATACGCAATTACATACAAACATACATGCAAACAATTTATAATTGAGTTAAAAATTGTATCAGTATTGCTACGACTTACACCGTACTGCACAACAATTATTTTTATCAATTTACGTATGTATAGTACATATGTATGTATAAGGATGTACATACTATACATAAGTTTAATGTAAATAAGCATTAAAATATGTAGTAAAGTCAAGTAGTTACGGCATTTATTATGTATATACATAAGCGCATACAATTGAAACAGACAAAAATATTTCTTTCTAGTTAAGGATTTTTATGTTCAGCTTAATTGAAGAATTTAAAAATTTAATATATTATTTTTTGAGCCACGCAATTACACTTTAACCGACTGACTACTGGAATCCTATACACCAAACCATATATCGAAACATACATGCATACATAACTACAGATAGGCCAGTAAACATTCTAAGTTTAATTTAAGCGTGACTCATATTAGATTCAACATAAATATATACTAGCCTACTCCGATTTACATACTTTATATTTATACTTTGAACAGAGTATATTACATTGTCGGAACTGTCGATATCGAGCCGCTGTAGGATATAGCTGCCACACAAATTGATCGTTCAAAATCAAGTCTTTGTATGAATAACTATTTTATTTCACAAGATATCTTCGCAAAATTTGAAACAGATTATTGCTCAAGGCAACTCTACAACTTCCGAAAAAATTGTTCAGATCGAACAACTACCGCATATACATGGCTGACATACAAACTAACCAATCAAAATCAAGTTCGTGTAGAAAAAACCTTTTTTTTTTTGGCAAGATATCTTTCAGAAATTTGGCATAGTTTATTACCCAAGGCAGAAGTCTCCAAAAAAAATGGTTAAAATCGGAACTGACATACAAACTGACAAAATTAAGCTAAAGATTATTTAATAACCTTTTATCCTCTAAAAAAATGTACCAGTGAATGGTATTATATGTCCGGCGCTGGCATTTTTTCTTCATTCATAATGTCATTACATTTAATGAACATCATTAACCCTACGACATTAGCATGCCCTAAATCAGAACATTTACAGTGATTTCGACAAATTAAGATTTTCTTCAACGACGATTACAGAAACTTTGTACGCAAAGTAGTCATACTGAGCAAGCATTGAGTCAGCACCTGCAATATTTTTTGCAGTAAAAACACCTCTCACTTGCACACATCGTTTTTAACTTGCCGAGTCACATAAAAACTTAATTTTATTAAAACAACTTAGTTTATGTTCATCGCCATTAATCTGACTGATCCAACGCGATTAAATTTGACAAGACAACTGACAACTCAGATACAAGTAGCATTTATTGGCTAGATTCAATTTGCCATTCAAATTAAATTACATTTCGACTTGCCAACCACGGCTATCATTTCACTATAGTGATAACCAAAACATAATGGCGACAAGACAAGAATTAACAAATTTTCAAGTTCAACTAAATCCATGCATACATATACAATAAATAAGATACAAATTTATATACATATATAGATTTAAATAAATAAGCTATACAAACATTGCCATTAATACAGTTAAGCACAGCATAAATAAATATAAATAAATAACCACTGAACAACAAACAATAAGAAGCAAATACAACAAACAATACTTGAAATACAAATTTTGCAGTAAACTTATAGTTCAATTCAAGTTCATACAAAGTATAGAAATTTAAGATCAACTACATATTTATAACTTAATCAAATGAGCATATAAAAATCTATTTTTTGTAAGTTAGCCAACTAAGCCGTATTTATACATAAACTAAACTAAACAAATTCCCAAATAAAAACAAATAAATTTAATAAAAAATATAAACACAAATGAAATCTGTAAAACATCACCAAATTTACGGCGATTATTTTTCTACTAACAACTACATACATGCGCATGGTTGCATGCAAAGCATGAATAAACAAAATAGTCTATAATGTCAAATTTTGACAAGAGTGTACTGAGCACATACGACTAAGTATATACAGTACAGTATAACGGTTTGTATGTTTGTACTGTGTTATTTTCATGAAATACTACAACATACGGTCATGAATAAATGTGCTTCAAAATGCCGAAGGTGTTGATGTTTTCATGCATCACAATCATCAAACTATATAATTAGTAATACATAAGAAACATGCATACATACATACATATATACAACAAAAAGCGAATTAAAGTTCAAACACTTATTTTAAGTGACAGCAAAGATTTGTTCAAATTAATTGCATTTGACTCAGCACTCATAATTAACTTGTATTACAATAAAATAAAACACTAGCACTAAGAAGAAACAAATGCTGCAAATAAATACATTTATAGATTTCGTAATAGCCTACTCCTTGCAAAGCGATACCAAAATCATAATCGTGGTCAACAAATAATCAAGTTTCAGTATAGGTATACCTACAATAAATACAATTAACTGATAGATCGCAGAATAATAACCAATATAACCGACAATTTGTATATAAAGTGTATCTTATAGAACGAATCATAAAAATGCAACGGCATAAATATTTATAAGGAGATTTTTTGAATAATAGTACTTTTTCAGTATTATAAATAATAATTTTTTAAGAGAGAACTTTCAAACACTTTTGGACTCGAATCATCTATTAACAGAGCTGCTTATAAAACTGGGAAAAAATCAAAGAAAAAAAGATATCAAAGTGTCATGAAATAAAAATGAATCAGTTCAACGCTGATTCAATTATAGTTGTAGCGGTAGCCCTAAAAAACAAGTACAAGAGGGTTTTAGCTCATAATGACAAAAACAATTTTAGCTTTGATTTTATGATTCTAAAATAAGTTTTTTAAACATTGCAACCAATGCAAATGCGTTTTTTTTTTTGGTATGGTAACTGAATAAATCACACAAAATCTAAAAATTCATAAGAAAAACCAAAAAAAAAGTTTTTTTGACATTATGAATTAAAAAATATTTTTGTATGAAAGATCACGCTCTCAAGTTATACAACCTTATATAATTTAACCATGCGTTAAACAAGTTCTGTAACTTTAAAAAATCAACGAAAACTTTGTCTCCATTACTTGCTTTTCAACCATTCTAATCTTGGTGTGCGTATCATTCAATTATACACAAAATTAAAAAATTAAAATCAGCAAACGAGCATATATGTTGAATATCATTAAACAATACAGTGTGAACCTTCCTTCAATTGCAGATAAAAACAAATAGACATTAGAAAAATAAAAAGCCATGAAATTCGAAAAGGATTAAATGTACGAAGGCGGATATGTATGTATGTACATGCGAAAATTGCAAATTGTGCGTTAAACTAATGTAATCACTTGATTTGATATATGAAATAATAGAAGTTGGTTTCTTGAAAATAGTTAAAGTTTACCACAAACTGATTTATTGTTGGAACATGGACTTACATATATTACATACGCTCAAATCATGCTCACACACGCTCTATTTTGCCTTAAATCAGCTAGAGACTGGAAATGAAATGGAAGATGAAAGTTTATAGGCGCTTCCATTCAAACTTTCGTGAAATAAAATTATAAAACTTTCTTTCTTTCATACCAACTCGCCATATACATGCGATGGTTCTTTACAACAACTTTTTTAAATAAAATTCTTTTATTTTCAGTCTTTTTTCGACAATTTCATTTTCTGCATTTTGCTTGAAACTGATCCTTAAAACTTCTAATTGCCGTTTATGCATTGCTCTTAAAGTCAACAATAATTCACTCAAATATCACTAAAGCGTGACTCATCTAAATATAATAAACTAATATAAAAACTACTTTTTATTTTTTCTCCGCTTTTTGAGCTATCCAGCGAACTAAGTTGCACAGAGATCATTTGGATTATATGCAACGATTTAGGTTAATTTTGCCACTTTCCGCTGTTGTAACAAAAGCACACAAAAACATTTTTTAATATATTCTCAAATAAATACGGTGAGTTGCCTAAAACCTGAGTTTCACACAATATCGAATCAAGCTATCACACTAGACCCTTTTTTCGTAAACACACTCATCAAACGGAATCATTTTCATCAATATGATTTATGTGTAATTAATATAAAGTAATTAAGCGAAAATGTAATCTAAAATTAAATAAAATTAAAGTAAACAACAACAAAGAAATTAAATGAACTCAGGGATAGAGCCTCCAAAAATATATAAATAAAATACACGCAATATTTTAGCAAAAAAGAGAAAAAACAAAACCAAAATAAATATATAATTACTTATACGAAATTTTAAATTTAACAAATTTTAACGAGAATGAAAATATATGTCTAAAATACATGAAATAACACAGCGTAAAAATTCATAATGAAAAACTCAAAGCACCAGAAGAAAATCCAAAATTAATTGATTGATATAAAAGTTAAAATATGTGGAAAGCAGATAAAACTTAAAAGTAAAGAACAGCTTAAAGCATATTTGAAAGCGTCAAATAAAAAGCGAACAAAGTTTTAATATGAAATTAAAACACTTTAAACAATTTCACACAAAATTTTGCACAACACTTATTAAATAATTTATGTACTCTTGTATGGCAAACAAAAAACTTAAAAGTCAAGGCAGATTTATTGTAATTTAAACTCGAAATGTTGTTTTGCTTTAAAAAATATTCAATTTTTTGTGATAAAATACATATGTTTGAATACATTCTTATATATACTACATATACATATGTAAGTTAACTCTTCTGGTATGTATTTTACTAAACACAAAAACAAGTTGTAGAAATTTGGTATTAGGGGCTTAGAAATGATTCGATAGAGTTTTGAAAAGTGTTTATGGGTTTTTTTCCTGTTGCCAAATGGCAGTAGTAGTGCAGTTCACTTAAATAATGCATAAATATGTACAACCTGCAGCTTAAAAGTATAAGAAATACTACATAATACAGTGGCAGCATTACCGTTAGTAAGTCCAGTAGGTTTCAGTGATGAGTATATTTATTAAGGTGTCCGTTATTTTCCAAGTTAATTTTTTCAAACGCTCTCTGAAGCATTTGCGCTAACAAAAACGGTTACAACGTAAACAAGCTCTTTATTTACAATATAAACGGTGTCTAAGTTATTTTATTTTTCTCATATATTTCATTTTTTGACAAAGCAAATAAACCTACAACTTTGAAAGAATGATGTTCTAATATAAAATTTTCCATTCTGCAAAAAATTGTATAAAAACATTTGTTTAAAAGTTATACGCAGTTAAAGTTATGCATCAAATGTACTGTACTCATACACTACACCACGTCGTATGAGCAACACTGAATGCATAAATCACTTGTATGAATGTTCTAGTCATTTGCAAACCAAATATATATTTATACTTATTTTTATACTTGTTACTTTTTACCTTCTTATTTCATGTTTATATTGTGAACTATTATTTGACAAAAATATGTCAATATGTTAAATGTACAATTTTATGTTTGAAAAAGTTTGTACAAACTACTGCTAGACTATTAGTTGCCTTTTATAACTTTCAATTTGGGTTTTTATATTATAGTGGACTGATTTCAGCGTTGAATAAGATAATTAAGATAATGTCTATACACATTGTGTTAGGAACTTTTAGACTTTACAAAATTCTTCATTTTTTTAATAATTTTGCTCACTTACTTGCTATTATATGAAGTAGTTTAAATAATTTTAAGTTTGAGCAAACAGATGTAAGGTTAGAAAGTAATTGAATGGCAAAATTGATAACAAACGGTATGAAAAATAATATTTTTGTAAACGACCTGAAATGAATAGTTTATTTTTATATGCAGAAAGATATTGGGTGTAGCGAGTCATGACTTTGATCAGGTTTTCAAATATAAATATATACATATGTAGGTATGTAATAGTAAGCTGCGAACAAACGACGACTTGGTAGTACGTAGTAGGATTATATAAACTATTTTTATGAAAATATGGACTGTAAAATGAAACGATACGGAAGAATGAAAAATTAAAAGCTCGCCACTAGAAAAGCAAGTGAGCATATGAAATACTTATAATGTTGTGAAGAAATGCATGCATACGAGTACATACATATTGGTTAAATGAATATTAAAGAAAAATATAAAAATTAAATTCACTTTACAGAAGCTGTTTTTCACTTATTAAATTAGAAATTAAAATTTTGAAAAAAAAATGTAATAATAAAAAAGTTAGTTTACGACAATGGTGATATAGTATTGGTGTAGCAACAATTACATAATAAATTCTTTAATTGGACTCACTCAGAAAAACCAGCAACGTTTATGAAGCATAGTAATTAGAAGTGATGAGAAAGTAAGCAGACTTACCTAAACACAAGTGGAAAAAGGCGTGTATTTTTTGTCAGCAATGATGATACTGAAATATGTTTAGGATGATGCATATATTATAATTCTTAAACTTATTAACTTAATAAATTACTTCAAAGTATTTCATAACAAATGGAAGATGTGTATAATGTAAGGCAAATAATATAATAATGAATATATAAATAACTACACAAAAGAATTGAGCGGAACGAGCTAATGTGCGATATTGTAATAAATTATGAATAACTTTGTACTTGAATTAATATTTTATTTAAACTTAAGTCAAGATATTCAAATAAAATATAATCATTTCAATTCAAATATATACCGAGTGTTTTTATTTTGAGAAAAGCTGTTGTATTCACAGTTCAACGCTTGTTACATTTTTTTAATTCGGATAAAAACTCTTCATCAATCGAGTTTTATAGGAATTAATAGATAAATATATTATTTTAACTTTTTTTTGAATGTTTTTGTTTTATCTTCAATGAATGCATAGTTCTCAAGAAGATTGTGTTAAAGTCGATTAGAGCAAAATTGACGAAGTTGAATCTTTTATATCAGATTTGAAAACTTTAAAGCGTTTTCCAAATTCTGTGCCCTCATAACTACTGAAAATTTTAAATTTCAAAAACCCCCCAGCGTTACGATTATCTAACGATATAATTTTAATTTTTGGATTTCAATTGATCTTGCATCCAGTCATGAAGGATAACGCAATTCAACTTTTTCCGAGACGCTCCAGAGTAATTATTGCCATAGTCGTATTTCCTTATATTTCTAAATGAAAATTTAACAAAATATTCTGCAAGTGTCATACTTTAATGTACCATTGGATTTGAAAAATAGATTTTAATTGTTTCATCAAAAAGAAATCATAAAAATTTACCTTGTTTTACATGAGTTAACCATACTCCTCCCCTAATTATATAGTAAAGACTCCGTAGAAACCCAGGATACGGAATAGATAGATATGTATGGGAAATTCATATGGCTATAGGCTTACTTTTTCGTTGACTAGTATTTCATTAAAAACAATGTATCATCTCTGCTCTTCACAAACACAATTATAGGTGAAATAAAACAGTTATTGCTCGCAAACAACAACAATTCAAGCAGAAAATTAAAAATAAAAGAAAGTAAAATAGAATTGAAATACAATATTTTCCGGAATAAACTGATAGTTAATGAAGAACAGCCAGAGAACGTATATGATCATATACGTTCTCTGCATATACGTTCTCTGATGTGACAACAGCTTGATAACTAGACAGAGTTTCCAAAACTACTTTTTATGTTAGAAGTAGTGGATTTTAAATTTAATATTTTAATAAAAAAACATAGTTTGATAGACCGTGTAATAATTTTGAAATTTTTGTTTAGCGCGATACTGTCTTAAATAATTTTGCATTAATCAGAACAAAATGCTAAGGGAATAGATATGTACCAATTGTGGAAAAGTGTCAACCCTGTTCTTCGCTAACTTCGCAGGCCGGTTGGAAACTTCTTCTCACAGTACACAAGAGTCGTCATTAGCTTATTACATATCGCAGCGACAGCGTGATTTCGACCATTCCAAAAACGTGCATTTGTGATAGCTTTTAAAAGCGATTAATATTAAGCAATTATACTTAAACACTTGTTAAAAAAACACCGGTTGCCAAAATGAGTGATGTACGTAAAGCCCTCGCAATAAAATTATACGAAATCAATGCTTTCAAATTCGGCGATTTCAAGATGAAAGTGGGCATTAATTCACCTGTATACTTTGATTTACGCGTAATTGTTAGCTATCCAGAAGTGATGGTAAATACTAATTAGATATACATATGTATTTGGATTTTTGGTTTTATTCCTCTCTTTTATTTATAGAAAACAGTTTCGGAATTGATTGCCGCCCATATTAAGGAGCACCAATTGACGGCGAAACATGTTTGTGGTGTACCATATACAGCTCTTCCATTGGCCACTTTGGTGTCCGTACAGCAAAGTACCCCCATGCTGGTGCGACGTAAAGAAGCCAAAGATTATGGCACAAAAAAGTTAATTGAAGGTCTCTATAATGCGGGCGACACGTGTCTTATTGTGGAAGATGTCGTAACATCTGGTTCAAGTGTTTTGGACACAGTACGTGATTTGCAAAGGGAAGGTATTGTTGTCACCGATGCTGTCGTAGTTGTTGATCGTGAGCAAGGTGGAGCGGTGAATATTGAAAAGCAGCAGGTGCGCATGCACTCCTTATTTACGCTGTCTTTTCTACTTAACACGTTGCATGAAGCAGGAAAGATTCAAGGTGACACTGTGGATGCGGTTGCAAAATATATTGCTGCTTATCAAATTAAAGGCGATGGTTCGTTCGTAAATCCACAGAGTAAAATTGTTGGTGAGTAAACATGCAGAACAAGTATATCATTCAAATAAACAATGTTTATTTTTTATAAGTGAGCATATATAGCATTGAAAAAATCAGTTGCTAAATAGTTGTTGTTGTTATTGTAACGGTTACCCAGCGTATCAGTAATTTAATTATGCGCGAAAAACGAATATTGTATTATATGTTGGATATATATAATAATATGATTTATTGATAATTGATAATTTTTAACTTCCATATATTTAGTGCTTGATGAGTTAGTATTTGGAAAATTTAGTTAAATTTAAAATATTTTTCATTTTGGTTGATATCGTCATTGCATCTAATAACTGTTATTGTTTATGGAATGCTGCAGCTATGAATGTTCTTGGAAAGGTAAAAATCCTCTTTTGTTCTGGTAACATACCGCACTGTTAAAACAAAGTTTATATTAATAATGTTTGTTCTTTTATGTGTTATTTTAAAATCTTTTGTCTACGATTTCCCTCTTTTTTACTTGTTAGCTAATGAATTCTCAAGGACTAAACTTTCATTCGAGCATCGCGCCACTTTAGCGAAATCTAAGCTGGCCAAGCAGCTTTTCCATTTGATGGCAAGCAAGAAGACTAATCTTTGCCTGGCCGCTGACCTCACTAAATCTGAAGAGATTCTTAATATCGCGGAAATTTGTGGGCCTTATATTTGCGTCCTGAAAACGCACATTGACATTGTAGAGGATTTCGATGAAGCATTCATACAGAAGTTACGCAGCTTGGCTGATAAACACAATTTCTTAATAATGGAAGATCGTAAATTTGCCGATATTGGAAATACGGTATCCCTACAATATGGCAAAGGTGTATATAAGATCGCCAATTGGGCGGATTTGGTTACAGCCCACGCACTGTCAGGTCGCAGCATATTGCAAGGACTTAAAGCCGGTCTTGCTGACAGTGTATCAGATGGAAGAAAACATGGCGTATTCTTACTTGCCGAATTATCTAACACAGGCAGTTTAATCGATGCTAAGTATTCAGAAGCGGCCAGCAAGATTGCAACTGAAGGTGCGGACATTGATTTTGTTGCCGGAGTTGTGTGTCAGTCGGCCAGTTGCTTCCATTTTCCTGGTTTAGTTCAGCTTACACCTGGTGTAAAAATCGATGATACTGTCGACCAGCTGGGACAGCAATATCAAACGCCCGAACATGTAGTGCAGGAACGTGGTGCCGATATCGGTGTTGTAGGACGTGGAATTTTACAAGCTAAGTGTGTTGAAAAAGCAGCAGTTCTATACCGTGATCGCCTTTGGGCAGCATATACAGATCGCATTGCGAAATAGGAACATAGGATTATATTCTATATTAAATACTTTTCGTGTAATTATGGCAAGGGTAAAAATAACTATTACTTCAAACTCTGTTAAATCTGTCTTTTAATTAATATTTTTGTTAGATGTGAAATGAATGTATTTGGTTTTGCACTTATGATAGTGTATAATCGCCAAAATCATAAATCAATCATTGGAATTTATGTGACAATATTAAAAATTATGGAGAATTTTTAAGTAATTTTTCATAAAGAGTAAAAGGAGGAGAGTAAAGGGAGAGTCCAAGGAGCAACGTGTGAATAGTGGCTTAAAGTTGGCAAAGCTTGTATTTAAAAATATGGATTTATTCAAATAAAACACAGGCAGGCTATTGTACAAATAGTTTTTGTTCAATTTAAAGAGAAGCACAATACAATGATAATATTACAATACGTATCCGAGTTTTAGTTAATATGTTTAAATAAGTTTGTATGATGAGTAGAATTACTTCTCCATAGGAAAATTAATCCACTAGTTAAATACCATATGTTAGACCAAATTTTAATACGACGCTAATGTACTCAAAGCATGACCAGTATCCCCATTCACGTCATCCTGTAAAGAATAAAAGAAGAAAAATGGCAAATGTACACATTTTTACATAAATTAAAAGCCTGTATTTATTTGTTCGTGAATAATACTTTATTTGATGAAATCGGTTATAGCACTTGAAAATATAATTTTCAAATATACTAAATATATATATAGTAAAAAAGTTGTAAATAAAAAATTAATCCAAACAATATCAAAATGTGAGATATTCGCAGAAAATTTTAAAACAATACTTTAAATTTTAACTGTACCTCCGAAAGAAACACATTTCTTTGCAAAGTCCTTAATACAAAAGCAATACAGCACATATAAATACAACATATCATTTTGAAAACTTTTATAAGTAAAGCATTTTTGTTTGTGCTCGAACTTTGTTCGTATTCTTTGTTTCAAGATATTTAAAATGAATAGCTTTTTAAATACATATATAAGCTTGTTAATTTCATAAAAGGCATTTTGGTATTTATTTTTATTTTTTAGATCATCTTAAATGAAAAGCTGCGAGCTGCACTATGCTGCTTTCTTCGCCTTGTCATTTAAGTATGAAGTTCTACTGTAAACATCAAGCATTCTACCAGGCAACCATAGTGACAAGCACAAAACCGATCTCAGACTGTGAATCCTCCTGCAAAGCACACAACGTTGCAGATTAGTGTGGATATGGTGGGTTGGAGTGTTTTTAAAAAGACAATTATTAGAGAGAATAGACAAAAGCAAAGAGAAGTTTTGAAATAATTGTATAAGGTTATAAACAGTTACATAGTAGTAGCGGGTCTGATGAAAAGTAATTACAGGTTAAGGTGAATTTTGTTAATAAATATGACCGGGTGTGTTGCACAATGCAGGCAAAAATTGTAAAAGAGTATATGAATTATAAATTTGATAATGTGAAAACTATACGAAATTTGAGGTTTGCCAAATTGATCTGATTAACTAATTATTAAATGTTAATAAAATGGCAGGTTTTAGTATTTTCAGCAGCCATCAAAATGTGACGACCATATGTATATTAAAGTGCAAGGCAGACAGTTACTGATTAAATTATAATTCTTAATATTTGGCAGTCTTCAGAAATTATGAATATTAAGACTTAAACTTTATTTGTTATGTTTTCTTTTCGAATGCGTTCAACTTTTAAAATATTTTTTGTAATATGTCTGTAAATAAATGTATGTATGTTTGTATATAATATATAATATGTGCCCAATTAAATACAGTTAAAGCCAAGAAAAAATGGTGTTAGTGTAGTCTTTATTCCCGATTAAACATATTTTAATATTTGTTTGAATGACATTGCAAGAAAAAAGGAGAAAGTTTTTACTCTACTAGATATACAAACATATATTTTCTTTTCAAAAAAATGTCTTGAAAAAATATTTTATTTAAAAATTAGTATATTGCTGATTAGTGTTCTCATAATTAGTTTTTCTTTAATCCACACACGATTAATTGTATCATTTCTACAAATCCATCTTTGGGTGCTCCCCGTTGAAAGTTTCTAGCCCGCTTTTTTAAAAACCTCTTATCATTCTCATCTGACAATTAAGCGAGCGACTTTATTTTTTTACGATCTAATTAGATAAGCATGATAATGTTTCGCATTGATAATGCCAATTGCGAGGGTGGCGTTGAAGATAAATAAATAGTTCTCACTTTGTTTGTATATGAAATGCACATTTATTCATAAGCATTTGTTTCAACTACATATGTATATTTAAGTATATATATATAAGGAAAACCGAGAGCTAATGATATTCAAAATATGTTCCCTTAATGTGGAATAATATATGTATAAATAAAAATAACAATTGAGATTTGATGTATAACACAATAATATTCGACGTAAAAAAGTGTGGATGGTATACTAGTAGAATATCATTTAATGCCTAGATAGGCACTTTTCGCTATTTTTTTTTTAAAAAGTCAACAATTTTTCAAACTTCAACCATATTGTATATTTATAGGCAGATTAAGTAGTAGATAAATAGGTAGTTGAGTTGAGAATGTTTTCTTGAGATTTTATGTGTATGAACGAGTAAGTTTATGTGCGCTTTGACGTGCATATATAAGGCATATTTTTAGGAGATAAGCGGTGAACAGCACCGCCATTTTTATTTCGCTTGTTTGACTTCCGTTGTTTATACAATATTTCTTTCATCATTAGGTACTTTTAGTAAATTAAAAATACATTCAGTTTTATTTGTTTTCTTTAAAAATCTATTTTCGGTCTTAGAATCCGACAATAGCCAATAGGGCACGTTTGTAATCGCCAGAGGTGTCGCCCTGAAAAAGTCGAATGTTTTTAATTTAATTTGAATTCGGATTTGGAACAGAAACGAAAAAATAGTTAAGATTAAAAAAGGCGTTTCTTTGTGGTGTTGAACCCTAAATCTCTACTCAAGGTTAACTTCTTATCACCGTGAAAATGGACAGAGTTACAGAAAGTATATTTATTTAAAATAATTTGCAATCACACACATTAAAGAGAACGCAAGCTAGCAAAGAATCTAACAAAAGAGATATTTTTATATATTATTTTTTAAATCGGGCATTAATGTAAGCAACAAAAAAATTACGCCAAAAAAATTTTAGAAAGTCAAGCATAAAATATTTAAGCACAAATTAGCATCAATTTGTACAAAATGATTCAAGTCATCTGATAGCAATATGAAAATATTATTTTGGTTTGCAACAAAATTTCAAAAGATCTTTTAGCTTTATAAGCTTGTAAGATGTTATGAATTCATTAATTTTTGTAGTATAACGCAATTGTTTTTAAACCGTAATTTTTTCATTGAAAATAGTTTAAAAATTCTCATTGCATTACATTACAACACTTTTTACGCCAGTAGCATTTCGATTATTAAAGCCACTACCACATATGCTTTAAAAATAAAAATAAAAAAAAGCATGCAATCTTAATTCAGCATAACCAAAAAATGAGAGAGTCATACCAACACCGGTTGATTTAAAAGTAAAAGTTACCCATTAGTAAAATCAGAAAATTATGTAACAAATAAATTTATATAAACCCAGTTTTGCAGTGATATGTAAATAATTACAAGTATGTACAATTTAATAATCATTATTTAATTATGATTATTTTAGTTTTTTTTTTAATCAAGCACTGCAAAGTACTAATTTCACCGATAAATTATTAAAAATACTCGCATATGTATATAAAATATTGATATTGATTTACCTTGATCCACGATTCCAAACTCTTGCCGTATTTATTTTGGAATGCTTCTTTAATATCTCCCAAATCGATTTCCGAACGACTGACCACTATACGAATCAGCGTCTTGTCCTTGGTACCCATACCATGCATTGACTCGTACAAACGTTCGGCGAAGTAGTCAACCTTCGACTTGCAACATTTCACTGCAAATAAAAATATAATTATAAACATACAATTTTACTTTTACTGCCACTCATCACTTACCGATAGCGAGGAAGCCACGCTCCACAGAGCCGCTGAATTCGCGCTTAATCGCCTTTTCAATATCATTACCAGAGATATTTTCGTATTCGAGGAAGATCTGTCGCAACTGCTGGTAGGAACGTGTGATCAAAATTGAATTGAATGTGGACTCATCGGTACCCCATTGACCTTCGCCAGCTTCTTGCAAAGCCTGTGCGTCCGCAACAGCGGCGGCTTCATCAACACCCTAAGGGAAAATTGAAAAACGTGAATATTTGATTTAGCATCACTTCCTAAATATAACTCACCTGGTTTTCATCGCGGTTACCCTGTACCAACGATACGCACAAACGTTTGAAGTGTCCGCTGGTGTCACCCTTCAAGTCCGACTCCAATGAACGACCAAAGGTCTGTTCATAGAACTGTGCAATGGTCTTAATACCATAATTGGAGAGTGTGCAGAGAATTTCAATGATCGCCTCCTCATCGGTGCCCAGCCCGGAAATAGCGTCATGCAATTCATTGGCATAGAACTGTGGCAATGGTGTCATCAATGCGACGATGACATTCTCGAATTTGCCGCTTAATTCTGATTTCAGTTCGGAAAGCAAATCTTTGCCGTAGGAAGTTTTGAAAGCTTCAGCGATTTCCAAACGTTGCACGATGCCGCGACGTGCCAAAATTTCGATGATGGACTTCTCGTCGGTGCCAAAACCCTTCATCGCTTTGCGTAAAATGGCCGCATCCTCGACGGGATCAAAAGGATCAGCGGGGTAGACGGTAGGGGTGCACTAAAAATGAAAATTGTCACAGTTTTAATAGTATTACAACACAGTTCTAATTGTACGTATATAAATCAAAAATTACTCAAAACCAATATTTATTCATTATGAACTTCTCGGCAGTAGTAGCTTAAACAAATACAGTTATGCATTCCAGAGTATTTTTTAAATGAAAATAGAGACATTATGCGCTATATACTCTTTGAGTCCTAGGGGAAATCTAAAATCTTAATGATAACGTACGAATAAACTTATCCCTATATCCATAAGTATATACATGCATATATGTACACAACTTACATAGAAGTACATAATTCAAAGTCGTCGGTTATCAATTGTATTTTATCCATATACGAGTCAACCGACATACATATGTAGATGTGCATGTACTATGTAAAATATCGTTTCGGTATGAGAAGAAAAATCGGTTAAACAAAAGCGATTAATAATTGCACGGATTTGTCATTTTGCAAATATTTATCGAGCTGTGTGGTACAAACAAACTGATTAGATAATGAGAAAGTTGTGAAAACATATTTCGTTCATTTCAATTACAATCTGACAATTGGATATAATGCGATATTCAAAATTGAGAGTATCATGTACTGCATCACATGTTCACATTATTTATTTAGTTTACGAATATAATGAAATTGGAATTCTGACTAACCCTAACCCCTTAATAGAAGTATAATTTAAGATGTATATGAAACTTGTGCAGAGATGAACTACATTTCAAGTACAAGTCGAAATTTGTACTTTTGATACAAGTATATATGTACATATATACACATACAGATTTATACACATATACCTTATGTGAACATGCATAAATACCACATTGTATATGTGTATGTTTGTTCTAAACCGATAAAATTCCAATTTATGCTTCGAACAAACAACAGTGTACAATTTGTGTATAACCTAATATAAAACAAAATTCAGCAAATAACCGCAGCGCCTAAACTCCTTTGCTAAACAATTAATCGGTACGCTCAAAATTGTGTGTATATAAAATTAATTTATGAATCATACAATAAATTTAGTAACTCATAAACTCACCTTGAATGGATAATATTCAGCGGAGCTCATTTTGTTTGGTTTCTTAGTTTATTTAGTCACTTAAAAATGTAATAAATCACGCTGTAATGAAATAGAAAATAACATCATTATACATATGTATTAAATATTATAAAGCTATATATTTGAAGTCATGTGCTAATTACTTCATTACAGTAACTTAAATTACACTAAACACCTTCTGAACATACATATGTATGTACTTCTTTGTAATAAATGCATAATTCTTTTGTACTATTAAAATTTTGTTCTAAAAAATTGCTTTCTGAAAATTTAATTATAAAAAAATATTGTAGAAAAATACATGTGTCATTTTTAAAAAAGCTAAACCGATTATTATATATTACTATAACTACAGAAAAGAAACAGTCGCTTTATTATTCTAGTGGCGAATATGTACATACATACATTATCTAAAAACATAGCTTTCCTGGCCGCACTGGTCTATTGGTCTTAGCGTGTTACGCATACGCCATGACATGTGAAACAGCACTTACATACTCGTATGTACAATACACTCATAGTATTTTAGAAAATTGTTGTGTACACAAAACGATGACGCCATTCAAAAACCGAAACTAAAACCAAAAAGTGGCAGAATACGGTTTAGAAAAACTAAAATTATGTAACATACATAGGGATCTATGTAAGCCACCATAGCATTATTTTTTGCTCGCGTATAGCCAATAGAACACATCCTCATTCAATAAGCACACGCTTCTTTAGACACAATAAATTATATTTAACTTGCGTCTCAATCTGTCCTTTGAGTGCCAAAAAACAGCGCACTTGTTAACAATGATGGCGCCAAACCGCGGTCACTTGGCGACCATCAATATTTATTTATTATATATGTATGTAATTTCTCTTTTACAAAAGTATAACGAGAACATGCAACAATTCTATGACTCGTTATGGTGCATACCTTAAGTATATAGTTGATAAGTATTGGCATAAGGCAACTTGCAGCAACTTGTACTTAGTAAAGAGTTGGTCAAACATTAAACTTGCATTGCTCTGCCATATTAATAATGACTCAAAGAGGCCAAACGCAGCATGCAAAATTATGTTCAAGTTGAAAGTGAAAGTTTTGTCGGGTCAGTTGGGCGCCAGAATGTATACCATCTGCATATGCTTGTATGTACATATGTGCTGGGCAGATTATATACTCACAATATATTATATAACATATGTATACACTCTTAAGCATTAAGTAAGGACGAAATTGTATATTTTTAGGTTGTTGTTAGTACCAGATGGGCATACAAATGTATTCATAAACGAGTATTTAAGGATACCACGTCAATACATGGGTGTGTAATAAGTGGATTGTCACATGCGCCGGTTTGCGGCGACAGTCTGCAGTTGAAATGTCGTTAGACATGTAACACAAAGAGACTTAAAAAAAACTAGTCATAAAAATCCATTCAAAATACGGAGGTGGCTTAAAACTTGGGAGAGCCACTCGACTAGGCAACTAGCGAATTTGTAAGGCGTGTGTATGCTATATACTTGTATGTACAAATATTTTTAATGGAATAATAAGAAGAGGGGTTCCAAGGTGGGTGGATAGAACATACTAAAAATGCTGTCATAAAATACAGTAAACGTCATTATTCTAGTAAAACGAATCACTTTTGAGGTCATTTTGTTAAGAGGCTCCATGGAATTTGTGAACACGTCATTAAAATTCTTGACGCTGCGCTTTATATGCAATTTAGCGCTTTAATACAACTTTATATCTACACAAACATACATATGTATATAAATAGTTTATTATTAACGACGTCAGTGTGCAGTACACGCCCAGAGCGCAAAATTTAATAAGAGTGTGAGTCAAAAGAAACCGATGAAAAAAATTGAAACTTCCTTTTGAATACGGACAAGTGGGTCTTGTGATTTGAATACTAAGCTAAAAAAAAATTATAAAAATATAGATTTGAAAAAAAAACAACACAAAAAAGTACAAAAAGCATATACGACAGTAGAAATAAAAGCTAACAAGAACAATGCTTGCAATGACGTGGCGAATGAAGACTAACTTGCGGCTTGTAAACTACCTATAACTTTTTATGCCTTGATTCCAAAACTGGTTCGTACTTCTAATACGGACATTGTATATATACATATGTATATGTATATTATGCTGTGCATGTGAAAGTACATAGAACGAAATGCTCAAAATGCGAAGCAACAAAATCTTTTATAACCGGCAAATTATATACATACATACATATGTATGTACAGACTTATACACCTATAACTATATATGTAGATTGAGCTACTGGAATCGCATGGAAAACAACTCCCGATCAGCACATTCAATTGAAATAATTGTGACCGCGGACATGAAGCGCGATATTTGCTCGTAAGGGCAATGGTGGATAGGATGACTGTCAGATAATGCTCACTTCAAAAAGAAGCCTACGGAACGATCACAAATGTGTGATATTTAAGCTAGATAATTGTAATGGAATTTGAAGCAGAAAAGCGAACACAGAATACAGAATTTGAGTAAAAAGCATCTAAGTGCGCTTTTTAGAGAGAACAAGCCATTGGAAATTGACACAGCTTTTTAGCAGCAAATATAATATATTCAGGTGAGTTTGCTTGCACTTACATATGAATGTATGTTATATATTTACTATATTAATTAGAACGTTTGTGCATGGAATATTTCTGCATAAAATTCGCCGAGAAGAAGTTAGTAACGAAAATCAAGGTTCGAATTGAAAAGTAACAATAACTGTATTAATAATTAACTATCAAATTGTGAGTTATTACATGAAGAAGTTTTGTATTATTTGGAAGAACATTGATAAACCTTTTTATCGAAAGTTTGGTTATTATTTTCGGGACAAGAAACATTTCGAAAACAATTTAAAGTCATGTTTTTTCGTATCTTTGTATGTTATATAATAAAAATATAACTTGTACAACAACCAAATAATTGAACACAACAACTAACATTAAATGCACATAATAATTTGCTGATCACTATCTTAGTTCAAAGTAAGATCGATGAGTATAGATATGTGTACATTGTAAAAATGAATCATTGACAAACAAACAGGAGTAACCTTACGTATGGTATGTATGTATGTTCATATATAAACGTGTATGTATGTTCGTATATATGTGCAATGAAATACGTCATTGCTCTCCACTGAGTCATATGATCTACGAAAATATTTGTGGAAGTAAATAAATATGTGAAAAGCATTCAGCTCAACTAACACAACTATTATATATAAATATACATACTCGTATGTATATATATATTCTATAATAAAGCAAGCTCAACTATTATTGTGATTTTCGATTTTTGCTTTTTTAATCACATCCGTTGCATTTACTCTGTATGTATATATGTATATGATGTGCTCAACAATACTTTTTCTCATTTGTAGCGATTAAAATGCTCTTAAGCTAAGCTCCATAGGCAAAAGTATGCCGAGTACAATTTGTTTAGCCACACGCTCTTGAACAGATGCCGCTTTATAAAAGCTATAATTTAAGTTTTCTATGTATGAATGTATACCACTACATAAACATTTGTGCAGATACATATCTAATATACACATACTATGCACACTGAACTTTATATAGCCTTTTAATATATACATTATTTGGCTGTAGACAAATAGCACTGCCCCGTTGGCAAAGACTGCCAGAAGAAATCTTCATGCTTACTTATTTTCGTGATACATATGCATACACGTACATACATACATACATATATATGGGTACTTTATGTGGTACAAGTATACATATAGGTACATACATATGTATGTATATAAAAAATATATTTTTTAATTTATATTATTTTATGCACAAAGTATTTTTACAGTTGATTCATTGTAGTTACATCGTTATTTTGTTTTCTTTAGCGTTTATCATAATGCTAATCTTTGTATTCAGACACTTTTTGTTGTTATTTACAAATGTTGGCGGTGCTCTTGTTGAGTTTTAGTTGGAATGATGATGTCATCAGTTAGCGCTGTTAGAGCGTTCGCTGCTATTCATTGCAAGGGGAAAATAAATATTATTTCGAACAAAAGAATTCATTTAAGAAAAAAACATAAATATAGAAAAACTAACAGTTGAAGAAAATAATTGCTTGCTTCAAATAATCAAAAAAATAAATAAAAAATGAAAACCGAAAACCGCGCCCGTTTTGTTAAATTCGAGTTAACACTTTATATTCTCCTCAAAACCACAGTTATTCACTATTTACTACACTTTTGCTCTCATTTCACACGTTTTAAATACACCGCAAATATAATTACTGTGTAAAAATCAAAAAATAAACACGCAAATAAATAAATACAAATATTCACAAAAAGTGAAAGTTGAACATTGAACTATTTTTAATAAATTTCTATTTACCACAAGTGAATGTATTTTTGTACTGCTAACTGTGTGCACTCTCTGCTTCAACGCCTCAACGTAGACTGAAATGCGTCGCACAAAATGTAATTACTTTTATTCGCAGGAGCATTGGAAGTGAACAAAAGTAGGTGAATATCAGTTGGGGGAGCGTTGGGAACTGGCAAGAGTCAATGCGCTCTGCACCAACAACAAATCACTACCGGCTTTGCATGTTGGAAATGTGGAGCAAATGCTAACTTGAAAATGATTTTCAATGTTGGTCTCCGCTCTTTCTCTTTTTATATTTTCTCTCTCTCCTATCTATTATGCTATTCCAATTGAATACTTTTTGGGCTAAGAGAGAGCAACATTTACAAACACCGGCTATAACAAATGTACAAAATTCTTAATTCAAGATATCGAGAGCTTTGTTTTGTATAACGTCATGTACTTGGCTTGATTTTGAGCGCACATATTCACCTTTGTTTCTAAGAAAACGTCATGGAATATAGCCGTGATGAAGTAACAAAAAAATATGAAAATATGACTAATAACAACAACCAATATATCTACATAATACTCGTAGTGTCTCGTAGTTCGAATTGTGGAAAACTAAAAGAGATAATAATTGACGAATGTGGGTTTTAAGATTTGTATTTAACAAACCTTTTCGAATACTCAAAATATTAAGGGTAAAATTTATATTTTAGTAATGCATGCATGAAGCCAATTTTTTAAATATATACATACATATGTATGCTTGGAAGTTTGTTTATTGTTGCTATTATATTATTATTATTATATTTTTCAGATTTGATCAAAAATTTCTAGTTTTTAAATAATAAAAATATACGTACATACTTAAATAGTTCTCGCTATGGGTGAATCATAAGCATTCAATTAAACTGCAAATCAAATTGCATCTTTAACTATGCTTTTTAAAATAATAGAGAGCGTGTTTCTCAAGAATTTCATACTCACACAAACTTTGAATCTCTTTAAACATTGAATATGCTGGTAGTATTTACAAAGGCATGTTGGAATTCATCTAAAACTCTTTAAATTATATACAATGATACACTGGTGGAATTCTTTAGAGTAAATGACTTTCATGGCGTCACAGCAATTAATCATGAAGGTAAAAATAATCATATGATAGGTGCTCGTCCACTTACCACTTTGCATAAATAATAGGTTACAACTAGCTACAGTTAAAATGTGTTTGCTCTTTATGATATATCACGAATTCCATTTTGTTTGATCTGTAAATAAAATTTTTTTAATTTAACGCAAGAGTTTTTAAAGACGGCAAATTACCACAAAAGGTATTGCTACTTGTGGTACTATATTCGACTTTTCCATCAATGCAACGTAATAATTTTTTTCATTACATTTACTGAGAATGATGCGCTGATTAATTTTATGTTCGTGGCTGTCGCCTAATGCAGGACATATGTTCCAGTCATTGCCAGTAACACGCGTTGTTAACTCATTTGTTATAACAACCTGCAATAAAATAAATGAATCCAATGTAAAATTTTTGGTTACAATTAAAACAACATTAAGCATATAAGTTTAATAACATACGCGAAACATGAATTCGAAATTTCAAAATCGTTAAATTTTTGTACTTACTACCACTTTATACTCTGTCGCTAACTGTTGCAGCTGCGATAATAAACTATAAACTATTGCAGTACGTTCTGCCACATCTTCAATTAAGCGCAAAGGGAAGGAGAACGAATCAATGATGATCAGTTTTATCTATCAAATTGCATATATAATTTCATAAACTTAAATACAAAAAACATATGAAAATATTTATTTTTACCTCATTATGATTAATTAGCATTTCACGTAGACTCTCTACAGCAGCTTGTAGTACCATATGATTTTTACAATATATATAAGTCACTCCTGCCAATACTGAATTAACAGTAAAAGGACATTGCGTGCCTAAGTCAAGCCCAACTTTGGGTAAGGCGCGAATGAAACGTTTTTCGGCACAGAACGCAATTTCTAAATGTTATTTTGTTGATTAGTAAAGACAACATGACAAACAATAGCTCAAGTTTGCTTTACCTCGCAAACGATTAGGACTGAAATCTTGATTAGTATCCAAATACACAGCTTGGCCCTGAAGACCGCCAACTCTCCGTGGAAATTGCACATTGATACAAAGCTGCAAACTATTTATTATAATTATTAATTTATCGATTTTCGAATATAATTCAATATATATTATTACCACATTTGTGTTTTCCCACAACCTGGTCCACCGCAAAATTCTGTAATCAAACCAGCTGCAAGGCCACCTTCTATATTATCATCCAAATTTTTACAAAGAGTTATAATACGTGGCATTTCTTTCTCTTGTCGCCATATCTCGAAACAAGTTGTTTTAAACATCGTATTAAACCTTTGCAGATAAATTATATTGTTATGATAATTGGCGGTTTTATTTACAATTCGCTGGTGCCGGTTTGTTTGCCTTTTGTTATAATATCAGCTGATTGCAAAACGAGTGTTGTAAAGCTTTTTTTGGATATATTATACTTTAGTTAGTTAAACGCGTATAACGTAATCGAATTATTTTCTATAATTAATGAAAAGTTTCATTTGTTTAGAAGTAAATACAAAGAGCAGTAATGTATTTACGTAGTAAGAGAAGAATTTAGTTATAATAAGAAACACATACAAGTTTTCACTCACATGATGCAAATTTTTCACAAATTCTTTTTTCATTACAACCCTGTGCCGTTGTTTTCCGGTTCGGACATTCTTTCTCCATTAACGTTTCCTGACGCTGAGATTTATTTTTAACAACAAACCGTACCGTTTTTGGAGATTTTGATATAATAATCGTTTATTTTTTCATAAAGTAAATATATAAAGAACATATTTCAATTATTTATTCGAAATGGCGACATTGACTGTTAAAATATTTACGAATAAATAATAAAATTTCCGGAAGTGCGAAGGTTTTAATTTTAGTTTCCCTGCGGTCGAATAAACAATATATTCTGTATTTGGATGACTTATTTAACTTGGTATGTAAATTTTAGTGTTTTATCAAAAATGTTATAAAATAGTCCCAACAACTTCACATATGTATATGTACGTTAAATTAATTCCATTTCATTTGCTACAATATTAATTTTGTAATTACTTATCTTAACTTTTAATGCTATTTTAGGTCAAAAATGTCTAAAAAATGATGTAAGGAATAATTCAAATACTTTCGACTGAACAAAGAAAGTTTGAACAGTATGCGACTTACGACATTGTGACAACAATGAGATTGAAACTATGGCAGAAAGAGCTCATCTTAACATTAGATGAAATCTGGAACATCCCTTTGTGGGCAGGCACTTAGCGGAATCAAACGATTAATTTCGGCAATAAACTCATGGTAGTCGCCTTTATGTGCTGGACTGGACTTGCAAAAATAGTGTTAAGTATCCTGTAAAGTATTCCTGAAAATTTGAAGAAAAATTATTTATCCACTACTGATCCAACTAATTTCCAAGAGGCACATTTGTAAAACCTGTACACAGGAAAATATTCCACACATTATGCACATCTTCCTCGTTCATACCACCCTCCTGGACCAATATCACATATCAGATTTGGACAATGAATTACATACAGGGAATTATGTATGTAGTACATATTTATATATTGAAGCGTCGCATATCAATAGTTATAATACAAATATTAAAAGGAAGAAATTTCTGAAAAAAGTACGATTCTCCAAATAAATGAATAAAACACTGGAATACAGTCTAACGGTATATTTTCTAAACAACAATTATGAAATAGCCATTGTAATATCAGTATTAACTAATATTAGTGGATAAAATAATTATAATAATCGTCAAACTGTTATAAATCACCATTGATCTCAAGGTGTTGCCTGACAATTTAAGACTAAAAAAACTATTATTATCTGTAGCAACATGTTGCAAGAGTATAAAAATTCGATATATTCTAATAGTTCATTGACCTACAAATAATGCAAAATCGTTCTTGGACTTGAGGAATCTTCCATGTAGAATACTGTATTTAGATAGATAGATAGAAGTTTATATTATATATACAATTACAACTCGCAGAGAATCAAATTGGCACCTTTCTTTTGTCCCCTCTACAATTTAGAGCATAATATTTCAAGTACTAATATTTATAACACCGCTCACGAGATTGAATTTATCAGTAAATAGTTTTATCAAATACTCTCATGTTGAACTACATAAATCCGGGAAAATACATAACGGCGTTATACCTAAACAAGGTATAAATAGGAACCATTCAAGTTTAGTGTTCATAGAAAAGAGGTGTTATAAATTAAACATCTTGCGGTTAGTTGCGGAAAGTAGTCAGTGCAATCTTAAAGACATTTTGAAAAATCAAAAGATGGTTGGTACTTCAAAGGAAAAACGCATCTTTAAACAGTATGAACCAACAATTTGTTACAATAAGCCGCCTTCGGCACAAGTCGATCCAGTGGAATATGACAACAAACGGCTTCAAATGCTTTCAGGTGAGATCGCCGAAACACTGATCGTACCAAAGCGCACCGCGCGCACATGGACAATGCAGGCTGGCGATTTGTGTCGTATTACTGTCTGTGAAGGTTCACAGGTGGGAGATATGAATTTCTGGAATTCGGACAATATCAAGGAACACTTCTACTCAGGCAAGACACGCCAGTTGCATAGTACACATCTCAAAGTTTACGATCGCTTATGGAGTAATTTCCCCTATTTGCGACCAATGGCTACACTCGTTTACGACACGCTAGCGGATTATGGCATCGACGAGCATGGTGGTGCGCTGCACGATGTAGTTGGTACGCGTTGTGATGATTATACATACAAATTAATTACCGGTAAAGATCGTGTGGGCAGCTGTCACAGTTCGCTAACGAAAGCGGTGGTCCAGGAGCGTGGTATGAAAGAGGAAGATGTGCATGACGTATGGAATATTTTCATGTGCACTGGCTTTACGAGAGTGAGTACAGAACATTTTGTTGCATGTATAGGATGACGGTTGAAATATTTTTCACAAATTTCAGGATTCTCAACAATATTTTTGCAAGCCAAGCCCAGCACGTAAAGGAGACTATCTCGAGTTTATTGCCGAAATTAATCTATTGATTGCGCTAAGTACCTGTCCACAAGGTGATGTTTCAATAGTGGTCGGTGAGGAAGTACCCGATGAGATATGTCATCCACTGAAGGTGGAAGTTTTTCGCAAAAATAATAATAATTAACAATTTACATACATATACATATATTGGAAAAAAATATGCCATAGTTTAAAAAATAAACTACTAGATACCTGTTTAGCACAAAAATTAATATTGAATATGTTTTTCCATTTGATAAAAAGAATTTTTCTACGAAAGTAGTAGCTTTTTTTGTTGTTTGATATATTATTTTGATTTATTGATTTAAATCAAAATTAAAGTGATGTAGTATGAATGTCATCATGAAATCTAGTTGTTGCCCTCCCGCCAAAGCGTAGATTTCTGTAAAGATCAATTGATGCAAAACCTGTTTAATATTGTGTAAAGATACGCGTAAGCGGAGAACTATCAGAATAGCATAAGTAAGTAGGAGATAGCTCAATTATGAAAAAGCGGTAATTTTTTTAAATATATGACAATAAAATATAATTTTTTAATAACCCTTAGATTATGCTTCACTGTAGAGATGAGCAATTCATTTCGTACCTACGTATATACATGTATTTAATTTATACATACGTATGTATATAAATAAAATGGCCAGGATCATTTAGCCGTTCTCCATCATATTTCGTTATTATCGATTGAATTTCATAGTTTCCCAATGCTGTTTGCGTATACCAGTTTATATAGTACTTTTCTGTTTAATAAACAATTCGCGTACGTATGTATATACAAAAATATGTACATACATATATAGCTATGTATTCGAATAAATAAATACTACAATAATTTACTTTTCGTACTCTGTTATCATAAGCAGCTTTGCGCAAACTTATACTCACTAGTAAAATAAGTTGCTCTCTTTCAAGTTTGCTTATAAATGAATAAAGTCTAACATATACTGATTAGATTTAGCAGTTCTATTTGATAGCTGAAGTTGCGCGTATAATATATTTTTAGGTAATAGCTCGAGGTATAGTGGACATATTATTCCCAAAATATGACGGCGAACAATGGTGGTTGGTGTGGACGCGGTTTTAAACACCGTACTTTTCCCAAATACACTCCTTTGATATGTTATAATAAACCTGCTTCGGCACAGGTCGATAAAACGCTGTACGACGACAAACGTTTTGAAGCGCTCACTGGCGAAATTGTGGAGACGGTGGTCGTACCAAAGCGCAGTGCGCGCACTTGGACCATGCAGGCTGGCGATTTATGTCGCATTACTGTGAGCGAGGGTTCACAGGTGGGCGATGTGAATTTTTGGAACTTGGATAATACCAAAGAACGTTTCTATTCGGGCAAAACACGTCAATTACACAGCACACATCTCAAAGTTTACGATCGCTTGTGGAGCAATTTACCTTATTTAAGACCAATGGCCACCTTCGTTTATGACTCATTGGCCGCCTATGGAATTGATGAGGATGGCGGTTCATTGCATGATGTGATTGGTACGCGTTGCGACGATTATACCTATAAATTAATCACTGGAAATGATCGTGTGGGCAGCTGTCACAGTTCGCTAACGAAAGCGGTGATCGAGGAACGTGGCTTGAAAGAGGAAGATGTGCATGACGTTTGGAATATTTTTATGTGCACAGGTTTCACGAGAGTGAGTATGCAACAGTTTTGTTATATGCAATGTCTTTATGATGGCGTTTCCAATATTTGCTATTTTGTCATACATTTTAGGATACTCAACAATATTTCTGTAAGCCCAGTCCAGCCCGTAAAGGAGATTATATTGAATTTATTGCTGATATGAATCTTTTGGTTGCATTGAGTGCTTGCCCGCAAGGTGATGTATCTATAACGGTTGGCGAAGAGGTGCCTGATGATGTCTGCCATCCGCTGAAGGTCGAAGTGTTTCGCAAAAAGCAATAGTCTTGCAAAAATGTCTTACTTTTTATAAGTTTATTAAAAAATATTTGTTATCATTATAAAACACAATAAAAGTGTTGCAATTGATCCAAGCGAAATGAGTGTTGAGTGAATGGACTCATTATTGAGGTTAAGTATCGTCAACCTTTTTTGTGAAATTGTTTTGGTGTATATTAAAAAGTCTTTGCCGCTACAAAAAGCAGATATTATATGAAATGTTTTTCTTTGATTGCAAAAGTAATATCGCTTAATAGATTTTCGCTCTAAATGTACATGCTTAACCATTGTTTAGCAACGCTTGTGCGAAACATATGCAAAAAAGAATTTCAGTAAAAGTTTACTGCTAAAATTTACCGAAGAAGGCATCAATGTAATTAATTTCGAAGCAAATGATAACTAACACTTTACACTTTCTCTCTTTTCCGAAATAACAAATGTAGATAGTGGGTGCTTAAGCAAACGTAATTCAGTTTTGAACTTCTTATAATTTCATTTAAAGTAGGTAACCGAGGCGCATGGATGCGAACACAAGCGTGGAAACTCTTTCACTACCAAGAAACGTGTAGCCTAGTGTATGGGCTCACATTAACACTACATTTGTTGTTTCATACGTAGTATTTCGACCGAAGTCTCCGTTTTCGTAGAAAGATCTAATGGAGTGGTTTCGTTTCAGTTGGCGTTACAAACTACCGTTAACTTGCAAAAGTCGCCTAGGAAGCCTATGAGTTTTCGACAATGAAAATAAAAATTTGTAAACAATGTTCAAAATTTCACTCGTAAAATCAGCATAAAAAAATTTACTGCAATAATTGTATATATTTATATATATATATATATACATAGTTGTATATTTATTTATATATTTAGTACACATATACATACATACATAATAAAGTAGTATTTATATTATAATTTTTGTTGTTTCAAGTATTTAACGTTTCATTGAAAGCGGACTTGCCACTTTTTCAAGCCCTTTGTGGTTTTTGTTACTAAATTTAAAACCAAATATTTGCGTCTGATGTCGTACAGGTCAAGCTTTTAACTGTGACGGGAATTGTTGTGTTTTGTTGAACTCGTAATTCATATACTATTGTATATATATATATATAATGTGAGTTGTTTTTACTCATTTCTTTTTTGCTTCAATTTTGATTACGCATACATAACTGTGAACTTATCTACAGCATCAGCAGCAGATGTCGATAAATTTGCCGTAGTTTTTTGTCTTTATGCAGTTGCTGGTGCACCACCAGCCAATTCTCGGTAGGCATCCTGTAGGGCATATTGTTGCTCAGGTGTTAATATGCTAGCGCATGCCTGGAATACTTCTGGATTGGACTCCACTTGCTTCACTATGCCCAACATACGTGTGCCGATATCGCTCAACGACGAGACAACTTTTGTAACAAATGCTTGGGCTATTATTGATACAATTCGTGGCAAATTGCTGTTATTGTTTCCTAATATGATGGGGTGATTGGCCTGGATAAGATCGCACATGTAGCCATAAATGTGTGGTGCTTCATCAGCGTCCTCAGTTACGGGCAGCCAAGAGAACCTGTTACAATAAAAATAATTTAGTATATATTTCGTATATATCTTTGTATGTATGTATGTATGTATGAAAATGCTTACCAAACATTAATAATATCGTTCACATTTGGTATGGCGCTACTGTTATATTTCAGGATCTTTGAAACTGCGGCAATAGCGTTCTCTGTGGGATTGATATTCTCGTGATCGCGGCTTTTTGGATCAGATATAACTTGCACCAGTAAGGGAATCATTTGAGCACATGTAACAGCAAACTGTTCACCACCAAACTGAGAGAGAAAAAAATGTAGTTTAAAATTTAATTTGTTTTATAAAGTGATTTTCAAAAGTGATATAGGAATTTATCTTTGAATTAGTTAATTTTTTATTCTTTACTCTTTTATTACTAACAAAAAACAGTGTTGCATTTTACCTGTCCCAATACACCACAACCGTAGGCGGCTGCTTGGCGAACTTCTGCTGATTTGTCGGTAACATATTGTAACAAGGCCGGTGTGAAAATCTGTTGATAAGCAGCACATGCTGGGCCGCAAAACTCTACACAAACAATGGAAAAATACTTAGATAGTATAGTACTCACAATAAATATAATCAATACTCACCAATGACATCGTCAAATGCACAAACGCCCCACTGCCTATCGGACCATGAGCGATTCGGTTCAAGCAGCTTTATAAAGTGCGGTGCAATACGATCGAAATTGGGTAAAAATTGTGCTTTATTGGTCAGGAAAAGTGCGTGCGATATATCCACCACCTTTGAAAGTATATATGTATCGGTATCGTCTTGTTCAGCCAACTCCTCTTCGACACCGTCGTCGTAGTCCTCCTCGTTGCGCGCTTGCAAACGCTTGTCGGCACGTTCAAAGTGCTCACCCATGTATTTTGTAATAATATCCAATACTTGTGTCATTGAGTCTTCATTCAAACAATTTGGACCCAATGTTTCAATGCATTTAGCCAATGAATTAAGTAGTTCTGATTGTACATCCGCTTCCGGTTCTGTACCTATGACTTTCAGTAGTTCGGGGCAAATATAGAGCCACATTCCCTCTAGGTATTGGGGACCCTTAATCTTAGCACAATCCAACAAATATGGTAATGATTCGGCCGCCGCAGTTCGTACGCCATCGTGGAAATAGAATTTCAACATTGGGACCATCAAGCGTACCACCTCTTCGGCATAGTCAGCGAAACCTTCCTTCAATTCACGTGCATAGCAAACTAACATCTCACAGGCTGATGCCTTATCCTCCATGCCAGCAGTGCGAATAGCAAAGTTTTGCTGTTCACCCAAATTAATAAATGACCATTCGACATCATCTAATGTAATCAAGAGATAAAAAATGGTTTTTGAATAGCATAGACGATATTAGTTATTATAATAATTCAGTAAAATGAAATGTAAATTAGTATAACCCTACATTTTTATAATTTTTTTTTTGCTGAAATTTGATTTCAGACTCTTAGGTAAATAGAAAAGGTAAGGGATAACCGAGCTTAATTGGAATTGATCCAGATTTACAGCACATTACATATTTAAAAGCAAATTTACACAAACCTTCAATGTCCTCCACTTCGTCATTGTCCAGTAGTGCCACTTCTGGTTTCATAGCTGCGGTATGCATCACGGGTCCCATTACCAACGGCAAATACTGTTCGAATTGTTTGCCCAAAATCTTGCACATGCGAGCCCAAGCGGTTATTAGGTAAGATGTTTGTGGGTCATCGTCTGGCAAATCTCCTTCGGTGTGTGTTTTCAACAATAGGTCCATAACTTCACCAGCATCGGTGATGAATTTCTCACGACCTACTGCCAAACCAATCAAACTGACGCATTCGATGGTCTTGCCACGCAACATACGCAAATCCTCGGACTTGGCATTTTGTATGATGAATTTCAGGCATGGCATAAGACGATCATAGTACGTAACAAACTCCTTCTCACAAGTATCGGCGACCGATGCGATAGTGGTGACAACTTGTTCCAACACCAATTTATTGCCTTTCTCTACCAGCTCTTTGAATTTGGAATTCAAAATTGTCTCCAACTTCGACATAATTCCATTCAAGTAACGAGTCAAAATGTGTTTTGGACAATCTTCAGAGAAGTTAACCAAAGCGGCGCCAGCGTGTGCTTGTACTCGTGGATTTTCTACATCGTCGAGCAAAGATAACAATCCCGGCACCACCTGCACAAAAAAAAATTTTCATTTAACAATATGTTTATTTATTTACAAATTATTTTTCAAACCAAATTATTGCTTTTGATTTTTAATGCACTCACCTGGTCGTGGAATTTCTTTTCAAATGTAGGTGCGAAATCTGTAGACATCTGTCCAATGGCATTGCAAGCAGCGTAACGAACACGTGGATGGGGATCGCGCAAGAAATTCAATACGCCTGCCATAATTTGGTCCAACATGGCCTCCATTTGCTTATGGCAACCTTCGCCAATGGCCGAAATTGCCATAAGTGCGGCATAGCGCTGCTTCCAGTCGGAGTGCCCCAACATATTCGGCAATGCATTCATAACATGAGGCAACACGGTTTTACCGCCCAATCCGCAAGCCAAGCGATCCAAAGATGACTCCGCAATGACATTGTTATCACTATTGTCGTCATCGGTTACCACATCGGAGGTGGACCATTCTTTATCATCGTCCAAATCTGTCATCATTTGCAATACCAAGGGTATTAATGCTACGACGTACTTATCCGCACGCTTACGTACCATAGCTGGTGCATTCTCCGACAAAGATACCATTACTTCCAAAACTAAATGACGCCAACTATCCTCTACATCTGTTGCACCAAAAACTTTCATACACATCTCGAAGATGTTCTCCAATTGGGGACGTAAATATTTCGGGCATGTTTCGGTCATATCGATAAGTAACTTCAACAAACTCTGATCATCTTGTGCTTCAATACTCTCAGCAGTGATCATAATCATGCGTGGCAATAAATCTGAGAAATGCTTAAATATATTAGATTCCCCATCCTTGTTATGGTGCAGTATAAAGGCACCAATCGCTCGTACAGCTTGAAAGCGTACTTCCACATCAGCTGTAGGCTCCAAACTCTTGGCTAACATTTGCTTGATCAAATCTAAATACTGTGCCTCTTGATTGCCAAAGATAGATGGAACACTTGCGAAAATTCGCAATGCCGATTCTTGTAATTGAGCCGAAGGTGAATTAGCACATTGGAATAGAAATTGCAAGATATCCGTCCATTGATTGTTTCCATCTTCATCGGTAAGACTGCGTGCGACTTCGGCAACCAGTTCACAGATTTTGCGGCGCAAATTCGGTGTAACTTCTTGCTGCACTGCTAACAAAATCTGCTGCAACAGCTGAGCTTGCGATTCTTGCGGCAACTATGCACATGGGAATGGAAAAAAATATGATTCAACTAAATACTAGTAAAATAAGTGTATTAAAATCATAAATATTCCGGTAAAATTATGAGAAAACATAGAACCGGCAATATTAATTTTAAATCATGTTATGTTTATTCTGGACTTTTTATGCCATACAAAGTTAAATTTGGATAATTTGGACTTGTTTTAAATGAATCAACTTAAGAAAACTGTCTTTCGATTATTTAACCATGTTTGGATCGGTGGGTCATAATAAAAAAAATCGTTATATTTTCGAATAACCTGTTTTTAGGAACTGTGCAACTTCCAATTTTATTTGAAACATCAAACCTTGTAAATTACATTTTTTAGCCATTTCTAAAATTTTAGTACCCACTATTTATTGGATAACAAGACCTGCAGTGTCGCAGTGATAGACTATGGTCGAATCTTTAACAAACGTGTTATCAATTATATTATATATAATTTGCATATGGATAAGGCCTGTTTATTTACATTTGTGTATGAGAATGCATGTAAATAAAAATATACATACTTATATAAATTTTCATATACATATCAACAGGTGCATGTATACATAGATAAATATTATATTTCATCACACCAATCATTTAAGCAAAATCCTAACGTAAGTAATAAAAGCAAAAGCTTAAGTAGTTCTTCGATATTGAAAAACTCACCTCTTTGTAGAATTCCGCAAATTCAGATGTAAATAATCTACGCAAAAGTACTGCCGCCATTTGACGTGCCTCTTCCGATTGTTGGCCATTGTGGATTGTACCCAACAGATGTGTTACTTTGACATCGCATGGCAAATTGTTATAAGCATCCTATTTATAAAACCAGCATTATTAAGTAATTTAAAAATTAATATAAAAACTACGTAAATAATTACATTTATTATAATATAGTAAAATTTCATTTGCAGATGAAAAGTTAAGTTAATGGGGCATTTTGTATTAAGGAGGTCACAAGGGTATGCAATGTCCTAGATTGTAACCACTATAACACAAAAACGTGACGTAAAAACAATTTGGTGTGAAATCTGTTTTAGCACGTAAGCCTTCCCCACAACACAAAGCATTTTTTCAAGGTCATAGCACCTAATATGCAATAATCAATTTTAAGTACAACTTTGCCACCAGAAATCCGTAGGTTGCAGCATTGACATTATCGACATCAACTTTAAACATTTCTAATAATACCTATATTCAAAAAAGAACACTTTGCGTTTGCAATATACTTATGCGGATATGTAAAAGTATATCAGTTCATGATTAAAATGGGCGTTGGTACATATATTAGAAATAAATGGAATTTGTTCATATAATCGCCAGTTTCTAATTCGTGCCATAAGCCCTCGTCATTCATCCTCGTCACCATTATCGCAAACATATCACTACCACCTTTATGATTGGTTGCCTGTATTGCCTTTTCTTCCGTTCTCTACTTTTTGCAAATTTTTGCGCATATTCAATTGTCAAAAATAGAATGTACCTGTATGTGTATTCCATTTTTTACGAATTTGCTAGCTAAAGCAATATGTAAAAAAATAACTATTCAATTCTGACTAAATAGACATAACGTGTTCATATTTAATACTTCTGCACTTCTATTGCCTTTCTGAATATTCTCAATTACGAAATGGGTATATTCATCCAAAGGATTTATGAAACGCGTAAACCTAACTACTTATGTGTTTAAAGAATATATTTAAATAAGTAAAAGAGAAGGAAAGAACAACAATACCAAAATAACGAAAACATGTGTAGCATAATGAAAACACGTTTTGCTAAATTTTCTCCTTTTTAACACTCGTTCGTTGTCGTGGTCGTTGCAGCGGATGATATATGCTATAGTGACTGTCAAGTGCAAATTAAAAAAACCGATGCATATGCGTGTATATTCCAAATGCATATTTATATATACATTTATATATTCCAGCATAATGTATGTTTGTAAATTACATACATGCACATTGCAAGCACAAGAATATGTAAATTAATTTATATATGATATATGTATACATACATATGTATATTAGCATTGATCGCTGCAAATTATTTGATACCACTTTTACTGAATTTATAAGCGCCCCACTGCGCAATAAATATTAAGGAGAATTTATTAATTGTTCATCTACGTGGTGTAAAAATTATTAGGGAGTAGAAATGTTTCTAAGACTTATATGGTAGTCATGAAATTATTAATGTAATTTATAGTACCCACCTCAGCTTGTTGACGCACATCATTGTCCGTGGACAACAACGAATTCAGGAGTTGCTGAAATTGCACTTGGTCGGCGGCCATGACTCAATTCAGTTTACAAGATTCCTTTTATTCACTTACACTACGTAAACTTTGCAATCTGACCGAAAAATTCAAAGTCCTGTAAAGCAACGATTTCTAATGGTCAATAACAAGATATCAGGACTGGAAATAATTTTTTCACTTGGAAAACTTTTTCCTTCCTATATTTATTATAAAATCTCATTAAAATCACGCACAGAACCGCACACTATAGCGCACGAATGATGAAAAGAAACGACGAGTTCACAAATTGCCCGCTCGTTCGTATGTTGTGCTTTGGAGAACGAGCGCGAAAAATTCAATTCATTCGTTACATGTAGGGGTTGCCGTGTCAAAATAAATGGTAAGTGTGTAAATAATTTGAATTTATTGAATACAAAATTTAGATATTATCACTTTCTATGTATATGTATATTTATATTTAAGAACTTGATAAAACGTAACAATGATAATAATAATAATAAAGAAAAATAAACATTACATAAATAAAAACAAACAATTACGGCATTATGATCCTGCCAAACGTTGCATATTACTCCATAAACGTAGTGAAATATGATATAAGAGTTCAACCAAACTTAATATAGAGAACCCCATAAATAGACCAAAAATACCTCCGCAATTAGCCAAAAAATCAGTTACACCATACAACTCAGATCGCTTAGATGTTATAAACTGATGCTCTTTAAAGTATATAGAGAGACGAGACATTTGTGATCCAGGAAAGTCTTTAAAAAATGAAGTATCGCCAGTTGCTTTTAACATATCTTCTAGATCGAAATTTCCATGTGAAATTTCAGTATTGTAGACAAGTGAAGTACAAGCCGGCAAACAATTACATTGTGTGGCGCCTAAATAATTCAAATGAGATTCTTTTAGACCCTGTCGAAATTCACGTAAAAGCAAGACATCTTCGGCCCTGTCGTAACAAGAGATTTTATTCTCCGCACATACTGGCATATCTAAAGTGCGAGGCATCGAAAACTTCACACACCCACAATTAGCTAGAGTTAAATTTGTTAAACATTCCAATACACAATTATTTTGTGTATACACTTTAAAGAATCTGAGTGTACGCTCATGTTCTAAAAAGCATTGACGTCTTAGTGAGGGATATTCTGCAATTCCTGCTGACGTTGTGATCATATTTGGTTTAACAGCAATTACCACTTCTTTTCCCATAGGAATGCGCACAAACTGATTTGAAACTTGCGGGACGTCATCGGGTGAGTGTAGTGATACTTTGAAGCCTTGTATTGGACCACGACACGTATAGTCTACTTCTTGACGAAAACTCTGTAACGCAATAAAAAATCCTGCCCGAGCTCCAGCGCCTAAAACCCGTGCCGGATATGTTTTAATTCCACTATCCACTGTATAGCCATTTTGCAAGGACCACTTTAGGGGCCTTTTTAGAATTAGATTATGCTTAGAAAAGTTTTGAAATCCAACTCGGTGATACTGAAAAGTGTCTTCCCGATACAAATCTGTTGCGTTGAGACCGTTAAACGTATAACATATGCCTTCATTTGTGTAAGTAGGTGTAAAAAGTTCATCGCATTCACCAAAATGACTAAACCATTTACAATAGTAATAATATCTATTAAACTCCGGTTGCATATTTTCCAAAACTCTGAAGTAATCTATAAGATGAGTAGAAATAATTGGAGTACCATGTTCTACTAATTGCGGATTACAGATATGAAGAAGCGTACGGAATTCTTCCAAATCCACGCGACTAATATTTTTTGGTATAAAAAATCGCCTCGCCTTTACGTGTTCCCGAAAACTTTTTAAGAATTGACCATAAGTTACACCTAAAAAAAATTAAGATCATAATCGTTCGATTAATATAATACTAAACCAATTTATTACAAACCCTCTTTCCTAGGAATCCTTTTGGTTTCAGAACATATAGTAATCGCCGGAAATGGTATGCTCCAAACAGGTGTGGATTTTTCAGAAAAACTAACTATCACTGGAGTTTCATTCCATTTTATATAAATATTATGTATTAAATTTGAACAACAGTATATTGAAGCCAAAAAAACACATAACCAGAAAATCTTCTCTATTAAAGGACGACGTTCTCCAAAGTATTGGATTCCATGAATTGATGTGTTAGCACAGTACTCGAAGTATATTTGTTTAATACTTCTCCCAAGTTTTTTATAATGTGGAATATGTCGGGCTGAATCTAGTTCTTTTGAATCCAGTGTAGGCTGTTTATTATTACTTATGATCATATGGCTCATTTTAAAATAGGACACTTTACGAAATGGAAAAAATATAAAAATTATTAAAATGAACCGGTAACGGTATAAAACAAACAGATAATCTCTGCCATAGAGTGCCCAAACTAAACTTTTTCTGTGTGTTTCGTCATCACCAGCAAGAAGTTCACGCTGGGGATATATTTTGTTTTTCTCATGCGAACTACACTTTTTTTATTTTTGTAAATCGCTAAACAAGATCCAATTTATCTTTGTTATGCTTGTTTATTATGATAAATAAAAATAAATAGCGATAAGTGTAAGCTACATATTTTTTTAACTGTGTAAATATGGCGAAACATTCGCGATACAAAATTTATGACGTTTAGCAAAGTTGGCAAGGCAAAAATAACAACAAAAATAACGACGAGATCAAAATGTTTATTTATCATCTGTGAAACAGATTATCCCTACTGTGAAGTGTTAAAAGATTCAGTTTGGTATTTTGTGCTTCATTGTAAGAATTTCAGAGTTAATGATATTTATTCTACTATAATGCCATACAAAGCTTGTGTTTATAAAGGCTGCGAAAATTACACATATGATTGCGCACCTTGTGGCAATAAAAAATTTACCCTTTTTGCATTCCCAAAAGATCCTGTTCGTTATGAACAATGGATGAAAAGAGGTAAAGTTACCGATAGATTGCCGGAAACACAAATGCTAATGTGTTCCGACCATTTTGAAGGAAAATTTATTGTAAGAAACGCCCGGCGAACAATGTTGACAAGCACAGCGGTGCCGCTTCCGTATCACGAAGAAAGCGTTGATATTGAGGAAGCCGAGGATAATATTGAGAGGGAATGTGAAGTTGGGCTAGTTAAAGTAGCTGATGCTTTAGACACAGAAATGGTGTTTTCAATTCATGGTGACCTAAATGATAGTTCTACGCTCATTAGAGTTAAAGAAAGTGGTTGTGAGGATGATGATGAAGATGGATTGTTGGAGTATGATAGAATAGATAATAACTTGGATGCAGAATACTGTGTTGAATCTACAACAATGAAGGATGTTGATGATGTACAGACAGAAGTGAAAGACATGTTTGCCGTAGACAGAGTTTATGAAGATGAACATTTGTCAGGTAAATTATTTTATACTAAAACTTCAAATCAGTCATTAATATACCATAATTTGTACTTATTATTTTAGGTATAATAAGACATCCAGAGCAAAAAGAAATTTCCTTCAAGGGTTTAAAAACCAATAGTATTAAAAGGCGCATAACACATTCGAGCACCGATGAAACACAAGAACCCTCTAGCTCTAAAGTTATCATATCGAAGTTTAATAACTTAAATAACAGTTACGATCATGGTAGAACAGTTTCCAAACGCAAAATAAACCAAAGAAGCGGGGATAATAACAAATACTTTAAAGCAAAAATCCAAAAAGAAAATGAAACACGTCAGGACTCTCCAAAAATAAATTCGGAAACCTTGGTGAATGCGGAAGCTGTTACATGCTTCATTTTTAAAGGTGAAGAATACGTACAAATGCCTAAGGAGTATTACATACAGGAAAAATTGGAGCTTATGGAGAAATTGAAAAATTACGAAAATATTTTACGAACATTTAAACAAAACTTACTTAACTTGGATTTGGCATAAAGTAAACAAATTTGGAGCTACGATTTCTTTATTAAAAAATATTGTAGTTTTCAATTCAAGACTCACAAAACAGCAAAATATATAAAGAATATGTTACAATTAATAATTCATGGCGAATAAAAAGTACAAAATTTACATTGTTTCTTTATTTTAACGAATAATAAAGAATTAATGTAATTTGTTGTAGTTTTTACTTGGATGAAGGCTAAATTGAATATATCATTTCACCATTACATATTAGTTATTAAAATACAAAAAAAAAACTTTAAATATGTATATGTAAATGGTTGTTAGTTGGATCTACTACAATGGATATAAATAGAATTAATTATTCAACTCGAAAAGAATGTGTGAAATCGCACCACTTGACTCCACATTACTCAATGCTATATTGGATAGATGCGGTTCATAACGCCGTAAATTGCGTTTTGCTGTGCTGGTATAGGTAACCAAATTTCTTAATATCAATGCGGCGGTTAACCGTATGCTTTTCGTTACCGGACCTTCATTTTCATCCATTACCTCTTTGACGTAGTCGGCTGTGTGCCGCTTGATAGCGTTCATAGCTGAACTAGTGGCGACGCCGATTCCATACAGTTGTGAACCAGATGAGGACGATGATGTCGATGGCGCTGGCGAGGCGGTATTGTTACGTTGCGCCTGCGCTTGTGCCGCCTCAACATTGCGTACTATAGTTACCGGTGCTTGCGTTGGCTGCAAATTGACTGTGCCTGTTGCTACTCGTCGTTGCGCAGCGGCATGTAAACTATCGGTCGTCAAGTGACGATCTATTATGTGTGTCATAAGTGAATAACGTTTGCGTGGTATGCCATCGCAAAGACCTGGACCAACGCCCCACTGGCAGAAAATTTCCGCAGCCGGATCCAGATGATCCGGGCAATGCACCGTAAACGCATGATGCTGCAAATCATTAAGAGATTTGTATTTACGACGCGGACAGTTGCGCCAATCACAAACATATAACCAGTTGGGATCTAAAGGTGGTGTTGCATTGGCTGCCGCGGCCGCTGCCACACCAGGTGGTAACTGCACTTGCGGCAGTTGGGGCATCGGAAGTATGGGTTTCACCAATGGCGTTTGAACAGTGCTTGCTGGTGGTGGTGTACTTGATGTTGAGACAGCTTGTGCTGTTGTTGCGACTGTTGCCACTGTGGTTGCTGCATTACCAGAAATATTTGATATTTCATTGAGTTTGGATACTTCTTTTGGTTGCGGTTGACTAATGTTGCTTGTGCGTGCAGTCTGCGTTAGAGGTGGTGGCTCAGTAGCAACCATTTTATTGTTAACAACTGGTATTGCAGATTGCTGTTGTGTATGTGCTTTGATTTGTTGCACAACAATTGCATTACTGGATGGTTGCGGCGACTGTGATGCTGATTGTTGGGCGACGCTCTGAGCTGCGGTCGGAGATTTGGTTGGCAAAGATGATTGCATTATATTGATTTGTTCACCAGACTGAAAATAATATATATTTTGATAAAATTAGGAATAGTTGATTAAAAGCAAATTAATAGCTTGATTAGCAATACATTATTATGATGGCAATAAATGAACGATTTATAAGTTTACGCCTGAAACATATACATATGTATATTTATAAGTAAATCAACTTTACCTTTTGTGTCTGTTGTTGCAAACACAACTTCTGTTGAATAATTGATGGATGCTGTTGTTGTTCAATAACTGTGCGTATTTGTTGGGTTTGTTGTGGCGTCTGTTGCTGTTGCTGCTGTTGTTGTTGTTGTTGTGGCAACACTTGTTTTGTTATAATCGTTTGAGAGTTCAATTGGCTCTGTTGCGCAGGTGGTGGTGTTTGCGTAATTACCGTCTCCTTAATTTCAATAGCTCGTCCACCAAGTATCATTTGCCGTTTCTCGGATGGTCCCGATATTATGTGTTGTTGTATAATAGATTGATGCTGCTGCAATTGCGGTATTTGTATGGGCGATGGTGACACTGTCAAGCCTGGTGTAGACTGCACAATAGAAACTGCCTTCCCTATACGTGAAATGGTTGCTGGCTGATGTTGATTTACAGAGGACACTGTTGTTGTCGGCATCTGGGGTTGATGTAGTTTTATCGTAGCTGGAATGTGGTTTAGCTGTGAAAGTAATGATGGTGAAATTTGTCCAGAGCTCGTTTGCGTAGGAGCGATAGTGGTTACTTGTGATGTTGACAATATTTGATTTCGTTGCAAAAACTGATTACTGCTCGACACACTCGAAACATTAGCAGTAATGGCACTACCGCTAACTGGAACATGAATATGTGTGGCAGTACCGGTTTGCGGATTTATGAAATACTGCTGTGTTGTTGATGCGGGCAGCGACGGTTGTGGGCGCTGTGCTACCAACACTTGGCCCTGTGGCGTTCTCATGATCATCTTTTGTGAACCACCTGTTATGAGCTGCGGTTGCGAAGGATGCGTTTGCTGACCGGCCATCGTTTGCTGCTGAAGTATAATAATTGTTTTTGTACCGGCTGATTGTTGCTGTGGTGTTTGAGTAACTAACACCGTTTGTTGTGGCGGTGGTGGTTGTGGCTGCGGTTGTTGTGCTACTAGATATGTTTGACCTTGTTGATTTGTGGCAAGCACATATTGTGTTGGTTGTTGCTGTGGCGCTGCTTGCGGTATATTTTGTGTGATTACTTGCTGTATCAACTGTTGAGGTTGTGCCTGTTCTAGTGACTTTTGTTGTAGAATAACTGGTACAGTCTGTAATCCTTGATCTGTTTTTATGGTAGCCATGGCTGTTGGCAGCTGATTAGATGGCGCAACACCACTATGTGCGGTCAGCTTTAACTGTGGCGGTTGATTTGATTGAAATACTAGCTGACGCTGAACACCTGGTAGGGTAGCCTGTTGAATTTTTGCTGGAATTAACAACTGTTGCTGTTGAATAGATTCATTCAATTTTGATTGCGTTGAGATAGTAGATGTTGATGAAGTAGTAATTACAGCTGGTAGTGGTGGTATGTCTTCTAAATCCTCGTCTTCTAATATAGATGCAGCCATTTCTGCGTATAAATTTGCGGCATTCTTTGACGGTGTTACTTGGGGATCCTCTTTGGCGTTTATTGGTTCCAAAGCTTGTCGTTTTGCGGGTTCCGTACATTCCTCGATTTTACGTTTAATAATTGTGCTGGGCGTTGGTGGTTCTCCACCCTTTTTATCGAGTATTTCTACTAGCATTTGATTGGCAATAATTACTGGACGTCCACTTGCATCCTTGGCCACGTTATTGCCACTAAGTGGTGCCAATGGTGGAGGTGTTGATTCAAGCAATGGCTTTTTTTCCAAGGGCACTTGTGGATTCAGCGGCTTAATGGTAGTCTGCCCCACTTTCACGGGTGTATTCTGCATAAGGGGATTATTCACCAAAGCACTTAAAGCCGTACTGGCAACTTTTATTGGTTGTTGTGTAAGCGCGTTCGCTGAAGCATTTGTTGAAGTACTTGCCGACGACTGGCTACTGTTGGCGGCAGTATTTATTTCCTTCTGATTTTTTTGTTGACGTTGTGTCACCTTGTTGGCCAATAAACTTTTAATTAGTGAAGAGGATGGTTGCACTGCTGTATCTGTGGCGTTTTGTAAAGACAACGATGGTGATGTCGCACAGTGTGGTGTCGCCACTACCAACAAAGCTGCGTCACAGTGAGACGAGCTGGTAGAGGTAGTTATAGACGATGCAGCAGATGTGGTAGTTTCTTCAACAATTTTTGTTTGGGCGTCAGATAGCTCTTGGATAGTTGATGCGGTCATACTAGTCGAAGTGAGTGTAGGAGTCGTGATATCCGCAGATGTAATGTCGGGTTCATGCTGCAATTTGGGTTTTTTTTTCAGTTTACGTGCAGGCGTTGTACCAGCGGCTGGTGATTCAACTGTATTCGCTTTTGGTGGTAGCTTACTTTCCAAAAGTTTTGTCTGATTTTGAGGTAGCTTGGTGGATTGTATGGGTAATGGCTGTGCACGCAATCGTATACCAACGTAGTAGAAACCTGACAACTCAGTACCATCACTTCGACGCGCCGACATGGGACCAACATTGTTCGTATATATCAAGCGTACAAGACGTGGAAATTGTAAATGATTAACAACCGAGTGTTTACCGAACTTCTGGCAGTGTGCTAAGTACATGCGATAGAGTTCTTGTTGTTCCACGTGACTATCTGTTGTTGTTACTCGCTCAAAAGTAGCGCCTAGCCAAGCCAAAGCATATTGTTCGTCCTCGTGTGTAAAATTTTGTGTCGGACCAGTAGGTAATTGCGCTCCATTCGTTACGTTCTGCTGTACTGTCGTTGCTTCTGGTTGCTGTACAGTCGTTGCTGTTTGCATCGTAGTTGTCTGATCCACCAACATGGGTTGTTGATTTTGGGAGAAATCAGTTACAACTTGTGGCACTCTTACAGTAGTCAATTGCGGATGTGAAGGTGTAATTTGTGTTGACATCACTTGCATAGGTACGGGTGCTTGCGGTGCTGGCAATTGAGATGTTGGCACAAGCACATTTGGAGGGGGTTTCTGTAAAACTGCGACATTTTGTAGATTTGCGATGTTTTGTGCAACCATTGGCAGCATATTACCAGGCACTGTTTCTACAACTCGCATCAAAATACAGCCATCTGGCCCGTATGATTGTGCTTCGACAGTGACTAGAGACACTAACTGGTCTACAATACCTCGTACCTGCATTATAAGATGGCATGACCGTGTCCCCAATGAAGTTAGCGCGTAAATCGTTTCAAGTGTAAATATAAGCAGCATGATATCATTTAGACAGAGAAATTGGCATATGCTTTCATAAAACTTAAGATTTAAAAACTTGTTAATATGCTCCTCATTGCCATCGGTTTGACAGAGCTTGTAAAGTGTCTCCAAACTGTTTATGATTACACCGCGATCCATACTTTCAATACCATCACAGAGTGTTGCCAATAAACTGCGCGAGACGTCATCGGTTGATGGATCTAACAGTTCTATTTCAGTAGCAATATTACCGGCTATATCCAATATCTGATTATGTAGATTACCCCAGCGTATATTGGCACCCATCACTATGAAACGCATAAATGATCGATTTTTTGCAAATACATTGATGTTTTCCTCAAAAAAGCTAAGATTTCGAAATATAGCCACAATTTGCTGTACCCGTTGACCGACATACTCCTGTGTGCCTTCACCGGGTCCCAAATTTAAGAAATCCCAGTCCATATCATCGTCAAACTTTTTGATTACTTTTTCAGTATCATCTTCATTTATTAGTCCGGCATCACGCATAGCTTGTTCATCTGAATATAAATCTAATATCTGTGGTTTGTCACGTAATAAGTCGCGCCAAAAATTAAAAAGTGAATGTTCGCGTACTTGTGTGTAAACATGTTGAAACAATTTGCGCAAAGTGTAATCTGGAAATACTCCCGTATGAGCCAGCAGCACATCCAAAAGTTTTGGATATTCATTCAGCTTTAGTGTGTGCTTATTTTCATTTGACATTAATGAGCAAACATTTATTGCAAAATCTTGCTCATTAGGAAGCGGTGAAATTAGAGAAAGCATAAGCTTATCATAAGGTGACGGTTTGTGAAGATCGGTAGAGAATTTATAGGTACGACGTCTATCCATATTAACAATATGTTGTCTGTAATTGTAGGCCATTGGGACTGCATTGACGTTGGTATTAACGCTATTGCTTGAATAAATTGACGCAGGATAACGACTTCGTGAACGACCACCACCTTCCATCGCATCTGCAGATTCTAGTGCTTCTATTTTATCTGGATCTTCGCCGAAAAAATTCTGTCTCTCATATTTTTCCAGACAGCGTCTGTATATATACTTTACTGCGGCAGTAGCATTTACACATTTATCACGAATGTCTAATACTGGCAAGACTTCGTCCCATTCATCTCTTTGATTCACCTTGTTGAAACCACCGCGTTCTGTTACTTCGCTGTAAAGTCGATGGAGATCTATCTCTCGCCCGCTAATTTTCGGCGTGTACATAATTGGTGTACTAAACATTAAAAAAATAGCGATGCGTTAGTGTTTTTGTAAGAAATAGAATTGTTACTGCTGAGTTTGCAAAAATTTACTTACGCACGCCTCTCATGAAATTGTTGCAGGTCACGATAAAATTCGTCTGGAGGTTTTGGTAAAGTTTTTCCCTTGGGAAGTATGTTATTAGGTGTATTAGTTGAATTTACTGACGCAGCTGTATCAATATTTGTTACTGGTGTACCCATTATATGAAAACTTTTTATGCGTAAAGGTGTTCCATTATTAGCGGAAGATGCACTTGGGATTGAATATGCAATTGTTGCCGGTGTGTTGTTGGCGTCATTTCCTACAGGCACTGAGCCTTTCAAAGGTTCTTGTAGAGACATAGTTACTATTATATTGCAGAAATAATAGTAAAAATGTAATACACAAATTGTTTTATAAAAAATATTTTTTAAAAATATATCAATAAAATTACAAACGCGGAAAAATTAAACAAGATATATTTTCTCAATTAATAGCGTTGCCAACTACTCACTACCAACTGTTTGAGCAAGCCACAGGGATGAATTTATTCACAAGTAATCAAATTTAACCCATAAACTACATTCCCTTACACGACGTTCATACACATCTTACTGTACAATTAATTACCTTTCTATAAAATCGCTGAAATACTCTATGTAATAAAAATTAAAGTTTCATGTATGTGTTTTAAAAATTAACCGAATTAAATTACATGTTAATAGCTCCAGAAACTTAATATATATTAATCATAGACTTGGCAACTCTTTGCTGGTAACATATTACAAAAGGGAGAATTGAGTTTTCAGTTTTACTTTTAGAATTTACCAAATCTATCGTTTGCCAATGAAGTTTACAATTGAAAAACTATAAAAATATTTGGCCAAAAGATAAAAAAAGTCGCAAAATAGCCTTTGGTATCGGTACATATCCTGGCGATGGAAGAAAAGGTTGAGATCTCCCCTGGGCAGTCGGTATGTCAACAGCAAATTGTAGTTGTATTTCTTAATAAATTATTGTTTACTTTTCCTTTTCCTACGCAAAATAGAAAAATCCCATTGATGCCCTGAGTAAAGAAGAATTGATTCATAAATATAAGGGACTGTTAGGAATCGCAAAAAAGGCAAAACAAGCCAAAGATGGTTTGTACACTCCGAACAAATATTGTCATAAGCTGATTATTATAGTTTTTTATATGATGTGGCTCTCGTCGCACTACGTCATCATTTTTAATTCACAGAGTTTGCGGAAGAAAATCGTAAATTGAAAGAGGCGCTGATGGAAAGTGAAACTCAGAAAGAAGCAGACAAGAAGGCGATTCTGATCATGAAAGAGACTCTCGAGCAATTTACGGAACAAAAACTCAAGCTAACAAGCGAGCTCTGTGATCTTCAAAAGAAAAGTACAGCAGACGAAGAGGTCGTAAACAAATTACGCATCGAAAACGAGTCACTGCAGCGACAGTTAAATAGACTTAATGATGACAATGAAACGCTTTTGAAAGATATTGACCGCATGGAAGATCAACTAAAGCAAGTAGGTTGGAGTAAATTACTCAAATCTTATACCAAATTTAATGCATTTGTAACAGGTTAATATTTTGGGGCTGGAACAAAAAAAACATTTGGGATTGCTTGAACTTGAGGTAAATAAGTTGAAGGAAGGAGAAAGTATTAACACCGCTCTGCAGAGTACAGTATCCGTTACCCAAGAAGAAAATAAAGCACTCAAAGAGCACGAAAATAGTGTTACACTGGCGTTAGAAGAACTCTCTCGAAAATATAGGCGAGCCAAAGAAATCAACGCGGAACAGCGACTTAAGTTTAATGCTTTGAAGGATCGTTTTGTAGAAATTCATCGTAAGTTGAAAAATCTAAAGGAATGTAAACGCGTACTGCTGGAAACACAACACGAATACGCAGAGGCTGTATCAAAATGGCAAATCGAGATAGTGGAGGCTTCTAAACTTATATTCGCTCAAATTAATGTACTGCAAAAAGAGAATGAAGATCTCCGACAACAATTAAAATCAAATAATGGATTGAATTATGAGTCTACATATAAGCTATCAACGGTGGATAATTTTAAAGTCGAATCATTCCAAACAAAGTTGCATGAATTAGAAAAGCTATGCGAACGTGTGCGTCAGGATTCACTGGCAAAAGACAAGCTTTTGTCAAAGGCACATTTGAAAGAGCAGGAATTACAAAATATTATTGTTTCACTAAATGACAAAATCAAAGAACAAGATAATGACAAACAAAAAGAGGAGCATAATACAGAAGTAAAATGCTTGAACCCAGAGATGTCTGACTTAAAAACCCAGTTGAACGAAAGTGAACCTCGTTTGCAGGCTGGCGAAGTTAATACCTTGTGTTCAAACCATAATGAATTGTTAGTGCGCTTGGATCCCTTAGAGACAGAGCGAAATTCTTTAATTGCGGAATGCAAAAGAATAGAGGAACTGCAATTGGACAAGCAGCGTTTGCAAATCGAAGTTGATAATTTTAATAAAAAACTATGTGAAACTAATCAAGTACATAAGGACTTACAGCAAAGTCGGGGTGAAGTGAAGCAGCTTGAAGAAGAAAAATTTACGCTACTAGAACAATTACAACAACAAGAATGTGAAAAGCATAAGTCAGAAGAGTCAACAAAATTCACCGAAGAAAATTATATGGAACTACAAAAACGATATTCACAAATGGAGCGTGAACACGCTGATTTACTCTGCGAAATGCGCGAATTAAATGAAGCATTGAAAGCACGAGGTGATGTCATTTCACGTCAACAAGAAAAGCAGCAGGAGCTTACCAATGAACTGAAAAAAACCAACACAAAGTTGAAGCAAATTGATGAGAAACTTTTGCAAAAGGATATAGCTATAGCAGAAAAGGAGGAGCAAGTACGTGAAATAACACGAGAAATCGATTTGACTCGCCAACAGACACATGAACTCGAAATTGCTAGTAGTCGGAGCGAGGAGCAGCTGCGAGCCCTCAATGAGGAGTTGCAATCACTACGCAACAACGCTGAAGCGCAAAGTGAAGTACTCTCGACATCTACAATTTCACGAGCTGAAGAGCTATCGCGAATGCGCGAAATCGACGATACTTTCGAGGAGAAGTACAATAAAATGCGTGGCCTTGCAGTTAAACTGAAGAAAAGATTGCAAGAACAAACTGGACAATTGGCAGAAATGGAGCAACAGCAGTCCGGCTATGTTGCGAAGAAAGCGGAGTTAGAGGAGTTGTACAAGCAACTAAAAGTCATGCAACGAGAGCATGAAGACCAACAACAAACTATAGAGTCACTAAAAACGGAGAATCAAAAGTTAAAGTCATCGCGTAAACAAGCAAATGTGCTTAATTTAGAAATTGAAGCAGCGGAGAAATCGCTTATGGAAGCAACGACAAAGCTTGCAGCTAAAACTGGTGAACTAGAAACACTCAATGCGCTCCTATCCAACAAAGAACATACCATCACTCAATTGCGCAAAGAAATAGAAATAGTTGAGTCGGCAAAAATTGCGGAAGCCTCACATGCGAAAGAACTAAAGGAACAAGTTGACCTATTACAGGAGCAACTAAAGGATGCGGTACATGCCAAGCAGGTAACGAGTGAGGCCAGAAAGCTGCTGGAGCTATCACAAGAAAGTCTTAAACAAGAACTCGAACAGATCAAGCTAGAAATATCACAATGCTCTGCTGAGAGCTCCGCTGCCTTGCTATCGACACAAAATGAAAAAGAGAAGTTGGAGCAGCGTTTACACCAATCCGAAACGAAATTGAGAGAAACGCAAACTAAATTACAAAATGTCGAATGCTGCTTAAATAGTTTGCGTACCGAACATGCTGAATACAAACAAAAGGCACAAGCCGTCTTGCGAAAACAACAGAATACCGACACCACACGTGAGCGTGAACTAGCCGAGGAACTGACGCATGCGCGATCCATCGAAGAGCAACAGCGACAAACGATCACGACGCAAACCAAAAAACTAGTCGAACTTGAGCAACAAATAGCAGACTTGTATTTAGACAACGAGAATCTGCAGAGCCGTACCCGAGCGCTAAGTGCTTTAGAGGACGAGTTGCGCCAACAAAATGAACACTTATTGCAAGAACAACGTTTGCAATTGCAAAAACATCAGGACACTCTGCGCACACACCGACTGCAATTGGAAACAGCACATGAGTGTCACGCACAGCAAATGCAAGAAATTCAAACAAAGTATCAACAGCAAATCGATGAGCTTCGTGCAGTGCAGAGTCAAGCGGTGCGTGTACCGCCAACTATAGGGGCAACTGAAGTACCAAACATAAATGCGTCCCTAATCCATGCACCCACATACACTGAATCGAGTTCAAATCAGTTGCTAATGCTTGCTGAACGTGAGGATGCAGAGGGCTCAGAAGAGGCCAATATAGCAACCACCAGCAGTAAAGCTCAAGCATTACGAAAGATTTCCAGTAGTTCACGTCGCTCCCAACACGACTTTATGCCGCTAGATGAATTGCTTAACACACCAATGCATGCCTTTCAAACAGACGTCGTTACCACTATTGACAGCAATAGCGTTGGTTGGAACGAAAGCGCCACAAACGAATTAAATAACGGCAATAACAATGCTGAGAGCTTACATGTGGAACTACATGTAACTCGAGAGTTGCTGACAAAGCAAGAGAGTCGTGTGCGTCATCTTACAGCGCTTTTGGCTGAAAATGAACAGGATTTGGCAAAATTGACACAGATGAATGATATGCTAAAGGAAGAGCTGCGACGACAAGAACGAGCCGTTGAACGTGAGCAGCATATGCACAATGCGGAGTATTTAAAGAACGTCGTGCTGAAGGTATGTGAGAATTTATAGGTTTGCTTACAGCAGTGAGCTGGCTAAATTCACATGATGTTACAATCTCTCTTGTAGTTCCTTACACTAACAAATGGTGACGAGCGTGTACGTCTAGTTCCGGTCCTTCATACCATATTAAAACTGAGTCGTGAAGAAAAAGATGTCTTAAACTGCGCGGCCAAAGGACAAAAATGTGAGTAAATTATCTGCATATGCAAACATTTCAAATTACTTACATAAATATGTTTATGCATCATTTTCAGTGCCCACTGAAACACAAGGACGTGGTTGGGGAAGCTTTTTACCACTTTTCGGAGGCGGTGGAAATAATAATTGAAATCGAAAAAGAATTGTATAGTATATTTTAAAGTATTTGAGCTCGGGTATCGAAACTACAGTAAATACCCAAAACCCCACAAAACATTGTCGACGAAAACACGCAATTCATAATTAGTAGACCATTCATGTTTTTGTAATTATTCAAGCCAATTTTATTTGCTTTCAAAGTATTTTTGTTTTCATTTATTTTACTTTGTGTCTGTGTCTATAAATGCAATTTTTTATATTTTAAGTATGTATGTATATGTGTATATGCGAAATTATTATGCAATGCTAAAGAAAATTATTTATCCTAGGCAATTATCGTTAAATGTACATACTTTAGGCAACAAAAATTTTATATTTTACATGCATGCATATATAAAAGCGGAGAACCTTACAAATTATATAACGTATTATTTTTCAAAAATATTACTAAAAATCAAAAGAGCCAGCCAAACATTATTCCAATATATTGAAAATTAAATAAATGTACCAAATGTAAATAAACTGTTAAATCATTAAATGTTATTAAAACTTTCGTATAAAGTAGTGAATATGTGTAAATAGTAATGGACATAATATAAACATGTTATTGCGTCAATAAAAACGCTTAAAATTGATATTGTGAATGAGCTCCATTTATTCGCGCATTTCAGATTTACAATGATAATATGAAAAAATAAAAATAAATATCGTTAATATAAATTGAATATGGTTTTATTTATTATTTTTCATAAGCAAGTGTTTACTAATCCGAGCTTGTTTAAGAAAACTTAATGCTAAAGGATAGGATTTCGGTTTATTGATTACTGAAAATAAAACACTCGATTGCAATAAAAAAAAAACAATATTGGCCTACTAGTTGCAAAACGCATCTTAAAAATATTTTCTAAAATAAATGTGGAAATACTTCCAAAAATCACACACAGATACGAGTATCTGAACATTTCAGCTAAGCTACAGCTAACTATATTATTTGCTTTACGGAATTACTGCCAAACACCTGCATAATTGCCGACAAGTGTAGCAGGCAGTGGACCACCAGCAGCAAATAGGCGCATACCTGTGCTATCGTAGCAATGTGTATAAATAGCTGGCACATATTTCACTTGTTGGAAGCCATCCATTTCATCTTCAGGATACTAAACAATATAAATTTTACATATATGTATATATAAATGAAGTACATGACTTGACTTGATTATCAAAAAATGTACTCACCACAATACCTTTACTACATTTGAGCGCCACTGTTCGTGAAGCATTGACGCTGCTTTCCAAATATTTACCAGCACGTATATCATAGAATAACAGCATACCTAAACCGGTACCAACTGTGAGGAGATTGCCTTCGAATGTGGTAGCACGTATGCCACAACCATTGTAACGTGAGGTGATCTTCTTGATTGTCTAATACAGAGAATAAAAGTATTTATTTAAAGACAGAAAAATACATATAAAACTGTGTTGCTAAAATTCACCTGCAGTGTTCGTGCGTCGAGCAGTATGGTGTATGAGCGGCAGCCGACAGCATAGAGCCCATCACTATGATAAGCTATGCTCACATTATCTTGACAATTCGGCAGTTTACGTGATAACTTTTGTTTGAATGTTTCAGCATTGAAAATGTGTATATAACCGTTGAGAGAAAGAGCTGCAATTTCTTTGAATTCTTTGTTGAAACACAGTGAACGAATCTGGAAAATACTACAATTTATTTATGTGTTCGGATGGACGTATTTTTAATTGCATTTGCTTATACCCGTTGTGCTGTGCGTACGTCTTTTACACATAATGGATTAATAGTGGCGAAGGTGGGGCATGCTTCCTTACCGCCATCTGGAAAATCCATGAGATCTTCGTTTATACGCCATAACGACAGACGTGAATCTTTCGAGCCAGACACTAAAAACTGATCATCTAACCAACACATGCCCATAATTAAATCCCGATGTCCATTTTCACCCACACAAACTGGATCTAGTGTCGGCAAGCGATAAACTGCGATATCCGCCGAGTTGCGTGCGCCTGTGGCCAGGAATGAGCGACTTGGATTGATTTCGATTGCATGTAAACCACCTTGGACCTCGGGGTGATTAGCCCGATTATTCGACAACGTTGGAATCGCGTCCACACGGCGCATATTTACATCATAGACAAGTAACTACAAATTCATACAAATTAAACTCAAATATGACATTTCTTTGTAGTTACTCACCTTATTGCACTTGGTACCAAAAACCACCTGACGATTGCTTAACCATTTGGAGCAAAATACCTTATTGATATAACCTAAATGTATCTGCGTTTCTCGCAGCATATCATGCGTCAGCACATAGCGGCTAGTATTCTCAAAGTTGAAACTGCGTTGCTAAATATATAAAATATTATTAATGCCTTTCTCAGATAAACTCCATGCTGTTCAGTTCAAACCTCTTTTAAGCCTGTCTCCCTGCTACGTAAATAATCGCAAAGATTGAATGAGGTATTCAACACCTCTTCTTGTTGCTGTGGTGTCTCTTCATCACTACCAGAATCGTCGTAAGTAACGAAATCGTCAGGTTTGTCGGGTTTTCGGCGTCGTTCTTGGCGTAAGGCTCGCGCCTTAGCCCGTCGCTCCTCTAGACGTGCTGGTACATGACAAGAAGGATGGGTACCTACTACACTATGTCGCACAGTCTTAACCATGGAACTAAATACCATAGTGTTTTTGTTACGTATCTCAAACATTTTTGCTGTCGTTACTATACCACACTGTGCGACTTTTGAACCCTCCTGGTAATAGCAGACAGGGATAGGGCCTTAGCGCTATCTATATATGCTTTTTTTAACACTCAAACAATGGAAACACATTAAATTTTTCAAATTAAAAAAATTATATATTGTTTACCACGGTCGCCGTAAAAATCCCTATATGATACTTTTTCTCTGCGACAATGAAAACGAATGTCATTATGTAGTAAAAAAGATAAAGGGTGTAGTAAAAAAGATAACTGAAAAAGTTCAGCATAATGCAACGTTTTCATAAACATTTAAACGACGGGATATGATTTTTATTCTTGCTCTACAAACATATTTTTATAAATTACTTTATATCACATTATTAATAATTTTACAAAATGTTGAATTTGACTCCGTTTTTTTTTTGATTTTTAAATACTTTCCTTCAATTTATTTCGTAACTCTGTAAATGCTCAGTTTATGTTTATGACATGGAGATTTAAAATGCAGTCTGGTAACTTTCAGAATTACCATTGACAGAATTATATTTTTTTTATGTTGATATTAGTTTTCTGCACTTTTACAAATTTTTTACATTCCGTCGAAAAATATTAAATTGTAGTTGAGGAGGGAAGGAATTTTAAAACAATTTTGCTGCATTTGGGCAATGAACGCATACGGTTTGTAAACTTAAAAATTCAAAGTGTAATTTTGTGGATAATTTGACAAATTAGTAGTTGTTTCATATAAAAGGCGAGTGTTACATTGTATCCCGCCGCCAAAAATTATGTGCTTTTCATTTACATTTCCTGTATTTTCTTATATCTTTTACTGTAAGAGTTAATGTTTGAATTGATTTTATTGATATTACCCAATTTTCATAACTCTTTAGAGTGAATGTAAATATAATAATATTACATTGGTTTGCGCGTTGTAAGTAATGACCCGTTGCTTGTAGCTCTAAAGCAATATCGTCTAAAACTATTGAATTTAAATTTTTATTGTATATATCTCTATATGTTTAATGTGTTCCACATAATACATTATTAGCAAATGTGCGTGCAGTTAGTCGTATAGAGATATACACTTTTAGAAAAGACAGCTCAAAACCTTAATATAAATAGATTTGTGTTCGAGAACATTACACCCGACCAACCAACATAACTATCGCATTTTCATCGCCACGTTCACACACCTACGCCCAACAGTACCACAACAATTATTACTTGTCACCATTCTCCAACACCACCACCACCCAAATATAACAACTGCTACTACAACTTCCACCAACGCCACAACCAAATACAACTTTCCGGTCAAGGTTACTGTATGTTGCGTCTTAATTAAGGCGCTACTACAGTTGACATTTAGAAACAACACCATTAAGAAAAGAAAGAGCCCTTCCATGCACCATGGCCAAGATGTAGGAAAGGTAAGAGGAAATTAATTAATTACATATAAGAATTATAATCTTAACAATAACGTATTTTGAGACTCGCATTGATTTGAAAATTAGTAAAACTAAAATGTGACATAACTTTTGATTAACTTTTTAACCCTCATATCTAATATATGCATTTGTTTATTTGAAACTTTCCGTAAATGATTGTAAAATATTATTTTTCATTATCCCTTTAGCGGCTATTGAATCAGACGATCAACAAAATTACGATGGCAAGTTGAACTTGAATTCGTACAGTGCCTGAGCATCCCAATTATTTAAACTGTAAGTAAATTCATTTCTTATGAATATATTGAAAATCGAAAATTTCTATGTAGTTTTAGCTCAACGCGGTTACTTTAGGATCAAGCATTTATCAATTATCTTAAATACCTGCAGTATTGAAAGAACCGAGTATGCCAAATATCTATATTCCGATGTTTGTATTTCTTGATTACTATTAATGAACACTTTCGGCGTGAGATGTCATCTGCAATGTTGCAATTCATCGATGATCAAGCTATATTGCAGTGGCAACATTATACTCGTAAGCTGATTAAAATTAATAGTGTCAATGGTATGGGCAAATGAATGCTGCTGATCTGGCAGCAATGGATGCACAGCAGCAGCAGCAACAAAATGCAGCAAAATCAACAGAATCAACAACAGCAACAAGCGGGACAAAAACCGGAGCTGCTCACGCGCATGTAGGCTTGCAAAATGCTTGTGAATAATGTGCAACAACAACAGCAAAGCCACCCAGCAAGCACAACAACAGCAAAGTGTTGGCAATGCAGTAATGGCAGCTAAATGGGAACAATACTGCCATATAGTAATAACTGAAAGCGCTTAGATTTGTATAGTTTCTCCCATTAGTTAGTAATTTATTTAGTCATTGTAAACTGTAATTAATATAGAAACATTATCAAAAACATTTCGTGCGCTTGTTTTATTGTATCTCATACTTTTATACCTAATAACTTGGGAACGAAAAGAACAAAATAATTTATATTCGATATTTGCTATTGGTTCAGATCCGACATTTTATTTTATTTAGTTATTATCATGAGTAACTCGTTTTTCTATGGGGTGTATTTGCTCTGCAGTCAAAGTGTTGAAAACGCTACAATGGACGCTGCTATATTGGCACCAACCCAAACGCCGTATAAATCAGCATAATCGGGTAAAGATTTTGGTGGCGCAAACGCTCCAGTAACAAGGACCTGGCAAATGGTTATGATAGTACATGGGTTTCCAAATAATATTTCAGCATTAGGTGAATATTAATGCAAAGATTGTGTTAGTCAATATATAATATAATTAAAAATATATATCGATTCTACATTCATTGACAGTTTGAGTGGGCTGGCAACAACCGGCCCTTTCTACACGCTAAACAATATTGAGTTGCGACGTAAATATCCAAAAGAAAGCCATTTCCAATAATTTTCGAATATTAGCCGTATGTTAAATGTGGGCCATGGAATAGATTACCACTCACTATACGTTGTTAGAAAGCGAATACGAATGTGATTTATATGTATGTACCAATAAAATATTTCAATTATCAAGCACAGTTAGTATACAAAACATATTTCTTTCTTCTTACTAGCTAAACCACGCTTCATAGGAAATGTAAGCGGCCACGTTCAGTTACCAAATTCTCAAGTCTCTCGACATAAAAATGGCGAGAACCACCAAAGGCTATTTGGGCAACCGAGTGCACTTATGTATGCAACGCATTGAGACCCTGAGCGTTCGCGTATTGGATGCACTAACTCACTATGTAACCCACTTGTCACATTATTTGCTTAGCCAATTATATATTATCTTCCGATGAAAACAATCGTGGGCATTACATACCAATTGCTGGTGAATGTCCGTTGTGAGAGAAATTTACTTGGGTCGCTTTACTACAGCGTAAGCGTAAGATTCAACAAAGTGGTGTGGAACATATTGAAGAGGAAGATGAGGACGATAATATGAAGATGATAGTGATATTAATGTAACTAAATCTGATAGTGAGAATGAAAGTGCTGAACCTAACAATGAATTCGATAAATCTGATTTATGCAAGTTGCCGTTCTTAGGGAGCAAATATACAAAATGTAAGCGGCGATCAAGATGAATGAATTGAGTGACTGATAGCTATGAAGAGAAAATTGAATAGATTTTAATTAAATGGAAATAAAACAATGCTAATTCGCGAACCCGATAAAATTGTTACACATTTGAAGAATATTCTTTACAATCTTATGAGAAGAGATTAAAATACGCAATGAGCAATTGAGCGTCGAAAAGTTGATCAGTATACATAATGAAGTTAACATTTAAAATAAAAATTAAATCTTTATAATTTTGTCCAAGTAAATTCAACTTCTATTTTCTACTTTGGGAACCTTAAGAAAATGCTTTTTTGTGTTATTGTAAAATTAAAATATTAACAAGTGGGAAACACTCCAGCTAGAGGTAAAATTATGTATACGTAAGTTGAAAACCATTTTTATTTACCTCATCAACCTTGTACTTGGTCAGTGACCTCTTGCATTTTAAGGTCAATCTTTTTTATTATGGTCAATGACCTTATTGTTTACATTTTCCAAGGTCAATGACCCTTTGTTTACTTTATGATCAATGAACTTTTGTTATTTAGCCAAGTCAACAACCTTTTCGATTTAGCGAAGTTCACAACCATTTTTATTTAGCCAAGTCAACAACCTTGTTTATATTTAGGTCAGTGACCCTTTGTTTACATTTTAAGGCCAATGACCTTTGTTTACATTATGAGGTCAATGACCTTATTGTTTACATTTTCCAAGGTCAATGACCCTTTGTTTACATTTTTATGGTCAATGAACTTTTTTTTTAGAAGTCACAACTTACATTTAGCCAAGTCCACAACCTGTTTTCGATTTAGCGAAGTTACAACCATTTTTATTTAGCCAAGTCAACAACCTTGTTTACATTTAGGTCAGTGACCCTTTTGTTTACATTTTAAGGGATCAATGACCCTTTGTTTACATTTTTCCAAGGTCAATGACCTTGTTTACATTTATGAGGTCAATGAATCTTGTTTACATTTAGCCAAGTCAACAACCTATTCCGATTTAGCGAAGTCCACAACCTTTTTATTTAGCCAGTCAACAACCTTTGTTTACATTTAGGTCAGTGCCCTTTGTTTACATTTAGGGTCAATGACCCTTTGTTTAAATGAGTCAGACCTATTACATTTTCCAAGGTCAATGACTTTGTTTACATTTTATGGGTCAATGAACCTTTGTTTACATTTAGCCAAGTCCACAACCTATTTTGATTTAGCGAAGTCCACAACCATTTTTATTTAGCCAAGTCAACAACTTTGTTTCATTTAGGTCAGTCTTGTTTACATTTATATCAATGACCCTTTGTTTCATTATGAGTCAATGACTTATTTTTACATTTTCAAGGTCAAACCTTATTGTTTACATTTTCCAAGGTCAATGATCTTTGTTTAATTTAGGGGCAATGAACCTTTGTTTACATTTAGCCAAGTCCACAACCTATTTTCGATTTAGCAAGTCCACAAATCTTTTTATTTAGCCAAGTCAACAACCTTTGTTACATTTAGGTCAGTGGTCTTGTTTACATTTTATTCAATGACCCTTTGTTTATATTATGAGGTCAATGACCTTATTGTTTACATTTTCCAAGGTCAATACCCTTTGTTTACATTTTATGTGGTCATGAACTTTTGTTTAATTTAGCCAAGTCCACAACCTATTTTGATTTAGCGAAGTCCACAACCATTTTTATTTAGCCAAGTCAACAACCTTGTTTACATTTAGGTCGGTGGTCTGTTTACATTTTAAATCAATGACCTTTGTTTAATTATGAGGTCAATGACCTTATTGTTTACATTTTTCCAATCAATGACCCCTTTTACATTTTAGCAATGAATCTTTTGTTTACATTTAGCCAAGTCCACAACCTATTTTCGATTTAGCGAAGTCCACAACCATTTTTATTTAGCAAGTCAACAACTTTGTTTACATTTAGGTCAGTGCTTTTGTTTAATTTTATGGGGTCAATGACCTTTGTTTACATTATGAGGTCAATGACCTTATTGTTTAATTTTTCCAAGTAATGACCCTTTGTTTACATTTTAGGGCAATGAACCTTTGTTTACATTTAGCCAAGTCCACAACACATTTTTAATTTAGCCAAGTAACAACCTTGTTTACATTTAGGTCGTGACTTTGTTTACATTTTATGGGGTAATAATGACCCTTGTTTATTATTAGAGGTCAATGACCTTATTGTTTATATTTTCTAAGGTCAATGACTCCTTTTTTACATTTATGAGGTCAATGAACTTTTGTTGACATTTAGCCAAGTCCACAACTTATCTACATTTAGCCAAGTCCACAACCTATTTTCGATTTAGCGAAGTCCACAACCATTTTTATTTAGCCAAGTCAACAACCTTGTTTACATTTAGGTCAGTCCTTTGTTTACATTTTAATGGGTCAATGACCCTTTGTTTACATTATGAGGTCAATGACCTTATTGTTTACATTTTCCAAGGTCAATGATCCTTTGTTTACATTTTGAGGTCAATGAACTTTTGTTTACATTTAGCCGTCCACAACCTATTTTCGATTTAGCGAAGTCCACAACCATCTTTTTATTTAGCCAAGTCAACAACCTTTGTTTACATTTAGGATCAGTGACCCTTTGTTTACATTTAAAGGTAATGACCGCTTTGTTTACATTATGAGGTCAATAACCTTATTGTTTATATTTTGCCAAGGTCAATGACCTTTGTTTACATATTGAGGTCATGGATATTGAGATATTAAGACAAAACAAACTGGAAAAATTAGAAAACTTATTTCTTTAAATAAATATTTTACCTATTGCGGGTTCTTAAATTTGTTTATTTATTGTTTCATCAAAAATTATTATTATTGCTTTTATAGTAAAATTTTGATTCAAATGGGAGTTTTTCAGCCAAATTCACAATTCTTCTCTAAATCAGTTCCAAGTTTTACATTGTTTATACTTTTTAATACTTTAAATGGTATGTTTTCAAGAAATCGCTTAATATTGGATCTATAATTTAATCTTAAGGTCGCGATATAATATTCTTATTATTGACATTAATATGTTGAATGTCCAGCCATATTGGCGGCTTCCTGTTCAAATTTAGTATTTACCGCGCTTAAGGCGGCCTTGTATTTTCGTGCAAAGCCCTTATCTTCTAATCCCCAAACACGACCATTTGTCGCCAACATAACACCCATTGCCTCCCATTCGTCCATGTATCTTATATGTGTTGGAGAAATCTTGTCTTGCTTGCTGTAAGCTATAGTAGACACTTGATTGTTTGTGTTTTCACGACTGACAGTCCCGTTAATAGGCTCATTATTTGTATATTCAGTTGATTGCTGAAATTCTACGCTATTTTGTTGTTGCGACGACTGAGATTCCGATATAGTTGGCGTTTCATGTTGACTTGAATGTTTTGACCCCGACTGATCTGGTTTGCACAAGCATATATGCTCATGCGCACCATTCAGTGGCCTGCACTTATCACAGTCAATAGCTTCGTCTCTCTGTAATATGCACGCAGGTAATGGTATTGGACATTCATGTGTTCTGCGTTCTATGCCACAACTGGGTATTCGCTCTTTAAAGGTATGTTTGCACCGTTTAGAACACATTTTCGATGGAAAAGCAATTTTGCGTTATACACCTTTTATAGTCACAACCGCAATAATGCAGAGAATAGAAATATATTAATTATTTAAAAATTACTGAAGAGTTGAATATAATCCGTTAGCTTACATTTGGTTTACAGAAAGAGCATTGCACCAGCGTTAGTGTGGATTAGTCGTCAACAGCAAAAGTGTGCGAGAAATTTCGTTGCTGAATGTTAATATGTTTTGTTCCAGATTTTAAATATATATATTTTTTTTCATTTTCTTTTTACAAATGTTGTCAAAAGTGAGAATTACAAATTTAAACATCTCAACACTTTTGAGATTTGAAAGCGATATATACATAAAAGTAAAAATAAGAACACAAAATATACATACTGTTATATAGGTACATAAAGTTTGCCCTATAACCAGATATCAAAATCAGTATTTATTTTTCACTGAAGAAAAGTCCACATCTCCATACCATATATGTATGTATGTATTTTGAAGAATTAAATAAATTAACTCAAAAATAATTTTACGAGTATATAATTGAATGTGTAATAAAAAAATATTTAACATTACAAGATTAATATAAAAGGTTTTAAGGGGGAGTAGGGTTAATTTTTTTTTAATATTATAATATTTTTTGTCTTAAATGAATGCATAATATCCAAAGAAGATTGTGTCGATTGGAGCGAAATTGACGAAGTTACGAGTATTTTTTTTACCTTTTTATTAACGTTTTATATCAGATTTTAAAGCTTTAAAGCGTGTTCCCACAACTCAAGTTATCAAAGTTGGTGGCCCTTATAACTGCAAAACTACTGCACTGATCGTTTTGAAATTTTAAACACTATTTCTATACATACTTTACGAGGTAATGCTGGAGTGTTTTTAATTAGATAATATTTTTCATTCCACAGTGTTACATAGGTAAATCGATTATCTATCAATATAATTTTAATTTTTATATTTAAAATGATTCAGCAACGAGTTATGAGGGGTACGGCAATTCAAATTTTTTTCCGAGACGCTCCAGAGAAATTGCTGTCACTGCCGCATTACTTAATATTTTTCCATGAAAATTTAACAGAAAGTATTGTAGTTGTAGTTTTTCAAAATAGGTCTTCGATGTTTCGTAAAAAAAATCATAAGAATTGGCCTTGTTTGACACGAATTAAGCGTACTTCCTTAAAGTAAATTATTTGCAAAAATGTATTATAGCACATTTCAACAAGCTATATTTATAGTAAATTTTGAATTGCCTGCTGGGGTTATCGCTTAGTTTGCAACGGTTGTTCTAACTAGTAATAAATTCCAAAACATGTTTCTCAGAATGGCTTATCGCTTATTATTTATTTCTAAAATATCAAAAGACAAATATTTAGCTAAGCTTATTCATTAAAAGGAACTTGAAGTGAGCGGTTGTTACAAGTGATTAGTTTGCAACATCACTTTATTATTAAAGCAATATTTAACTGCTCTATAAGTATAACAGTAGAAAATTACAAATTTTAATTGAAATGCTGAATTTTAATTTGATCGCTGCTGTTTGTGAGAATTCAGGTATAGGTTTACACGGAGATTTACCATGGAGTTTAAAGTGTGTATGTGTATTTATTTCTTTTATTTTGAATATTTGAAGGCAATTACTAACAAGTTTCATGTACTTTTTTTATACATTCAAGGTCGGAATATGAATATTTTACACATACAACGAAACGGCGATGTGATATGACAAAGCATAATGTTGTTATAATGGGACGGCTAACTTATTTAAGTATACCCGAACACGAACGACCGCTTGCAGATCGCATTAATGTTGTTTTAAGCACAACTTTATCGCCGATAGATCTGCCAACAAATGTGCTCTTATTTCCTAATCTGGAGTCAGCAATGAAACGATTGGAACAAAGGGATTTGCGAGAACGAATCGAAAAGGTTTGGATAGTTGGCGGAAGTGGGGTTTACAGAGAAGCTATGTCTTCACCGCGCTGTCATCGTCTCTATATAACAAATATTAAACAAAAGTTTAGCTGTGATATATTTTTCCCTGAAATGCCATATATTTTTAAAGAAATAGGACCGGATCCGGAGACGCCATTAGGTGTACAGGAGGAACATGGCGTGAAATATGAATACAAAATTTACCAAAAGTAATTCTTACTGTTAATTAAAAATGTATACCATATATAAAGTTTGATAGTAAGAAAAGCTTTGTGTTTTTTATTTCTCATTTGCTTTTTATTTCCCAAAAAGGGAAAGCTTAAGGCAACAACAAGTTTAAATTTCCTTTTCCGCGGCAATTTAAAGAGTGCATAATTTAAAGTTTACATCATATTTATTAAGCAACTTTTTTTAAAACTTGACTCGTTATACTTTTAATTATAACTGGGGTAATTATATACGTACTATGTAGGCGCATTTATGAAAATCAATTGTAAGTTCCCGGTTATTCACCCTAGAAAAGATTCACCACCCACCAGTGTTGCCGTTACGTTGGGTTGTAAAGTATCCGGAACCTTTAAATAATATGAACTTGATACATCTATTTGTTAATATGATGTGCTATCACATATTAAAGGTAATATTATATATTTTTGAGATTTTTAATAACCTTAATAACGTTTTTTTTTTATTTCGAAGGTATTAGTATCTGTTAAAGTTAAAAAATTTAATATTTTGTTTACTTGTGTAAACGAATTTATTTTGCCCGGCAACACTTGTAAGTTGCTTATAAATTCGATTGTGAAGTATTTTGATTTAGTATTTTATTCCTGTTCTTCCTTATCTATCAATTCAATAAAATTACTTGTTTTGCAGAAACGGCTGTATAGGAATAACTTTTAGTTAGAAGTGTGTAATCAAAAGCAAATCGCACAATAAAATAATTATGGAATCTGCGTCGCAAACAGTTTCTTCAGAACCAAAACTAACAGAAGACCAAGCAACTGCCGATGTTGCTACAGAGTCTGTTGTAGATATGACTTTTACGAAGGAATTGCGTAAAGCCACGAAAGACGTGCATAAAATTAGTGATGTGCTTGTGAATGCAAAGTTTGCTTTAGGTAAGTCTCACGAGATGAAGTAGCCTTTGTTCTAAAATGCTTTGTTTCAGCGCTATCGGACGATGCTGTCTGGTTTGATGGTTTATTAGCGTTTTACGAAGTTTACAAATTTTTGGAGGAAAATCTTCCTGAAAACTTACTTCCTAAAGAACTTCATCGAAAATCAGCCTTTGAACAAGATTTGGCGTATTTCCTTGGCAAAAATTGGAAAGATAATTACGAACCAAGAGAGAGTGTTAAGAAATATATTCTTCATTTAGAAGAAGTCAATGCAAAAAACAAATTACTGTTGTTTGCGTATGCATATCAAATGTATATGGCTTTAATGTCCGGCGGTCAATTGCTGCAAAAGAAACGAATGATTAAGAGAAAACTTTGGTTTGGTAAGCAAGCTGAAGAGGAAGAAGTGAAATTATCTAATTTAAATACGGGACTGGATGATTTTGAGAACCGTCCAATGCCAAGCCAAGTTACCATTTGCCCAGAGGGATGTGCTGCAACTTATTTTCCGGAGAAAATTTCAGTTTTGAAGGATAAGTTACGACAAGTACTCAATGATAATTATGGAAATTTTAATGATGACCTCCGTGCCGAATTTATAGAAGAGAGCCGTAACGTCTTTATTTACAACGGCGATGTTGTTCGTTCTATAAAGGGTGTTAACCGTGCAAATCTACGAAAATTGGCAATGGTTTTAGTTTTTGTGATGGGTATATATTTTGCTTTAAAACTAGCAAAACGTTAATACCTGGACTGGTGAATATAAATATATGTATGTAGTTTAATGTTCCAAAACACAATATAACCATAAAAAATGACAGATGTAAACTGTCTGTTAAAAATTGAAATTTTAGTTATGTAACCCTACTTTATCCAGAGAATATATATTATAAACGTTCTCGACTTTATTTTGAATAACAAAGACTTGTTAAGCTTATTTCTGTGTTATTATTTTAAAGAGGATGTATGGGTATACATATGTATATGCTAGTGGTTTTTAAATGAGGTAAATATGTCTATTGTTAAAATTTCGGAAGTCATATAATATAAATATTTAGTGTATATGTAATATCTTACTGCATATGGATATAACATATCATATGTATATGAATATAATTTCATTTCACTTACATATATTCATATAACGGAAACTAAATAGGTGGATGCGTGACTACTCCGTCGTATGTTCAAGGCTTAACTTCCGCAGATATACAAATTTGTATATCAAATTTGTATGCAATATTTTTTGACTTATTTGGCAATTTCAAAGTTCACAAAAATGTTTTTAAAATATAATATATAAATATAATTTAGATCTAACTAATACATTTATTTTCATTAATATAAATTTTTATATTAGTGTGTGTAACTTTGAAAATTTCTCAAATATCTGGAAAATATCAATCGTCTGGCAACCCTTTGTGGGTTATATTGACATCAAGATAACTAATTATCTTGACCATATTTTGACAGTGCAGTATGAAACAATTTAGTTCTCGGTGAAGAATATAATAATTTTTAGTAAACATAGTTTTTATAAAAATATTATTGTGGTGAACGCATAGAGAAATATAAGCGAAGTAAGTGGCCGTAATAAAAAATGTAAACACAACGAATATATCATTTATTTCCTGAAGCTCTGTCCCATTTGGCTTAACATAAGTTTCAAATATTACTATTATTGTTATTAGAATTTAATATAAATTTTAATTTTATAATATAGGCTGCCTATACTTAGCGCATTTTTTTAAAACCAAAACTACGAACGAAGTTATACACCTTTCAACTGATTACTTCACTGAAAACTACTTGGACACAAAATTTTAAAACAACCACATATTTGGAACAAAGCATCTTCTTAATTTTGTCACAGAACTGTTTTACCTTTATATTTTACTCTATGCACTCCTGTCAATGAAAATTCCTGTAAACTGCCTATCCACAAACATTAAAAACACTAGACCAGCTTTCCCCTCAATACTGGACTGGTTTCTGGTAATTCCATATTGTCTTACCTCATATCCGATACATTGGTAACAAAAATCAAAACATACAATGTCGGATATTTTTACAAATTTCGATAGCAACGGCGCTTACGACGACTCGCAGGACTTCATTATGGCATCGCCCTCTCAAAGTAGTCCTTTGACAAGTTCTAATTCTGTTGGAATTACTTCTACCAATAATGCGGCAAGTGGTGGCAGCGGCAGTACACAAAATGCGAATTCTGGAAATTCAGGTACCAATGGAACAGCTGGTGGCAGTGGGAGTGGGGGAGGAAAAACAAGTGGAGGAACGGAAAATCAACCCGTAAGTAAATTGTTTGAAAATAAAATAAGTTTATTATATAAAACGTACAATAATAATTTTGATTGACAACAGATTTTAACAAAACCACGATTACTTGAACTAGTGCGTGAAGTTGATGTCACCGCACAGCTTGATGAAGATGTTGAAGAACTCTTGTTACAAATTGCAGATGATTTTGTGGAGGACGCTGTAAAGGCGACTTGTTCGTTTGCGAAACACAGAAAGGTTTCAAAAGTGGAAGTGCGCGATGTTCAACTACATTTAGAGCGCAAATGGAATATGTGGATACCTGGATTTGGTACAGATGAGTTGCGGCCCTATAAACGTGCAGCTATTACAGAGGCACATAAACAACGATTAGCGCTTATACGTAAAACAATTAAAAAGTATTAAAATATGTGTTGAACTTTTCAATCTTTATTTAAATACATAAAATAGTTTTTAAGTTTTTTACGAAAATACATTTCGCATTTGGTTCATACTACCTTAATAACTGATTTTATTTGGAAAAAAACATTTATTTGAGGAAATTAAAATTCAGCTAATAGTAAATTTAAAGATCTACTTTTGGCCTATCAATCCTTTCTAATTCAACGTCAAATACTAAAGTTGAGTCTGGCGGTATTTTGTCACCAGCTCCTGCTTTGCCGTAACCCAATTCAGGTGGTATGACCAAACGACGTTTTTCACCTTCGCACATGCCTAACAGTCCTTGGTCCCATCCTTTTATCACTTGCCCGGCACCAAGTCTCACAGAAAACGCCTTATTACGATCATAACTACTGTCGAACTCAGTACCATCTTTTAACGTACCCTATAAATATACGAATATTAAATTGAAGTTAGAACATATATATTAAATACCATACCCTATAATGAACGTGAATAGTATCACCCTTGCGTGCTTTTACTTCACAATTTTCCACCCTCTTTTTGATACCAATTTTTATCGTGGGTTTCGAATCTTCCTTGGCAAAAGCGTTCAGTGATATTACAGTTAATGTAAGTAATATTATGAAAAACTTCATTTTTATTTGAATGATATAATGATGTTAAGTACTTATGAATATATTATTCTTGTAAAACAGATATAGCAATTGGATTGTTCCACGCAGTAGAAATGTTGATTTAGTGTTACTTCTCTTGTAGTAGATAAGAATTTTGACAGCTGATAAACAAATTAGTAGTGTTGCCATTTTTAAGAAGTCGCTAATGTAATGTGGTATGGTAGCGCAAAATATAAAAGCATCCCTGAATCGCACTCGCTGAGCTTTTATATTTGATGCTACGTCGGAAATCAAACCAAATACTGTAGTTTTTTTTTATTAAATTACATGGTACAAATGATTTCACGCGAAGGAATTACATCTAGTCTAAAGCTGATTATCTATGCGGATAATTTTATAATTTAATTTCCATCATATAAAAATATTCTATATATTGTATATGGTGAGAGTTTGGTTATTTACATATATACAATTGAATGAGTTATTAAAATTTTTTTATTTAATGAAGATAGTACGACAATATATAACTATAAATACAAAAACGAATTCAGTTAAAATATTGGCCAGATAACTGTTTTCGACTTTTTAAAATAAAACAGAGCACTTTGTATATGTTTTGTATTTTGTATATAGTTATGTATTTATGGTAATTAAAGTCATGACGTTTTGGGAAAATTTTGGTTCGGATAGCATACATACAAGATACATATGTATATCCTTACATATAATATGATTGGCGAAAGTCGTCTCTGCTAGATGATTGCTCGCGCTTCTTCTATTTGATTTTGATTTTATCAGACAAAGGTAGAGACAACAAATTTTAAATTGAATAGATATATGAGAAGCCTTCTGCTGTTAAAATAAACTTTTTGTTATCACACCAATCGAACTTCCACCGTTAACTACCATTGGTGGCGACCGTTTAACCAATACACGACCGTGCACAAAATCAGATACTGCATGTATCATGTATGTATTTTCATGTCTATTCAGATATCATGGCAAGTTCATAGTTTCTCCGAATACCAAATGTTAAAATAATTCAAAAACTAAGAACAAAAACACATTTACTTAAAACTTGTACAGATCTACTTTTTTAGGTTATGCGGTATTTTTTTTTACTTACCGGTACAAACAGGGTTCGATCTTCAATATAAGAGCCTAGGCCAGATAAAAACCGATACCCTCAAATAGGCTGTTGTGGGAATTAGCATAGATATGCTCGCTATATAGTGTCACGCCAAGAATTGTAGGAAAAACCTTGTCGAACATTTGACAAAAATGGAAATTGCTTCAATTATAATATCTACGAATTTCGGTATTTTGTTAAATGCACATTTTGACTAGAGGAAAAATTAATAATTGTAATTCTCAGAAGTATTCATATAGTTTTATTTGTAACTTTTTTAGATAATATCTCAATATGTATAATTAGTTTTATTACTTTTAACTTTTTACATTTGATTCTGCGGTTATTCAACTGCGTTTTCACATAATCGTATTTTATATTTATTTACAACTTAATTAAACAAAACATAATTTACAGTAATTAAAATGTATGTATGTTTATATCACAATAATAGAGGAATATTTTTCAATAGTATAATTATTAGTTAAGGCAATGCACGCATTTGCATACCACAAATAAAAATAAATTGTACATAATTTTCTTTTAAAAAAAGATATATTATATATACATAGTAATACAAATTTATGGGTAAAGAAGCGGAGCAAAAGTGCAAGAAGTTAAATTCACTAGGTGAAGAAAGCTATGTAGATATAGATGGTATATACACCAAGATACTTAGATATATGTATAACACATACATCAGCAGTATTTAAATACTTTAATTGACATACTTATACCAGATATGTTTTTATACAAATATATTAAGAGTATAGTATTAGATCTTTTGACTATGTGGGGTACTGGAGTGGCGACACACGACCCACCAAGTATATTCAAACTCGCAGCGTAATGCGACTACTTATTCCTTTAAAAAAATCAGATGTAAATTTCAATGTACGGGTATATGTATTTACTATATATGCATTTATATCGGACGATGATTTATATAGCCGATGATATTTATCAGTTACTGGCGATCTCAATTATCATTAGATAGATTTGTGATCTTTGTCGCATACATATGTGCCACCTTGTAAATAAATTCGTATTGTTCCTTGGTTTGAACTGCGCTCGCTCGCCCCCGTCGCACATAATAAACGATTTGTGGAATGTCAACCGAACGTTTCGGTGTCTCCAGACTGCGTATGGCCATGTCACAGGCGATAATTGTGCCGGTGCGTCCAGTACCTGGAGAGCAGTGAATCGTTAAGGGACTAAAAGTAGAAAAAATAGAATAAAAACAAACATGTAGTACAAAACGAGCACGAAACAGTAACAAATATTAGAATACACTGAGACTGCTAGAACTCTGCTCTGGTGGAATACTGGACTCAGTTAGTTGGTCAACTGTTCCTTTTAAACTTATTATTATTTTTTTAATTTTGCTAAACATATGTATTGTTAACACAATACACAAAACCAGTCAATCATTAAATACATGGACATAGATTACATACAACAAACGTACCCTTGATTCTTCAACGTTGTGCTCTTCATTTTATCCACACTCGAAACATTGCCATTTATTTCGGCATTTCCGCCACTTTCTTTTCCTTCACCACTTACACGTTCCGTTCCCAATTTGTTCGTTACATCATCGTCTACTGTGATAACCATGGTACCATTACCATTATGGACTATATCACCATGACCGTTACCATCTGAATTAAGTGTTGCATTTGAATTTTTCTCTCTCGATTCGTTCACGTAACCTTTGAGAGATGAGCGCGCCTCTAATAACATTGCTATAATGGGCGCCTCCTCGTTGGGTACACCCGCTTCCGGCCACTTGTACCAGTAATGCGTGAGTTCACGACACATGTTCTCGGCTGTATTCTTAAGCATCAAGGTTGAAATGGCATATTTATCTTTGACTTCCCGATGTTTAAGTGTTATTTGGAAATCGCCGTATGTTGTGTGATTGTCTAAAGTGACAGATGGTGGCAGATATTCGGCACACTTCTCGATACCATTCTCATAGAGATCGGTTGATTGTATAATTACACGTGATTGTTGTTCCCATATCATGCGCCAGAAGTCGGCAACTGTTGTTTCCAGAGGAGCTTGCGTGGCTATGTAGTAATTGGGTGAGTCCTTGGGGCCCTGTAAATTAAGAGAATATGTGTTTTTGGTATTTATTTATAATAAATTATGTTATAAATTCATATTAGAGTTCAAGAAATAAAAATACAAAAAAACACGTGTCTATTTAGTGCAAAATTAAGAAGTTATTTGAAATAGATTCTGAAAACATCATGCAAAAAAAAGAAAACACTGCTATATTTTACATATTACTATAAAAGTATTGTAGATGTCATCAATTCGATATCTTTGTACATTTCTTTCATTTTTGTCACAGCAGATTCTGCAACAATAGAAGTTTGTTCCCATAGCGGTCATCTCTCGAAAGACGAATGGTTAAACATAAATAAAAGAAGGTTCCAAGAAAAATTTTGAAGAGTAATGTTGTGATTGGTAGAGGAGGTACTAAAACTGTAAATAAGTTTTAAGAGGGAATGGGAAAGTAAAAAAAAATTATTCAAAGTATTGACCATTGCTTTTTATACATTTTGATCATCATTCTTTTGAAGCAAACTATTCAGACACCCAATTTTCGACTTGTGCGTAGGAATCGAAGCGCTGTTTAGTCAATGCGTGTCCCATTGATGAAAACAAATGGTAATCGGAAGGGTCCAAGTCTGGTGAATACGGTAGGTGGGGTAGCAGCTCCAGGCCAAGTACTTTAATTGTATCCTGAACCGATTTTTGCTTGGTATGCAGGTGTATTTTCGTGTAACAAAAATATTTTGCCATGTTGTCTGGCCCATTCTGGTCGTTTTTCAATCCATGCATGGTTCAAATTGAGCATTTGTTGTCTGTAGCGATTAGTATTAACAGTTTTACCAGGTTTTAGAAGCTCATGATATACCACGCCCTTCTGATCCCACTAAACATAGAGCATTGCCTTCTTACCGAATCGCTCTGTTTTTGCAGTCGATGTTGATGGTTGTCCCGGATTAACCCATGATTTTCTCCATTTAGGATTCTTTAATTCAATCCATTTTTCGTCGCCAGTGACAATTCAATGCAAAACTGATTTTCTTTCGTGTTTTTTAAACAAAATTTCACAATGCTTTTTTCGGTTTTCTATTTGTCTTTCACTCAATTTATGTGGCACCCACTTTCCACACTTTCGGATCTTTGATTTTGCCTCAAAGTATGATCTTCATCCAATATTGCAGCATCTTCAAACTTTTTTGGTGGTCTTCCCCGTTCTTTATTACTCACATCAAAATCATTCTCTCTGAATCGTTGAAACCATCTTTTGCATGGTGCTTCTGAGAGAGCAGGATCGCCATATGGCTCGACAAACAGTCGATACGACTTTGCAGCACTTTGCATCAAATGGAAACAAACATTTAATGCTTTTCGCAAATCATCACTTCCCGGTACAAAATTTGACATTTTCAACACAATGAGAAAATACGATCTTGTTTCAATCAATTGCCGAAAAATATTGTCTTATTATTTTATTTGAACCTAATAATTATCGTCTGATTATATTGAACTTTTCTTCAACTGAAATTATAATGCGCTCAACACATGTGCACATCACATCTTAAATATTATAAACATATTTTCAGATATAAAAACGAATGATTCATTCATGTGTTGTTGTATAATATTTGTAAAGTAAATTCAAAATTTAAAAAATAAGTAATTTTTGGTCACATTTGTTAGAGGTCGTTAAACCACAAGTGCGACAAATACACAAATGCCAACGAACACTCGCTTACATTAGAGCTGATTAATCAACGCCCTTTAATTCTACGTGTATGTATGTATATGTACATATGCGCATTACTGTTTAAAAGAAAAAAATTAAATATTAATTACATACATAAGTATTATTATTAAATGCGGGGAAATGTGCGGACTAGTTTGCTCAAAATGCTGAAAATGTCTGCTCTCTGAAAATGCATTCATAGACACCCACATTTTTCGGCTAATTCACTACACCTACTACTACTTTGTATGTTAACCTATTTACATGCGATCTTACATACAATATACATATGTAGGTATATGTCCAAATATATTTACATTAACATATATATCGTTCAATAAGTCAATTAAGTTTGTGTTTGTTTGTAAGTACGACTGACGACAAACCTACGAACATATTTATATATGTACTCGTACATACGAATTATGTCTATATAATAATGATACTGAACAGAATGTGCCCGAAATGATTCATACCTATTGATTTGGATTTAAGTATATACATATTATATTTAAGGTTCTACGAAGCATACCATCTGATCAAACTTGACTCAGACTAGTATATTTACACTGCGCGCGCATCCGAATCGATGCAATTTTTTTCCTACATTGGTACAACCATTTTTTATTTCCGTGTGAAGTTTGATCTCCATATGTCAATTAGTGTGTGTTTATTAAATTATAACGAGTACGCTTGGAACTTCGTGTTTCCAATGGAATCACGACTAAGGAATCGTTGAAAATGTTGCACAAATGTTTTGGGGAGTTTACTTTATTATGACCACAAGTAGTTGTTTTGTGTATAAAGCGTGTCAATGTTAGACTCATACCAAAAAATCTGAATCTTTTCAGAAACAACGACGAGTAGAGGTTGCAAAAGAGATGCTTACCGACGACGCTGAGGATCCTATTACTATTGACGAATCATGGGTTTATCGAAATTGTCCAACAATCTAGCTAATGGCGCTCCAAAACTGAGCCGAAAATGAAAAAGCTGAGTCTCGCCGAAGGCACTGAAAACCATTCCAGCCGAGGCTTATAACAAGTGTATTGAAAATTGGATTAAGCGTTGGCATGCTTATATCAACTCAGGACCCATTTTTCAAGGCAATAATAAAGAGTTGTATTAAAATACGAGAAAATTATATTTGTTTGGTCAGTTCGGGTCAAATTTGATCAGAATGTTGCTTAGGCAAAAAATCTGCGACTTGTTAGAACTCATTGAATACGATTCATCAAGCTTCACACTTAGTCCAATGCGAGATTTTACCTTCAAACTTTTCCCCCTTTAATTAAGTCCCGAATTTTGTGCCCTCAGCAAACAAACGAAAGCGTCAATGGAGCTTAACGCACTTCAAATTATATTTTAAGCTGAAATTGTCGTTGTATATTTAAATAAATAAATATACTTTCTATGTGCACTCACATAATACATAAATAAAAACCAAACTCCTAAAATGAGCATAACGTATGCTGTAATATATGTATATATTTACATACATGCGCGTAGATTTGTATTTACGCCCCAACAGTATGTAAGAGCTTGTGTAACAAAGAGAGGGAATAAAATTGGAACATTAAATAATCGCGTATTATTGCGCTTACTGCTTTTTGTAATCATAAAAGCAATAATACACAAGGTAAAATTTAAACTACAATAACAACAAACAATGTGCATTCTCGACGTACATAGTCATAGGTACATATAAATGTATGTGCAGACAGTGTGCACGAAGATAACAAGTGTACTATACAAAAGTAAACGAGATGCTCGGTGTAAGTACATACATATGTACAAACAAGTATAACAAAGACTATAAATCGTTATCATCCAATAAGGAATTATCTACTAAGATTACCAACCAGATTTTCCTCAGAGCCTGCACAGTAACACCCCTCCTTCAAAAGAGAAATCCACATATATGCATTAATACATATACAAGTAAATAAATATAAACATATGTATATAAATATGTGTGAATGTTTTATATGAACAATAATTCACCTTCACATTTGACCCGGACTAATCCATATGAACTGCGCACGTACACTGAATCGATAAAATTTGTCTCCTATATTGGTAGAACCTTTTTTATGTTAATGTGAACTTTGATTTCCATATGTCAATTAGTGTTGGCAGCTGATACTCGTATTTATATACATATTGGGTTAATGGATTCATGGTGCGTTCCCCGAAGCGGATTTTTCGGTTTCACACAAGTTTTATCGATTCAGTTTTTGCGCGCACTTCATATAGGCCGTGTCAAATTGGATCTAATATATCATTATTACCCGAATTTTCATAATATATATTAGTCGTTATTTGAGTCCAGTAACAGGTTTACCCCAGTCTATTCGTGTTTTCCATATCACACAAAAAAAAAGTCCAAAAACCGTTATTAAATCTTATGTAAAAGCTTTCGAGGTTCGAAAACATGCTCGTCAGTTAATATTTACTCCCGACTTTATAAAAACCGAATACAGAACACTAATAAATTAAAATAGTGGGGGTTATCTTTTTACGACATAATTTTGCAATACAAACATATAATACCCATAATCATCTACAAAATTTGTCTGATAATATAATCGTGTTATATAATATAAATCGAAAAATCGTACGTGCTTTAGATAGAAGTCCATAGAAATTTTAACAGAAATATCTGGTAGGATAATTAAAGTATGATTTAACAAATAGTTCAGTTGACCATGCTAAAATGTATCCTTTGATCAACCATCTCGATGATATAAATTGGGCAGATCAAGGCGTGACTTGACGACCGAACAAATAAGGCAAATGTCGAGCGAGCCACTTATGATTGGTACTAGAGCGCGCGACTAAGGGTTAACAGACACATGAAAATTTCCCCTTTCATTTCTTTTCAACATTGTAAAAGAGTTACACAAACTAGGTTATATTTAAAAGTTTCATATTTGTCAATTTTAATTAACTTATGTTACAGTTAAATCTTTTTCCTTTATATTTTTGACAAATATAAATTTGAAGTGACTTCCTTTGATATTTCAATATATGTATATAAGTATGAATACATCAAACTATAGGTATAGTGAAGATGTATGCTGCTGATTGTTATAATAATTTCTTACTTACTCTGACATAATTGGCATTTATATATTCCGTTTTATCATCATCTCCAAGCTGCTGAAGTACGACACGCGTCTCAGGAAGCGGTATTACATTGGCATATCTAAAAGCGTTGCATTGTTTAATTGAATGCACAGACAGTCAACCAGCACAAAGTAGAAATTAGAAAACGAGAACGAGAGCGAGAAAGAGAGAAAACAATAATCATTAGAACACTTGGCAATGATATCAAGGAAACTCAATTAATTAATTAACTGCTTAAAATCACGAAAAAACACTGCGATGACTCAAGACGGTGATATATCGAGCTATGTGCACACTAAGTATATGGATTTGTATGTATGTATGTTAGGGTGTAACGTAATATTTACTTTTAATGTTTTTAATAAATTTTTGCTTTAAATTGTCAATTTAATCGATTAAGCTATGCCCGTCTGTCTGTCTGTATATAACCGAGCTAGTTCCTCAGTTTTTCAGATATCGATATGAAATTTTCCACACGTCTTTTTTCACTAAAAAGCTGCTCATTTGTCAAAATGTCGATACCGGATCACTATTGCATATGGCTGTTATACAAACTGATCGATCAAAATCAAGATCTTGCATAGAAAACTTTTTTATTTGACAAGATACTTTCACGAAATTTCGCACAGATTATTGTCCAAGGCAACGCAACAATCTCCGAACATATTGTTTAGATGGGACTATTATAAATATATATAAATGCTATACAAACTGTTAACGTTTACATTTTTTTCCGTCTGAAGACTCTTCAAATCTTAATTCAAAAAAACCCAAAAAGTACTACAAGGTTTTTCCAAAAAACTATTACCCCAGAAATCTAAGACACAGCCTAATAATGATACACCCACTCGTAAGCAATCTTATACATAGAGTACATACAAATGTCATTAGATTATAGGAGCTTAAATGTCTAGGAAATGAAAACAAATGTGGCGTGAAAACATTTGTAGAATGTGAGCTCGAGTAGTGTGTATGGAATTATTATATATTACTCATTTAAGAACGCACCAAAATTATGAACATAGCTGAGTTTACAAATATTATTTATATTTGCGTACGAGTGAATGCAAAAATGTTCGTGAAAGTAGGTAGACATTGAGTGATTTCAGTAACGATGTGGGTTGAATTAGCTATTCGCTCGTACAATACCGGGGAAAATTTAAACTTATATAACTACACGGTTATTTATCATACCTACTTAGCTAGAATATGATTTTTCTATAAAGTCTTGATACCTGAATTTTGGCAGACAACCACGAAACTGAACTAAATGATATAGAATATTAAATTTTACGATGGTAGAGTTGTAAACCCGGAATAAAAAACTCTTCATTTGAGAGCGTGCGTATGCTACACAACTGTATTTAAAGTATCCTAGAGTAAATACCATAGTTCTTTCTCACTACTTTTTCATTTCTTAACCTACAATAGTAGGTATTACAACTCACAGATAAGATCTATTTTCAGTATAAAGATTGAGCTAGAAAATTTTAATGTTCTTAAAATCAATTAATTTAATAGAATGTAATTCTACTCTGCCCTGAAAGTCTTCTCAAGCCTTGTGAACTTTACTACAATATAATTATTTTGCCACCTCGAATTATCCAAACTACATATAACTCAAATATTATTTCGCTTTCTTAGAGTTATTAACCTACACAACGATCAATGTCACAGTTGCGTTATATTTGACCAAAAGTTAAAAACTTATTGTTATCTTCAATGTTAAAATGATAAGATTCCTAAGGTAGACATGTGACATAGGTGCACATATTATACGTAAAACTATATAACACATACTCGTATCGACTAATTAATTATGAAAATCCTTATCAAATGGGTTCTAGCACCGTTATGGTACGTAAATAACTTACCGATTTTTATCTTCACAGCCCGCTGGTACTTCATCTGCGCGCGCAATAATTTGTGGTACATCCCTGAATTCTTCAAATATGCTGGATCGACGTTCTATAAACTTGCCCAATTCACTGGCACTAAGCGCATTATGTCGCAGTGAAGGATCATCGAATGCAATATTGCCATAGGAGCGTTTTGAGGCGCGCAGAGCACCCTTACGTCGTACACTGCCCAAAACAGAGACATTGTCCAGACTGTAGGCGTCTAAACTAACTGGTCGGCAACGTTGACCGTAGGACATTTGCTTCTGGCGCTTACGCATTAAATAGAGAAAAGCGACAAGCAATATTAACGCCACAACACCGATTATGCTCACCGTAATGGCAATGATGACATTCACATCTGTCTCATTGGCATCGTTGGAGTTCGGACGCATACCGGCATTGATCATACCCGGCACATGATTAGGGGTGACGGCGCTATTTCCACCCCCAATGGCGGCGTGCAATGTGGGAGGTAACATCGTTGTTGTTAGAGTGGCAATCGTACTGGCCACTTTGGGAATATGTGCATATGTTGAGGTGTCAACGGGTGGACTAGCACGACTTGTGGTGGTTATGATTGGCACGAGTGGAGCTATAGCGGCAGTACTGTTGCTGGTGCTGGTGGATTCTTCAGTTGTAGAGAATACTGTGTACACTTCTTGTGGATTCACAGCCATACTGGAGGTAATGGTTGGCGGTTGATTTAATATAGATGTTGGGGTCGTATATGCTGCCGTCGTCGATTCATCGAGCAGATTAATAAGAGGTGGTTCAGTGGTTGTGGTGACACTACTTGTGTTATTTACTCCAGTTATTTGTGGCACTGGAGTGCCGTCCGGATTTGTGGCTATCGTAGCCATTGTGGTGCTGCTTGTACTGATAGCTGTTGCTGATTCTCCGTCCCGCATACTGGGCAATGTCGTTTCATTGCTCACGTCAAATGTTGACACAATGTGAGACGCTTCAGTTGAGCTTTTTTCACCACCGTCGACTTTGGCGACCCCTAAATTGGTAGTAGTGGTTGGTGCTGAGGTAGTTGTGCTAGTTATTTTCACTGTCGTCTTGGCCAGTTGATCGATGACATTCGTTTCGATTGAACCATCTGTGTCATGTGTGCCCTCTGCAACTGTTGTGTGATTTAGAAAATCGACAGGTGTTAACTTATTGGTGGTAGTAGTGCTACTCTCGAGCACTGACCCATTTGCTTGTAGTGTTGTTATTTCCAGTGGGATTATTGTAGTCGTCGTTTCTGCGTTTACGTTTTCGTCACTTTTAAGGGTTGTTGCCGCATATAAAACTGGTTCCACTGCTAATTGCGTTGGTGGCGTCGTAATTGGCAATTCCGTTGTGCTTGGCGATGGTGTGGTTGTGTCTGTTGTTCTGTTCACTGGCACTAATAAGTCATTTATGGACGACACAGTTATTGTTGTTTTGTTTGCCTCGCCGAAGTTCGTCACCGTCTCTTCTAGCTTTTCAATTGTACTTGAACCTGTATCGCTATTCAACGTCGTTGCAGCCGTTGCGTCGGTGGATCCCTCCGCTGTGTCCGCAATGTTCTCCGTGTGTACTTCTAATTCTACTTCATTACCAATTTGGGTAGCTTCCGTTGTTGTTGGTACTGTTGTTATGGCAAGCACTTCACTTGTTTTTGCATTAGCATTTGTTTCTACCAAATCGGTTGACAGTACCGTAGTGTTTATTAAAGTAATTGTTGCTGTTGCTGTAATATAACTACTTTCTGTGGTAGTTTCCGTGGTAACGCTTGGGGTTTCGTTTTGCGTCGCAATACCCTCGACCGTATCCACACTCGCATTCGCGTTCACATACGATTTTTGATCGCTTGCAGTCGTCGGTCTGTTCGCTTCGCTAGTCGATTGCTCACTAACTGTTAGCAATGTAGCTTGCTCCTCGGTCGCATTCGCAGTGTCGGTTACAGTTTCGGGTTCTCGTTTCAAATGCTGCTCAAGTGTAACATTGTGCATGCCATCTCCGCTGCTCATATCAACATTTGCACTGCTAATGCCTGCATCAACATTACTCAGTAGCGTAGCTTCTGTCGTCTCAGGTTGCGCTTCCAGTGCCGTTGCATTATCCCAACGCGTTGGTGCTTCGCTGACGTCGCTCGGGGGTGGTGTCGTCGTTGTTGTCGTCGAGGTTGACTGCTCAACTGGGAGCGCCGTTATCATTGTTGTAGTAGTTGGCGTTTGTGTTGTAGTTGTTTCATTTGATATTGGCATTGCTGTCGCTGCGCCAGCAGCTACGTCCAACAGTGCCACTGGCGTCGTTGACGTAATAATGAAATTGAAATCTTCGCTTGGCTGCCGTTGCGTACTACTCACCTCAGTCGCGTTGAATTTTTCCACACTTGCTTTCTCAGCATTCGTGAGCAGTGCCGATGATTCAGTTGCCATCGCCGAAAACTCATTTAGCGGCTCTCCAATGCCAGCTGTCGCAACGGTACTCATGAAATCAGCGCGCTTATCGTTGTTATCAATTGATAAGTCGCTTGAAAGTTTTGTTTGTGTGCTGGGCGGTTTGGTGGTAATTGTAGGCATTGTGTGAGTGGTATCAATTTCATTCATTGTTTGCGTGGCACTAAATTCGGGTCCGATATTGAATACCGCAAACCCTTCGGTAGTCTGATGAGTTGCAGTTATGTTCTCTACGCTAGCGTTGGTCTTAGAAAGTCCATCTGTTTCCCATTTTTCAGCCATTTGAAGAGGTAACTCAGTCTTTGGGCTCTTCACTGAAGTAATTTTATCCTCCTCCAACGCATTTCCTGTCAGCAGATTTTTTCCAACTGTATCCCCGGATTCCAATTCGCTGCGCATTCCCATCACATTGGTCCAATCTAACAAATTTTTCTCACTGTAATTACTCACATTCATCGTTCGCTCGGTGGTTAAAATTTCATTTACTTGCCAACGAAGATCTGTGCTTTTGTTGTCTAACAAAGTAGTACCATTTATATTCGGTGCTTTGGGCACCATTCTCATGCCTGCCAATGACCAAACCTCTGGTCCATCGGGTAGGTTCATTTGGGGGCTCGTTGAATTATCATTAAAGAATTTTGCTCGTTTCTCGGCTGAGGAAGTGTTATTGATATGCCAATTTGCTTGAGATTCTTCCTTTGTCACTGTAGGCTGCGTTACTTTAACAACAAAAGATTCCGTTTCAGTCTCTGGGGCTTTATTTATCTTTAAGTTTTCTTCCTTCAGATTTTTATTTATTTCTGCAAACGATCTTTGTTGATTGGAATGGACATCACTGCCACTTTCTTCAGAAACTTTGGTATCTCTTTCATCATTTGTTTTTGTTTCTAATATAGAATTTTTTGTTGTTTTAATTTTGTCGCCCTTAGGATTTTCTCCAAAAGCCACTTCTAATTTATTTTCGCTACTATGCGCAGCACCCATTGATTCTTCTAAACTAAAAGCATCGTGCCCACTCTCAATATTACTTTTAGACATGCTATTGACATCCTCAGTGCGACTCGTAGTTGGCATGTTAAGCTTCACAGCGATATCTTCCAAATCTTTTAAGATTTCCTCTGTTGTTGCTGGCTGCTCAGTTTTATCATCTATAGAATCGGCGTTGACCTGTCGTGCCTCATTCTCCCGTAACGTTATTTCATCCAAACCATTATTGATATGTTTTTCTAAGTCTACAGTTGGCAGCGGCTTACCCAACCACTTATCAGCTTGACTAAAAACGTGTTGTACATGCGCGGTATTCAATTCTTTCTGTTCTTCGCTCAACTGTCGCATGTCCACTGGCTTATTTGTGACCTCACTTGCAGCATGATGCCCTGTAGAGACATTAGATATCAATTCTTTTACCTTCATCTCACTTTCTTTCATCATCTCCTTAGTGTTCTCCGCTTCAAGACTTTCTACTCGATTTAGCACCAACGTTTCGCCTGGCTTGTGCTCACCTGTGTTCACATCGTGATTACCCAACGCGGGCAGTAACTTCATGCTTTTCACCGATTGTATATTTTCACTTTTACTACCGGCGGTTTCGAAGACGCTGGCACTTGCGTTTGCGTTCGCGTTGCCACTCTCGCCTTCTGCTGATTTGCTTATCAAGCCTACTTCATCGCCGCTTATGCTCGTGCTCGGATCAGTCGGTTCAGTAACTGTTGTCGCTGCAATGTCATGGACACTCGTTGTGAATTCCAAACTTCGCGTGGCGTCATCGATTGCACGTCGACTGAAGTGTCGTCGCAGTGGTGTGTGTGGCAGAACGCCTGCGAAGCTTTGTGTAATCAGTGCCAATATGAGCGCCTGATAAAGTGTGATTGGCGAAATTGGTATCATTTTTGTTATTGTTATTAATAATGCTGAATATTACAACCAAAAATTATTGTTTAATAATTGTTGTATGCTTCTTCTCTGCTGCTTCAAATGAAGTTCAAGCGAGTAATTTAAACTTGCTCTTAATTAAATTTTAAAGTGCAATTTTCGTTTGCTTGTTCTTTCACCAGCGCTACTAGTTTCGAAAAATTTGCTTTTATATGTATGCGTACATATGTATGTCTTTTTACAGTTTTGTGCTTGTTGATTACCCTCTATATACAGGTGGTTTTTACCGCTTTTGTTTGGCTTTGAGTGTTTCGCAATTGCCTGCTGACATTCCATGCGCCCATTTTGATTGTTCACTTGTCGGTTTGTAGTCCGTAGCGCGGCGTTAATGTCTGGGCGCCATGCGCTTCGCAGTTTTGGCTGCCGTTTCTTCCAATTAATGTCAAATTTACCTCGTTAAATGCTTTGAAACGCTTTGACCTTTATGGCGACTGTAATTAAAAAAAAAACAATTTTATTAATTAAATTGGTGAAACTGCTGATTATGCAAAACATGATGTTAACTATATGATAAGTATAGAAGCATATTAAAGTAATGGGAAAAGTATTTCATTTCTTATGAGCTATAAAGTTTACTGCACATGATTCCAACTCAGGATAAGTACATATGTACTTATGGCTCAGATTTTGTGTGTTCATGCCCCATAAAAGAGCATCTAAAGCTGTTTTGTATTATATTACATAATATTCGAAAGCTATATTTTATCGTAGGAATTTATCTGATAAGTGAAATGATGAAATCTTTTGGGTAATAAAGCTTGGGTAAGTTTTGAAGTGTGTCAAAGTACATCACCTTTAGGTGCTGGTAATTAATTTCGCCTGGTTCTACGTAAATATCAGAGAAGGTAGCTTGTTAGAAGCAAATAGAATATGATCGTGCTGAGATCATAAATAAACTCCTACTAAGATTCTTCTAGGTGACATATCCTCAAGAAGCAACTGGAGAAGAAGTTGCACAGATTAATCGACAAGATCAACTTATGTATATAGTATGTATGTTTACCCTCTGACCTATGAAAAGTAATAAAAAGTATGACATGACTGGATTCTAAAATTATTAAAACACATGACGCCGGCGATATTTAAAGTCTTTATATAGAGAAGTCTTGCATTTTGTAATAATTTTTTGAATGCCCTATATATGAAATTTACACACATACCCTTATTCAAATCTATATATAGAATTTTTTGAACTTTTACGTTCGTTTACCGTTGTAGATATGTAAGAATATAGCAATCTAGGTATAATGACAAAGTCAATCGCCTGAGTTCATTAGCCTAATACTAGTATTTGTTTATGCCAATGTTTCTTTGGTGTGTCAAAAACCATGCACGTATGTTATCTGACTAGCTTCATCAGCCATATTTACTGCGCCAACTCTGCAAGGTACGAAAGTAAAAAGGGTGCTTCATTCAGAAATCACCACATTGAATGTATTAAAGCTTTATTCCTAAATGAGTTCGTAATTTATAGTATTAATGTGATTAGTAGCCTGAATAAAAATGGAGGTAAATGGGGATGATAGTGAACAGATGATACAAATCTAGTCAAGAAATAACGATTTAAATTTTCAATAATTGTCGCTCGATTACAAGATTTTCATTAAAATATCTCAAACATTATATATATGTATGTATATGTAACAGGTTGAGGCACAAACATAAACCATACATTTTTTGGGTTTTTCCGTTACAATTGGGATCGAATGCACACAATTTACACCTGATTCAGGATACAAATATTTAAAGTTTATGAGTGTACATATTTGCATTTGAGTGAAAGAAAGACTTGCCTGATCATTTGGGAACATTTGTTTGATAAACTCAACACTGCAAGCGTCATTTAGTCTATTGCTTGCCAAATGTAAACAAAAACTAAAAAAAAAATCAAACTTTTTATTACAAATGGTATGGCATTTGATTAACTGCACAGACTATAGAAAGGGTGGTAATCATATGTAATGACGATGATGCCAATGAACTATGATAGCTAGTACATTTGATTATATTTATATAAATGTACGTATGTATGCAAAGTATCATTAAATTTGATTGACATGAAGCAAGTAATAACTGAAAAGTAAAACTCACACGCCAATGGAAATATATGTACATACCATATATCCTTCGATTAGTGCCTTCACTCGCCGGTAGTGGTTTTCAAGAATGAAATGCCAGGAAAATACCTAAAACATGCATATCCAAAACTCCAAAGCACGCTTGACGCCATTCGAATGCACAAAGTTATGTATGAATGCATTGACATGAAAATTAATGGTGGAAAACATGTTTGTTATAGTTTGAATAATTTTTACCTACTCCTAGCCGCTCGCGTTTTCAGTGAAGATACTGACCAAAGATAAACGTGAAAACGTAAATGTGCGACTATTGTAGCATGAATGTAATTTGTTATTAAAAATGCATGCGAAATAAACATGCATACACGGATAAATGAGCATGAAATTTCCTACAAAATATTATTAGATATAGTCAGAACTTAGAAATTTTATCACTTTGACCCTTCCTCTTTCAGTTTAGAACAATGAGCATAGTTCAAAGTTGAGTGAACCGTGGGTCAATAAACCAAATTGTATACAGTTCGAAAAACATTACAGCATTGATATTATATTATATTAACAAAATAGCATGCGTGTAATAAGTAAAAAGTCAGTGTGATTTTGCATAGATACTTGTATATATCAACATATATCATATATGTACTTTTAAACCTACATATTATCATTAATATATTGAAAGGTGAAGCTAAAATATTATGTACATGGATTCACTTCTTCAGAAATTAATTGAAGTCATTAGTATATACAAAATTTCACTGAAAGAATTCTTTAATAAACTTTAATAATCTAATTTTTTCATTTTCTTATCTACAAGCTTTTCCAGGTATTTATCACATACACATACGCTCGCTTTCATCTTGATTTATTTTATTTATTTTCCATTGCAAAGATATACAGATGTAATTAATTTACATAATGTGTGTGGTTAGCACTGGCCTTTGAAAGTGAACGTTCATGAAGAATGAATGTTGTTTGTGTGAGAAATTGAATTTGCTCAAAGTTGTAGTATACTTTTAGGCTTAAACAAAATTGAAGTAGTCACAAACCGTAGTGTTTAATAATCTTTTTTTACACAGGAACACACACACATACATATATAATATATTATAGTACACATGTCTTACCTACTGGAAAGTTTGAATTTATGAGACAAACACTTTGTTATATAATGGCTGAACTATATTAGGATATTTTCAAGGCTAAAATTGTTAAAATATTTTTTCGTAAGTTTGGCTAACAGATTAACTTACTAAGGAATGAATTATTTGATGAGTCAGCTTATTTATCTGTCACTCATGCGTATGTACGATGTTTCCAACGAAATCGGTATAATATAATTTGATTTTAACGGAATAGAAGATCAGTAGTTTCATGATTGATTATCAAATCGACCAAGTTTTCTGAACATTTTCTCGATCTTAAGTGAATATAAAACTGAATAAAAACTTGTTGGATTTTTAGGATTTTAAAATATAATTAAAAGATTGCATATGATATGGTAGGCTTTGATAGTGTTATTAAAAAGGCTTATATGTTGGACTGTAAGCAACAACGTGAATATTTGTATTAGGTCCTTAAAACGGTGTATGAGAAATCGAATAGGTTCAATGGCAAATAATTTGTATCGATTTACAAAATACAAAAAGTAAAAATAAAAGACAGAAAAAAAAATTGAGCAATCAGTATTGTTATATTTTGTTTAAAATATTTGCTCTTTTGAATTAATTTAATTTTCAAAATTAATACTTAATGAATGATTTTCATACCCGTATATTCTAACTTAATAGTTTTCGTTTTTGAAATCAACCTTAATTGCAGAATAAAAACTAAGAGTTAATAATTTGCTTCGGTTGTTGATAGCCTATTCTTACAGACTTATGTAATAACAGTCATGTGTAAAAAATTTAAATAACTTTAATATAAAAGGTAAATTATTTGTAGTGTTATTACTCACAAAAGGTTTGTAGAAAATTATTTGATTATACTTAAAGACTTTGTTCTCTATTGCCTTTTTTATTAAGGAATTGAAAAAAAACACGTTATTTTCTCTTTGAAATTTAGGCTGGCTGGACCTCTTGAAATGTTAACAATGGGAGAAACTCTCGAAGTGCGAAGCATTCCTGTGTTCACATGTTGGTCATGCTAGTATTTTGCACATGTCGTTTGCAATTTATACATTCAACTAAGCTCTCGTTGACTTTTTTGTACCTTAATTGCTTATCGTTGCTGTTTATGCTCATTATGTATACCTTAACATGCCATTAGTTCCACTCAATGTTGCATAGCATAACGTCTGCACTTGCAATTCGTTTGATAGTTACAGTTGATGTGGAAGAAATGCGTGCAAAATATGTACTAACAATACATGCTCGTATATTCGACATAATACACTTAAGAATATTACAACACCAACCGTAGGTATAAAATTTGTTCGAAAACTGCTAAAATTATAGTAATAATATATGAAAAGAGGTCTAGCGCCACAAACCCTTAGAAATTGATTTTTATACCCTGAACAGGGTATATTAAGTTTGTCACGATGCTTGTAACACCCAAAAGGAAACGTCGGTCTGTCCGTCTGTATATACGCAAGCTTGTCCCTCTGTTTTTGAAATATTGATCTGAAATTTTGCAGATTTGTTGGAACCAATATCAGACAACTATATCATATAGCTTTCATTCAAACTGGACGATCAAAATCA